GACCAGGGTGGTCATCGATAGAGCCCATGGTGACAAGTTCCACTAGGTTTTCGCTAGCAATGTAATCAAATCTGAGACCCATGGAAATCACAATAGTCGCTGCTCGACTGGCAACCTTCCAGTGTGACACCCGAGCCAGATTTACTAATTCATTGGCCAAAGCGGCCTTCTTCTTCTCGATAAGTGCTCGCTTGTTGTTGAGGTTCTTGCGCTTTTGTGTGATTTGTTCTTCAACATCTTGTGTCGCTGGGGCGATTGCATCGACCAGGTCTTTGTCTAAAATGGCCATTCTTTCCAAGGGACGACCATAGTCCATGATCTGATATACCACACTTGAGCAGATTCGCTGCACAGACGGTCTATCCACCGCGCTGGCGTCAATGAAAGCTCGGACTAAGGTAGGAGCATATTTCCAATGACGACCAACAGTCTTAGCCACACTGCTCAGCAACAGGGAGAATAGTGCACCCTTAATTCGGGCGAAATCATTCTCCTTGATACCGTTTTGAAGCGCCTTGAGAAGCGGTGGAATAACAAGCAAGCGTGAGCCCCAGACAGCCTTCAAAGCCGACTCTCCCGCAGTTTGAGCATTGCGGCGAGTCTCCGTATAGGTAGACACGCAAGACTCTGCGATATCGAGGAGTAGGATCTCATCCAACCGGGATCGGCATCGAGGGGCTGCGTTGTGCCTCAAGCGCTGTAGATGGTACATATTGGCTCGCCGAATAAGTAGGGGACGTGGATAATCCTTGCGAACTCCGCTCATCTTGTATGGGTGGATGTCCGCAAGAAGGAGGCGGGTAACTCTATCCAGGACGTGAGCGGACCTCTCGATACCAACGTCAATAAACCAGCACTTATAAGCAGAGTAAAGAGCACTGAAGCACGGTACATCGTCCTCTTGCTTCTCAGAGAGATATCGATGCACCTTGTGGAGAACCCATCCTGCTCTCTCTCGAATATCGTGGATTGAAACATAGACAGGATCGTTCTCTTCTAAGGGGTAGCCGGTCGGGTAGTTGAAAGTCTCTCTTACAGTGTCCTCATCGGAACTGTCTAGTGAGGAATCAGGAACTTCTTCTCCGCCCTCACCTACACCGTCCGCGTCTGCCATCTCCACGTCATTTGCCCTGCCTGATACTCCGTTGGCCTCAATATCCTTCGTCTTTGAGGCAGCTTTGGCATCGAAGAGCACGGAGACACCAGAGATGATTAGTCGCAAGAGAACCAGGTTTCTGATCACTTCATCAGACCATTCCTTGCCTATTCCATCTCGCCTAACGCTGGAAGCATCCTCAGTCAAAGCTGTGAGTTGCCTGAGAGCCGACTCCGCCTGGTTTTCGAAGAGCTCAGTAGCAAACTCGATCTCCTGCCGTTTGGGGACGTGCCACTTCACGGTCAGGTTATTCGGGTCTGGGTGATAACTCCAGTGTTCGGGTTGTATTCCCTTAGCGATAACGTCAGGTTCATATAGCGAGTAGTCCGAGGTGTAGGTCCCGGTAAGGTTGAGAAGAAGGTGGTGGATGAAGTTTGAGACATGGACCGTAGGAATGCCCCGGCACTTCTGCTGCATGTAGACGGCGGTATCAAACAATTCCTTTTTGTGGGCTAGAACAGCATCTCCAACATGCACAACACACATGCTGAGCATACTGATATTCCACACTAGACCTCGATCACGGGGAAGGACATCAGTACCTGTTGTCCGGGTTGAGCCAGCGCCATTGTCATCAATCTCCGTACGGATGGCCTGTGTTAAAACTGGAATAAAACGCCTCAGAGCCTTTTCGGGGTTAACCTTGCAAACAGCGTTACATATAAATGCCATTGCATCGCGGGCTTGGTGGATGACATGGTTTGACACAAAGTCGACAACCTTGGACAGGGCGATGTCGTAATAGTCAGGAGATAGCGAGGAAAGCAACGGCATAAATGTTGCTGGAAGGGTGTTTACAATATTTTCCTCCGGGGATCCGTTTCGCACTCTTGATACGTCGGGAAGGTTCTCCAGAAGGGTGAAGACGCGCCCAAGGAAGGAGATAATAAAGTCCCCAAACCCACAAGTAGAAGAGCGGAGGATCATCTCCTCGGTCTCATCGTTGAGCTCCGTGTCGTAGTTCAACTGAACACCCACTCCTTCTTGCTCCATTCGTTCCATCTCACCTGGGATCCACTGCATCGCGAGCATATCACTATTGATGTCCTCTTGCCCCTTTGTCAAGTCTGCCATGGGTATATTGTAGCATGCAGCCTGAATAAATGTCAAGGTATGGAGAGATTTCTCAAGATCATTTGCATCAATGCCCGGTAATGCCATTCCCAAAAGGGTTGTGAGATGGCAGCGATACCCCTTTGTCCTTGTGATGATGCGCACGAGTGTCTGGAGAGTTCGCAGAGATGACGTAGTACGATGAACCTCTACTAAGCCTTGAAGGGATGGGTAGATTCTCTGCAAAGCCCCAGGAAGGATAAGGTGCGGTTCCAGGTACGCTAGACCCTGCAAGGTTGACAAGGAGAAGCTCATGGCGGTAGCGCTTTTAGAATAGATACCCATGAAAATCACATCACGCATGCAGAGTACGAAGCGGCGCCTCAAGGGTTCTGTAAGCTTTCGCTCCTCTGGTATCTCCATCTCGCCGCTCTGCTCCCGGTTCCAACGCATTACGAAGAAATCCGTAAGGTAATACACCAACTGGGCTAGGGTCTTCGTCCAGCTACCGGAATTGGAGGGGTGAAAAAATGTCTCCACAGCCTGGATAAGACCTTCAAGCTGAGTCAGAATCGAGTCTTCTTTATCCAGACATGCCGGAGACAGGGACATGACAATCCATCTAGCTATGTGATGTGCTACGGGATGCTTTCGAGTGTCTCGATCAAGCATTATTCCCAACCCAGAAGATATGTCCACAAGAGCACTGTAAGGGGAGGTAGACTGTCCAACTGGGATCTCGAGAAGTCTCAAAGTAGCCGTGAAGATAAGGGAGGATTGTTCCTTGGTGAAAATTCCATATTCGGAGAAGGGAATGTGACCAGCAGGTAACGAATCCCGTGCCATTCGGGAAAGGAAGTCCAAAAAAGTTTGATCGAAGGTTTTTGACCGACTGACCAAAGACCAAAGGTGGAAATAAGTCGGCATATAATGCTGTGGGAGCAGGTCCTCTCTAGACTCCGGTGGCGGAGAGGTGGGAAGAAGGAGGTTGATCAGCCCGACTACGACAAACGCTCCTTCTGAGAACGAAGTACTGTAATGGGGCAAAAACTCTTCCAGCATGGTCGGTAGATCACAGGGATCAATATAGAGCTGAATGAAAGCACAGAGCTTCGTCAAGGTCTTCACGTTCCGCTTTAGGTTTGAGGAATGCACCAGACCAGACTCTGTTGGCAGAACGAACGCCTTTACCTCTCGATACAAGGGCTTCCAATCCAAGACAAGATCCTTGATCGGCTTTAGGTAATGCTTGCGTCTGGGACAATGTCAGCATTTGGCAAATAAAAATATACCCGTTGATCAAAATTGCACTCACTTTGTGAGAAGCATGAACATGCTAGCGAACCGTTCCGAGACATTTGGATCTATTCCAGGAGCAAGAGCAAGCTCATAATACAGTTTAACGAGTTTGATCCGCTCACTACGAGTCGGGTCGAACTTGAGGGATAGCCATGCCCTTAGCTCCCGTGTCCAGTGCACCGCACCGGGGCTGAAATCCCCCGACTCCACCGCAATGTAGAGCTGGGTCAAGATATCCCGAAAATATTGTTCCCGCTTGGCGTCATCTTCAAGCTGGTATGGCAGGTATTTGAAATAAGGATATGTGCGAGGTCGGACGCGAGCTTTGGGGTCGCCATCTCCGTTGATGCCATCAGGTTCACCACCTGGAGAGGTTGCTCGTGAGATCATATGTGCATTGTGAAAGTTGTCTGGCGTGAGAATCGTTTTAAGGTTTGGGTTGTCCATAATCGTGCAGCTCGTGCAACGATTACCGTGGATGCAGAAGTTAGGAATTCGGGTGGTGCGGGAAAGTTCTATCATAACACACTCCAAGTTAGCTACACGTGGTCCTCAAAAGGCACAGCAAAACAGGTAGCGCTATACATTAACTCATAAAGCTTGTATCCAGATACTAGGTTATAGAAATCGATGGCTGACAGTAACCTGCTGTAAGCCTTTTATTCGCATTGGCGAGGCTCCAATTGGCCTGGTCTAACAAAGCGATCGGAAAGAGATGTAGCAGTGTATATCAAGTGCAGGATGGGAAGATATCCAATTTGGTATCCCGGGTGATGGTGAAGCAGCCAACGTAAGCTCCCTCTTTTTCACAGAATTTGTAGTTGGGGAGTTGACGATAGAAGAAGCTCACGCACGACAGTTGATGATAGCATTTCATGAGTCTCGGCTGGGGTCAGGCTGCGGATGACATAATGCATGCTACGTAACAAAGCTCGCAGCCTAATTTGGCACTAGCAAGCCCCACCAAAAGCGGCCGCTATCTCCAGTTCGCAAGTTCGAGCCTCGCACTGGGAGACTTTGATTCCGCTCCACACTAATTAAGCCTGTACGGATAACCATTATTTACTGGCGATGGCTTCATTGAACTAACGGTGCTAGGGCATCTGAATGGCTGCTATGAATAAATATTAAGGGTGGACCCTCTCGTCCTACTAGTAGGCGTGAGAGATTGTCATCCACCTTCGTCACCTCAACGACTGATGCTAATTGTTTTTGGCCTTTGTTGTTTTTTTAACGCCCGAGAGGATAGAGTTAGTATTTAGAAATTCATGTAAACCCCAAATGTGTTCTAAGGAGAACCCAAAAGAGAGGGAAAGAATTGGATGGAGGCCTAGACTCTTCGAATTCCGCTAGTATCTAGCACTGCATTTATCTATTGCCTAAACCGGAGTTTGATGTAAATGTAAGAAACCTGGAAACTTGCGTTCAGTTGTCGTCAGAAATGAATGGCTATGTCAGACTGGATTTCCCAATCTGTTTGCGGTTGCAGGAGTGGGATAATGCGGGAGGTAGGGCAAAGCAGCCTTACGGAGTCACCTCTACTCCTCCACAAATGCCCCCCGTAGGAATACAATAATCAGCTGCTGTATAATGTTTCACATAATTCTCGGGCATGATTACAATTTCTCGGTGGGAAATGTACCGTAGGAGCATGTATGCATATCGAGGGTCTTCGAATACGTATAGGTATGGAGCGAAAGTACAGACTGACTGGAATAGTCTTCCCGAGTCAATACTTTATTGAATGTATGGAAATTATGTACGTATTTCAAGCTGGAGGAAGAAAAGACCCGAAAAGAACACCCTGGACCAGTGCATAGATAGCCATGACCTGTACAAGCGCCGGGAAATAGTTGTTATTTTTGGCCGCCGGCAGAGTGCGTTCCGAAGTCCCCAGTGCCTGACAGGCAAGGTACCAATACCACAACGGGTATCCTGACGAAATCCTGTTGACGATCTGGACATGATAGCTAGTCAAAGCCATTGCTGTGAGGATGAATTGGGCTACGGCGAGCCGTGTAAGTAGCATGGAGGCGGGGCTAGAAGACGGCGCAGAAACAGATTTGAGAGAGACGTTAAAAGCAGGGGCTGGAGTACCCGCACCCATTGCCCAAAATGATGATAGAAAGAGAATTAGTAACATGGGCGCAGCAAGTAAGAAGAGCGGGATATTCGAAACCGTCCAATATCGGAGAAAACCAACACCCCTATTTTTTTGGAGTCAATATATGGCTTGATCTTAGAGATTCTTTGGAGCACGTACCAATAATGAGCTTGGACCCAACCATATATACTTGGGACAAGCGACTGACACCAAGGCCGTGAGATACTATCGTCCATACAAAACTTTGTATAGGCAAAGTATTGGGGGACAGCAAACCCCAAGGCGACAATACAGCCGCTTAGAATAACGAAGCACAGGCGAATGCCCGCCGCCCAGAAGGAACGCCGAGAAACAATATCATAGGAATGAATAAGGGCATCAAATACTAGGGGAATCCCACTGAGAATACCATTGCTGCGCACGGTAGTGGCTACCGCGAAGAAGCACCCGGATAGCAACAATTTCATATGGCTCAGAGACCGTTTCCCTGAGTCGAGATCAATGTGGGACGATGAATAGATGTAGAGTCCTGTGATGTTGAGGAATGAGAAAGGAGCTTCCATATAGGGTGCAGTGAGAAAAGCGCCAGCTGGACTAATGATGTGTAGGGCCGCTGCTAGAAAGCAAACGAGCCTTTTCCTCTGGCTATCGTGTCCGAATACATTGATAGAGAGCCGGTACAAAGCCAAGACTGAAAGGTAGTGAGCAACATGAGACACTATGACCCCCGTTACTGCAAACCCAGCCACTCCGTTCGAGTCATCTGATGGGAAAAGAACTGCGGTATTGTTAGAGGGGATGTCCGAAGTGGTGGGGCAAGGGCAGATATACATGAGGACAGATAGTTGACTAGATTACTGTACGTATAACTGAATGCCCATTCCTGCTCGAAGACATAGCCGATCCGTCCTATGTGTACAAAGTAGATTGAATCCCATCGGAGAAACTTCAACGGGATCGAAATATACTCTTGTTTACTCTGAACGGAAGATATGACATCAACAACCGAGTGGTTGTTTTGGTACGGAAGAAGGCTAGAGGAGGTGTCATATCCAAGCCCGGGGCAGCTGATTATGACAACAAAGAGAAGGGTCTTCCAAAGCCAAAAAGCAATTGACAGGCTTTTGACTGGTTGGTTCGGATCAAGGAGACATGGGCTCCGAGAAGCTGTTAGCTTTGGCGAGAAAGCTGTGGTCATGGTGCTATCGACACCGCGGGGCGTCCTTCTCGGAGGTCATAGGACTTGAAGGTTGATGGAGCAACCACGGGCTGCAGAAGGTCTTCAGCGCTGCCTCGGGAGCAGCGATTGCACTGATTGGAGACAGTTAATGATGGATAATGGAACCGCGCTTCTTTGAAAATGGAGATAGTGAAGAAAAAGAATCGGCCTAAGCGGACCCAGAGTTGGGAAGACGCCAAGCTGATCGACCGGATTGCTCGGAAATGAAGCATAAATAAAAACCCGCTTACATAACTTTGTGCATAAAACCGCCGCAAGTCGACAGTTTACTTATGTAAGACCCTCGCGGGCGCAGACTCCAGGCCCCACCATGGCGGAACCCGGGAGCTTGAGAAGGACGATGGAAGAAACGACGGATTGATCAGAAATGAAAAACAGGTTTATGATATAGAGCTGAGGCTGGGGTCAAGCGATAAATGAAAGAGCCGCGGGCACGGGCTCTCTGGCCTGCACAATATAATAAAAATAGAACATTAATATACTGAATAGAGTGTGGTTTGGAGTTCAGCCCTACGGTCCAAGCGGTTACGGAACCAAGGGTGCTCGAGGGACCGCCAAAAGCCTTACGGAGCACCTACCACGTTTGGGCAACCTTTGAGTTTGCCATGGCATCTCAGAAGGCCCACAAGTTCTTCCACTCACAGTCTGGGAAACAGTCAAGCAGGCTTGGAGGAGTCAGCGGCGCAGCGCTCCACGACGATAACCAACTCCTGTTTAGCCGTCTTGTAAGGCTAGTGGTTGTCAGGTTGATCATGATCGTCTCACTCATTCGGCGAAGTGGACCCAAATCGGCATTCGGATGTTGACCATTATTATTATTACCTCAGTCCGAGTTGGGTTTGTGCAGCACTAGCATGCGATGGACCTGAAGGTTTTTACGGTGTGGCCTGCATTCCCCTCCACATATTCTGTACAGTGCGGTCGCGGGTGAATCATTTGGGGCCCTCGCCACCAAGGGATGGAACCCACCGCAGCCTTTTTTGCCGTTCCACACATCATGAAAACTGGTAAAGGGGCCAAGACCAGATGTAGCGGAAATGGAGCCGTGAAAAAGGCTAGAACGAGAGTTGGCGGCGGAGTCAGCAGCTTTGAGTTATGAAGTGCACCGGATAGTCGGACTTTCCGACCATCCGCTCGCCGACGGGCTTAACATCGCGTCCGTCGTCCGTGGATCTACCACGGGGATTACAGCTGCTGGTCTCGTGTCAGACGGGTCTGTTTGAGTCGTGTCCCTTCAAGACAGACGTCAGCTCATTTGAAGGGTGGAACAAAGGATTGAGAGAGCTGCGCAAAGGAATGCATGCTTCTTCCTGCTCGGATCCCAGGGCCAGGCTTGGCTCTTCAGCTGCAGGATGGGAAGCGCCTCGGGACTGCCTGTGATCCATTTAGTGTAGATTGGTTCAGCTAGTGAGCAGTGGCGTCCGGGCTGTTGTAAGTCCGATGACTGAGAAAAGCAGCCATAATTTAATTCGGACCCAAGCAAGATCGGCGAACTAATTGCACGCCGGGGATTGCTATTTGTCGCTCTTCAGATCGCATCGAACAGAAGTGCTGTTAGGGTGACGCACCAAGATCAAAGCTTCGACGGCAATTTCATTTCTGGCCTCCTCTTTCTTTCCCGAGTCCTTTATTCTTCCCTTCCCTGCCATCTCCGGAGCGCAGCTTAAAATCCGAGCGCCGATTCCCGCTGTGGGTTCCTGGATTCGACTCCATACAGACCGACCATCTGACATGAAGAGATTTGATGGAACAGAGCGACTGGTGGCCTGCAGATAAAAAGTGCTGCCTTTTCCATTCCACACACTCGTTCCATCTCTGGATATTAAGGCTGGAGCTGCCCGCAGTTCGCTTCTTTCGCTCTTTCCTCTCCCTTGCAGCTGGCTCTCCCTCTGCTTTTCTTTGATTCCCCTGCTTGTGCTTATTTCCCCGCCCGCCTCTGCGCTGTTCGTCTGGAGCTACAGGGCCTGACGTGACACAGCTGAAGCATCCGTCCCTCCGCTGCTGACCTGGACGTGGACCGCCGCTTGCTTGGGACCCCCTGCCCCATCCTTTCCATGTACTTCTCCTGTCAGCTTCTTTGTGCGCGCCACCTTAATAACACCGTGGGGTCTGTCGTCTCTCGCCAGCCGCTTTCCCTCTTCTTTATAAGTCCATACTTCCAGACAGGGATCGACATTCCCGCCTGTTATGTATAGTTCGCAAACGCCTATCACGCTGCACTTCCAAGATCTTGAACCGAACCATTGACCACCCTGCTGTCGATGTCGTCTTTATCATTCGTCGGAGGTTGATCTCTCTGGATAATGCTCTTCAACCTCGGCTTGACAGCTGATGCCGCTGCCGCCCATAACAGCGAGCTCACTAGTTCCCAATCGGAAACACAACTCTCCATGTCTTCCCGCCAGCCCTCGCCGCGCCCATTTTCATTTAACAATTTACCTTCGTTTAGATTGCACGGTCTTTCTGCCAAAGAGAAAGGCACTGAGGCAGACAAGCCTCGCTATGAGAAACGCCGTTCAATGCCCATCGCCGCTGTTGAGCCCATGTCGTCGAGTGACGAGGACCAGCTTTCAACAGCTGGGCCATCGCCCGTTCGACATCAATTCGGCCACCAGAAGTACACAAAGCAGCTTTCGCGGTCAAAAACCACTTACCAGCTAGCGCACCCTGCGACCAACGCGCGCCATAAGCGGTTGAAGCTCAGGCCTAAGCTGCTCCTCCAACTTCAACAGGTATCGGCCACATCACGCCCATTACCTATATTCGATGTATTGCCATCGACCTTATTTACGTCTAGACTTGCCAGAAAAGTCCCCGCAATTTTGCGTGGTAAGCGGGGCCTAGGCCCAAATGATTTAATCGTCACGACTAGCGATTTATACGAGCGGCCAGTGAGCGACGGACCAGACAAAAGCTTAAGTTCAGACGAGGAAGGGGACCACCGCGAGGTTGTTGCGACCATTTGCCAGTTGCTTAAAGATGAGGCCTTGTCCAAGGGAAAGGCAGAAATTTGCCTCAACTCTGGGGCCGTTTTTGAAGCCACTCCTCTTCCCAACGGATCCTATGAATTTGTTTCAAATACGGATACGGGGCTTATGATTTTACGATGGGTTCGACGTGGGCCAAGGAAGCGTCGTTTATCGGCACCACCTGGCTCAGTTCAGCCTGAGGAAAACCGTCGCTTCACGTTCAGCGTCATCGATCCCACTACACGCCGACATCCTGTGATTGCCTCCATGGCTCGTAATCACCTTGAGGTATATGATAGGTACTCATTACCAAGCACCGCGCCATCCTCGCCTACATCTGGCATGTCCGTCATTAGTGACACCTCCGAGATGGATGTCCCACTGGACCAACACGTTATGGAAACCGATGAGAGACTGCGCCTGTTGATTATAATTACCAGCATCTGGGTTGCTTTCCGAGAGGGATGGTCCCAAAATTTTCGCTACCAAGATTCGCTGGTTAATGGAAAGGCTCCTCGTTCGCCGAGCTTATCAAAACATAATCCTACAACAACCTCTGGAAGTGAGGAGGGCCGAATGCTTTCGGGCAGAGACAATGAGCCTGACAAACCGGCTCAATCGGACCCAAGTCGTCGGGCAGTGACCTGGACCCAAGCAGCTTCCCACCATCCAACAGCAGACCGATCAGCCCAGTATGGGACTTTATCAAAACGCTCCAACTCCACCGGTGCCGCTTTTATTGAACGGTCTAACAAGCGCAATTCATCGGCAAACCGGCATTCTACGCTCTCCACTCCACGCCAGTCGTATGATGGACCGCCCGAGTCCCGGGCTACCCGCCCGGGCTCGATCTGTAGATCCCGGACGCAGCTGCGAAAAGGGGATGGGGAAGACACTAAACTCGAATCCATCCCAAATCAATCCAGAGCGACACAGGGCTCTAAGGATGGCCCTCAGACGACACTTGATAGGCAACCGGAATCTCCTCGTCCAACCAAGGGGAAGCGTCGACATCGGTTTAGTAACCTTTTTGACTTTCTCATTCGGAAGGGAGGGCATCACCCTGAGTGAGCCATGATTCACGGAAAAGTCGTGCCTCATTTGCACGAAGTTATATACTGGCTCCCTTGGATGGGAGACCGAAGAAGATTTTGTTGGACACTGCTAAAGGTTATCTATATTTGTGACCGGCCAGGTGCCGATGTCTATACCGTATGCTACAACAGCAGTTCCATGGGGCTGAGAGAGTCTCTCTAACCACTTCTTATTTATTTCCTGCATTTCAGCGTTTGCATCATTCAATCTCAAGCTGGCCTTACTTCTCACCTCAATCTTGCATTTGCATCGGGGACATGTACATATCTGAGCCGATATAGCTCCGCACATTACGACATCAATACAAAAGAAACTCTCAACTAGTGACAATACCATATATCCAATTGCAGAAATTAGCTAGTTCCCTGACTCTGTAAATTACTGGATACACTGTCAGACATATAGTTTAACTACGAAACATGGCAGGGCTGAGTCAGCATGAAGAATGCCTCTCGCTAAACACCCCACACTCAACAGCTGTTTGTAGTCCGGAAAGGGTCAAGATGAAGTCATCCCCACTCCCGATCCGCGGTCCCGAGATCGGTAACTCATCGGCTCTCCAGACTCTCGCTTCACACTTCGGCAGATCTGGGGTGTCTGATTACGAATTCGCGATCGCTGCCGAATGATTTACGTTCTTTAATCCATATAATTCTCCCCTTATCCTTACCACAATTCAAGCTGTTTGCTACAAACCACCTATACTGCTGGTATGTTACTCCAAGACCCCGCAGCCCCCCACATAGCTACAACATAGGTGCCCAATTCTCTCGCGTCAACAAAAGAGCTAACAAAGCCCAAATAACAACAACAGATTGGAACTACCCTACACATACTGACATAATGGCTACCGAAAACCAAATGGAATATGTTTCGTACGTTATCACTCCCTCAGCTTAACACTTAAGCATTCACTGATCCATTAAAAACAGCCTCGGCAAATCCGGCCTCAAGATCTCCAAGGTCATCCTAGGAACCATGTCCTACGGCACAAGCAAATGGCAAGACTGGGTTCTAGACGAAGACAAATCTCTCCCGCTAATCGAGCACGCCTACAAGCGCGGAATCAACACATGGGATACAGCAGATGTATACTCGCACGGCCGCTCTGAGGAAATCGTCGGCAAGGCGCTGAAGACATACAATATCCCGCGCCACCGGGTCGTGATCATGACCAAGTGCTTCTACGGTGTTGATGACGAGGGCAAGCTCCCTCCCATTGCGGCTTGCAGCCAGAATCAGGGCGATATGGTTAACAGAGTTGGATTGTCGCGGAAGCATATCTTTGATGCGGTTGATGCGAGTATTGAGAGACTTGGGACTTATATCGACGTTCTCCAGATTCATCGGTTGGACCGTGAGACGCCCAGAGAGGAGATCATGAAGGCGTTGAACGATGTTGTTGAGAGTGGGAAGGTTAGGTACATTGGTGCTAGCACGGTATGTTTCCCTTTAACTACTGGAACCAACAGAAAGGATACAGATTAACAAGAATTTATAATAGATGGCCGCCTGGGAATTCCAAGCCCTCAACAACCTCGCCGCCTCCAAGGGCTGGCACACCTTCATCTCCATGCAAAACTACCACAACCTGATCTCGCGCGAAGAAGAGCGCGAAATGATCCCTTACTGCCTCGACGCCGGCATCGGTCTAATTCCCTGGTCCCCGATGGCCCGAGGCCTCCTCACCCGCCCCTGGCGCAGCGCGCCTTCGCTCCGTGAGAACACGGACGGTGCATTGAACTTCCTCCTCCGCAACCGGGAGACCGAGGCGGATAAGAAGATTGTGGACCGAGTTGAGGAGATTGCGAAGAAGAAGGGCATCAGCATGGCCCAGGTGGCCATTGCCTGGTCGCTGAGCAATAAGAATGAGAACCCTATTTTGGGGCTGAGCAGTAAGGAGAGGATTGACGAGGCCGCTGCTAGTATTAAGGTTGTGTTGACGGAGGAGGAGAAGAAGTATCTGGAGGAGCCTTATGTGCCCAAGACGCTGTCGCCTCTGGAGAAGTAAACTATTTGATCGGGACAACGTTAAGGGTACAGACGGCTTTTGTCCGGTCTATCTAAAGCTTATATATAGTAACATGAAATAAAGGATAACGTTTGAATATATCGAACATAGCTTTCCAGACATTTCCTGACATATCAATCAACTAGACCCCGCAAACACCTCCATCAGATCCAGTAACTCGGACCATCTCGAATCTTTCTGAATCTCTATACGGCCCTCCGGGGTAGCGACCTTAACCTCGTCCGTTTTCTCAGTTCCATAGGCATGACCTGGCTCGTCGTTAACAAAAGCCACCAAGTCTCGGACCCACTCATGCATGAGTTGGTGCTCTGCAGGGGTTGGCCCATGCATGATAGAATAGCTATTTGATATTTGCATTAGCCAAACTCAATATCACGTTAAATGGATATATTAGGGTATACTAACTTCCAGAATGGTCTATCCATGGCATGACTAACACCAAATGAAGCTGGAGCTACGTTTTCTGTGATGAAAGAGAGCCGATATGCGATTATATACCGCCAGATATCACGAACCTCGACACCATTCTCGAGAAGATTGTTGACGAGGAATCTTGAAGGTGCTCGTACCTGGCCGTCTGATATGATTCGGCCGAACACTGCCTCCCAGCCTTGCTTCTGGGGGGCAGAAGGCAATGGGTAATGTCTCAGTAGGCGTGAAGTTGTTGAGGGCGAATAATAATTTGATATTTGTGTTTCCAGAGACTCGAGACTTGCATCAGGCCCGTTAGTCACAGCGTATAGCGTCTCTTCATTGAGGACTTCACCGATGAAGATTCGTAGCCCGCGCCGCTTGAATTCGCGCGCAAAAGAACCATCTCGATAGTAAGCGAATATGCCCGGATGAATGAAAACACCATCAGTTATCGGCCGAAAAGTGTGGTTTTTGAGTTTCATTATGGCATCCCTTAGCTCTTCTGCACCGAGGCCACGCAAGAGCTTCAGCTTTTCAGGCCCAGAGCTTGTCGAAGGGATACCAAAGTAGTCGCAAAGCTCATCAAATTGTGGCTGACACTCCTCAGACGTCTTAGGCTGAGTAGGAATGGCATTTGAATACATGACCAACCTCCTGAACTGGTTCCTGGAAGATTCAGGAAGCGTCCCTCGGAAATCATAGAGCGTTTGTGCCTGCACGGAATACGCGCCTGCGCTTCTACCTGAGAGTGTTATATTCCCAGGGTCACCGCCGAATGCACTGATATTATCATATACCCAGTCCATTGCAAGTCGCTGGTCCCAGAGTCCGTAGTTTCCCACAGCTCCGTCTGGATTCTCGTCTTGTAAAGGTGCTCCAGCTAGAAAGCCAAAGACATTAAGTCGATATCCTACCGCCACAAAGACAGCATTAAGTCCGCCAGTGGAGATGAGCTCGGTAGGATCCATCGAAGCTTCATTACTGGGGTCACCCATTTGAAACCACCCTCCATGAAACCAGACCATGACTGGCCATTTGACGTTTTGATTCCCTTCGCACTCTGGCACCGGCGTCCAGATGTTCAGCCGGAGACAGTCTTCTCCGTAATCATGCTGCGGAACATTCTTTTTCACAGAAGCCGAATAGTTAGGCTGGAGGCAGACCTGGCCGAACGTCCTGCCGTCGAAAGGCGCTCCCTCTGATGTTGAGTACGAATATGACTCAGGTAATGGCTGCGGCTTGCGCCATCTTCGATCACCGGTAGGAGGAAGAGCGTATGCAATATTCGCAAATCGGCGTGATTTGCTGTCGAACTGTAGGCCTTTGATGTTACCTTTGGATCCTGAAAGTTGGACTTCACATTCGGAAGTCTGATACGAAAGCGTGTTTCCCATTGTATGACTTTTTCAAGTTGAAACACTGTCCTTAACATTGAAAAGACGTACGAAATTAAAGGAAAACATGACTTTTGAGTGAAATAGCTTTGGAGAACCCCGGGGGCGAGGCGATTGTTCCTATTGATTGCTCTCGTCCAATGATTGGCCCATTTAATCGACATCTGGTGCCTGAGGCAGAGTATCCTATCTGCTCTGTTGGAGATACCACCGAAACACACTCTCTTACGCCCGTTTCCGCACTGTCCCACAGAGTGTTAGGAGTCATGTATAGCTCAACACGCAGAAGGAAGGAATTTATACTCTAAGTTCTCGGTATAAGCGATAAGCATATGGATCGCGGGGAGTCGGTCACTCGAACCCGTCGTCCCCGCGTGGAGCGTGGTCGGTCTCGGAATGGTGATACTCATACTCGATACTTGCGTGTTTAAGCACCACTAGCTGACGAGATACGCAGGCTGCTCCACGTGCATAAGCAAGAAAGTCAAATGCGACGAGGCTCGCCCACACTGCAGAAGATGTACCCGGCTCAGCTTGACCTGTGAATGGCCATTGCCCAAGTCGTCGCTGGCCTCCAGAAGACGTGGCTTAGGTCCTATTAAATCTCGTGATCCCAATTGGTCTCCTACTTCTATTATGCCAAACGACGGCGACGATGTTTTATCCCACCTGTCGGCAATGACTAGCTGCATGCCCTTGACGGTGGTGGATGATCTTTCCCTCCCCCAATGCCATGGCCTCCTTTCGGGAGGTTCTAATGGTAATGACTACCAAACTATGGACGAGGTATCTCTAATGCTGATGCTGTCGGATGATATATCGCAAGGCGTATTCCCGACAGCAGACAGTTCAACAGAAAAACACGTTTTGTCCGTGGCCAAAACTCCTGATGAAGAGCATTTGGATAGTCTGTTGTGTGCGAATGCACTTGAACTACCGGGGCCTTTAGCAATCGATAACCCACTCGCCGTTACAGATCTATCGTTTGTGTATGCTCCTGGGGCCTCTCTTGCGCTAGGCAGCGACGACAAGCAAGCTGTCTTGTTCCATTGCAAGCTCTTTGCTTCCTTGAAGTCTACGCGTGCTTGGAGCTGTTCAGCACACACTCTCTTCTTTAAAAAGGCCTACGATAGAGCCATGGCCCTCCATTTCCTCCTCGCTGTTTCCCATAGTGAGCTGGCCATTCATTACGGTCAAGGTCCGCAACCACCCAAAGAGTCGCAAGAGCATTTTCACCGAGGATCTCAATTATTCTTGCAGTCCCGCAGTGCCTTTGCGTCTCCAGATCATATCAACATGATGATCTCATTCTTGTATATGTACATGTTTTGGATGCGACGTGATCACTTTGACTCCAACAAGCTTGGAGACCTAAGTCGAGCGGTCCTTGCCTATACCAGAACATATGGTGTGGACACGCTGTGTGCCAGCGACGATATACTCTCCTTCGACAACACCTTCTGTGGTAGTGTAATAACTGTCTCCGAACAGGTCTTGTTGGCCAGAATTATCGCATACCTATACGATCGAGACGGGTTCTGTTGTTTCTTTGGATGCGGTGGGTATTTTGCGGACTATATAAACAGCGCCCCTCAGAAGCGACAAAAGTTTTGGCTACGATCGCGTACTGCCTTTTTTTTGCCCTGGAATGACGCCGGCTACATTCACGGCGCAGAATCAGAGGTGGAGGATGCAGCAACTCTGGATGTTTACTTTGAACTCATTGTTTTGCATCAGGAGATCAACTCTTACAGTCAAGCTACTGCGACGCGTGCGATAACTATGGGACCGAGACTACAGCGGTGGTTAGAGGCCATCTACAGAGTAAGCAAGATCGTTCTCGGATACGAAATGACCTTGGATACTAATGAGATGTAGGAACATACCATGCTCTTCCATCGGGTCGCAGACCAGACATACCACGCCGAATGTACGTTGATGACCTTTATCACAGCTACTTTCTTTTATGCCATGCAGATTTATCTGTATCGTGCTCGTGGCTCTTTGTTTGGGGGTGAACCCATCCCTTCCGGGCTTCAGGATGCTCTCAATTCGTTAGTATCCGCCGCGTACTACGCCACCAAAGCCGGATCTGTGCAACTTCTTGAGCGCTTCCAATGGTCACTCTTTATTGCTTGGCTGGAGACCACCGATCCTGTCCACCAGGAGTGGGTTGAAAACAACATTTCTGACCCTGCAATCAAGAAAGTGTTGGGCCATGTCCAAGACATCAGAAACCAACCACCTGCTGGTATCACAATGAAGAAGATTCGTTCCCTCGTGGGCGAAGGCTTCGCGGCCTCGTGATGTGTGCTTGACCTCCAATCGGCAAATTGTGCGGCACCCCCTGTACCCCTTCTCCAACTAAGGATGTCCCCATATGCTAAGTCTGGAGTAGCGCCGAGATCGGCTCCCCACGCCTCGATTAATTTGGCCAACGAGATGGCTCAAATTTATCATTGTCAATGATACTACTCTCCGCATTTTAGTTTATTTATCTCCTCAGTCTTTCTCAGTTGGTCTGAGTCTCCCTTTATAACGTGGAGTCACTCGCATATGATATCGCTCACCAGCCAGCTACACAAGGGATTTTGCCTACCATGGAGAACTCCATTCAGGCTTCGCCCGGCATGGACGCGAAGAAAAACGACTCTGTCCTTGGTGCCGATAAAGACTACGGGACGACAGAGACCATGAGCTCTAAAGAGGAAAAGAGGCTTGTGAGAAAGATCGATTTTCAGTACGTAACCCATTTTAGCGTGAATGAAGCATACACTTACTCGAACAGTCTTATGCCACTCCTTATAATCAGTTATGGCCTTCAGTACCTTGACAGTATGACTTGATATCTCTGGTTTATTTTCATTGTCTGACTCACTTACTCGCAGAGACCAGTCTATCCTATAGCGCTGTCCTTGGTTTACGAGAAGACTTGGTATGGTGTCCTTGCTTGCTCATGATTAAATCGTTCGCTAACCGATAACGGCTACAGAATCTCAAAGGACAAGAGTTTAGCTGGGCATCCGGTATCTTCTATATTGGGTATCTAGCTGCCTCGTATCCTATTTCACTTGGCTTCGTCCGATTTCCCTTGGGAAGATATCTAAGCGTTTTAATGTTTGTTATCCCCCCTTCACACGTGTATTGATATTGACTTGCCGACCTCTAGTTTTCTATGGGGAGTGGTTCTCACCCTCCATGCTGTTGCAGAGAATTATGCTGGATTGATGGTACTACGAACTTTGCTTGGCATATTTGAGAGCGCGATAAGCCCTGGGTTCTCGCTCATTACTGGAATGTGGTACACTCCTAGGGAGCACGTCTCTCGTCACTCGTTTTGGTTCGCTGGAAATGCCACCGCTAGTCTGATCGGATCAGGTATCGCGTATGGAATTCTGCAATATACGGGGAGTTTCAGTCAATGGAAGGTTAGCTCTTCATATATTACAGATGGAAAAGCACGATCTAACATCGATTTTAGATGCTTTTTGTTATATTTGGACTCATAACAGTTGCGTGGTCGATACTTCTATGGTTCTACCTTCCCGATACTCCTTCAAACGCGCGCTTCCTCACTCCCACTGAACGAGAATTCGCGTCCCTGAGACCAAAGAAATTCCAACATACAACCCAGACAAAGAAATGGGACCAAGGTCAATTCATCGAGACTTGGAAAGACGTCAAGACATGGTGGTTCTTGCTGTTTTCCTTTATAATTTGCGTACCAAACGGCGGTACAACCAGTGTAAGCACCCCTTTTACTCTCCCGCACTCGATAGGTACAAACTAATCAGTACAATCTCTATAGTTTAACACAATCATTATCAACAGCTTCGGCTACGATGAATTTCAAACAATTCTTATGGGAATGCCAGCTGCCGCTTTCCAACTCACCACAGTCATTCTGGCAGCTCTATTCACAACCTACATTCGCAAATCCAGATTGATTGCTTTGGTTGCCATCTTCCTAATGGCGTTGGCAGGGATTCTCATGGTAAAGCTTCTCCCTGACACGAAGAAGCTATCTCGACTAGCGGGCTTCTGGCTCGTCACTGCCGTCGCTCCTGCCTTCCCTCTCATGATGTCAATGTTCGCAAGTAATACGGCTGGTTTCACGAAAAAGTCTAGCGTGGTCGCCCTGATATTTGTGGGATATTGTGTCGGGAACTTTGTCGGGCCACAATTTTTCAAAAATACCGAGGCACCAGCATACGGGGTAAGATCCTATTATAATACGTTAAACTATAAACCATTGGGGTGTTGCTTAGTGCTGACTATTTCTGCCTCTAGACTGCATACACAACGATCCTCACTTGCTACGCAATTTCGATTGTCATGGCGGCTGGATTCCGGGTATATCTCGGCTGGGTGAATAATAAGAGAGATCAGGCTCAAGGAATATGCATTGATCCGGAGGAAACTCGCGAGATTGACCTACATGCAGACGAGGAGCTGGATCATGTAGATGAAACCGATATCCAGAACCAAAGCTTTAGATATATCCTATGAAGCGCAAGATTCTGCTGTATGACTCGAAGGCGAGCTATATCATATCGAGAATACTACTAAATTATGGAACCTATTTACATCACCATTTTAAATGTAATTGAGCCCTATCGTATTGGTAAAGCCTGAGGCAGCAACACTCACCGTGTTTTTGCCTTGATGCCTGAATTTCGCTATCAAATGTGGAGAAATTTTTGATAGCGAAACCGGCGGGAATTTCTTCGCGTGCCCCTCGGCTAGACCTGATTCACTATTGAGTCATATACTCTCGATCCAGTACATAACCCCCCCTAGTGCAGCTCGACGCCCCGATTTATCAAGGGCATCGGTGCAATAATGGGTGCCGAATCAGTTCCATTGCAGGAACGCCTTGAGCGCTGGGCTCAAAGGCTACAAAACCTCACCGTCTCCCCACTAACCCGCGACTATCCCGACAACCAGAACCAAGAGCTGCCCAAGAGGGCCATTGAGGCTTTCGAGTCCCTTAAGCTTTCCAATGACACAGCATCTGCGTTGCAAAATCTATCCGGCACATCCTCAGGATTCACAGTTTTCCTGACTGCATTCGTTGTACTTGTCGCTCGTTTGACTGGTGATGAGGATATCGCCATTGGCACGAGCGCTAGTGAGGATGGCCGGCCCTTCGTCGTAAGAGTGCCAATTGATGCCTCAGAGACATTCCTTCAGCTGCTCTCCAAGGTTCAAAAGGTAATTGAGTTAATTGATCAACCTTCGACGCTGGCTTACCTAGTTTTAGGCCTACGATGAGGGGTCATCCGAGATCGTGCCATTAGGCAGTCTGCGGTCCCATATCCAAGAGAAATCGCAATCCGAACGATCCCCAATCCTCTTCCGCTTCGCCGCATACGATGCCCCGGCTGCCTCCCAGGACTATCCTGCCAATACCTTCGAGACAACGGATTTGGTGGTCAATGTTGCGCCAGCGAGCACCTCGGACCGGTCGACGGAGCTGGGAGCATACTATAACCAGAGACTGTTCTCCAGTGTCAGAATAAGCACAATTCTTAACCAGCTAACTCAGCTGGTCAAGAATGCTACAAGCAAACCAGAAACGGCAATTGGGCGCATTGATTTCATGACCCCCGAGCAACGAGCCCTTCTTCCAGACCCTACCGCAGACTTACATTGGTCCAAGTTCCGAGGGGCTATCCACGACATTTTCTCTGAGAACGCTCAAAGTCACCCGGACAAGCTTTGCGTTGTCGAAACCAAGTCCGCTACTTCTGCCCACCGCGAGTTCACCTACCGTCAGATTAATGAGGCCTCAAACATTCTCGGTCACCACCTGGTTCAAGCAGGTGTTGAGAGAGGCGATGTTGTTATGGTCTACGCATACCGCGGCGTTGACTTGGTTGTGGCTGTCATGGGTATCCTCAAGGCGGGTGCAACATTTTCCGTTATCGATCCTGCATACCCTCCTGAGAGACAATGCATTTACCTCGATGTGGCTCGTCCTCGGGCGCTGATCAACATTGCGAATGCCACCAAGGATGCAGGCGAGCTATCTGAAAAAGTACGCACATTTATCGGTGAGAACCTAGAGCTTCGAACTGAGATTCCTGCCCTCGCCTTGCTTGACGACGGTACGCTCCTGGGAGGCTCGATTGATGGACAAGATGTCCTGGAGAAGCAGGTGCCTTTGAAGTCTAAGTCTGTCGGCGTCGTTGTTGGTCCTGATTCTACTCCAACGCTATCGTTCACCTCAGGCTCCGAAGGTAGACCTAAGGGTGTTAGAGGTCGGCATTTCTCCTTGGCGTACTATTTCCCATGGATGGCGGAGACATTCAAGCTGAACCCTAACGACAAGTTCACAATGCTCAGCGGAATTGCCCATGACCCCATCCAAAGAGATATCTTCACTCCTCTTTTCTTGGGAGCTCAGCTACTTGTACCCGCCCGCGAGGATATCCAGAACGAAAAACTGGCCGAGTGGATGCGCGATTACGGCGCTACAGTCACCCATCTTACTCCTGCCATGGGTCAAATCCTTGTGGGAGGTGCTTCCGCACAGTTTACTGCTCTCCATCATGCTTTCTTCGTCGGAGACATCCTGATTAAGAGAGACTGCCGCTCTCTGCAAGGGCTGGCCCCGAACGTCAACATCGTCAACATGTATGGAACCACCGAGACGCAACGTGCTGTCAGTTACTTCGAGGTCCCGAGTTATTCGAGCGACGGCGGATACCTCGACACTATGAAGGATGTGATCCCGGCTGGGCGCGGAATGCTCGATGTGCAGATGCTGGTTGTCAACCGTTTTGAGCCTAGCCGCATCTGCGCTATCGGCGAAGTGGGAGAAATCTACGTTCGTGCGGCTGGTCTTGCGGAAGGGTACCTTGGTTCGCCTGAACTCAGCCAGAAGAAGTTCCTCACCAACTGGTTTGTTGATCCTAAGACGTGGGCAGAGAAGGATGCTGCGGAGTCGCAAGGCACGAATGAACCTTGGAGGGAGTTCTACGTTGGACCTAGGGACCGTTTGTACCGCAGCGGTGACCTTGGCAGATACACTCCATCTGGAGATGTCGAGTGCTCTGGACGTGCTGATGATCAAGTGAAGATCCGTGGATTCCGTATCGAGTTGGGTGAAATCGATACCCATCTTTCCCGCCATCCTCTTGTAAGAGAGAACGTGACGTTGGTTCGTCGAGACAAGTTTGAAGAACCCACTCTTGTCAGCTACTTTGTGCCTGACATGGGCAAGTGGGCCTCGTGGCTAGAGGAGAAGAGCCTGAAGGATGACGACTCCGCTGAAGGAATGGTTGGCATGCTAAGACGATTCCGCCCACTTCGTGATGATGTTCGCGACCTCCTCCGCAGCAAGCTCCCCGCTTACGCTGTGCCCACCGTCTTTATTCCACTCAAGCGAATGCCGCTCAACCCTAACGGAAAGATTGACAAGCCTGCTTTGCCGTTCCCTGATACTGCAGAGCTCAGCGCTGCGGCTCCTCAGCGTAGGCCATCAGCCTTGAAGTCTCTTTCAGAGACCGAGCAGGCCCTGGCACAAATCTGGGCTAATCGGATTGCCAATCTCACTGCCCCCATGATCGGTCCCGAAGATTCATTCTTTGACCTTGGAGGTCACAGTATTCTCGCGCAGCAGATGTTCTTTGATCTGCGACGCAAGTGGCGTGGCATCGACATCAGCATGAGTGCTATTTTCCGCAGCCCTACCCTCCGCGCCTTCGCTGCGGAGATCGATCGCCTGTTGAACTTCGAATCCTTCGCCAGCAACGATGACAACGCTGAAACCGCTGCCGTAGCTAACGAGCCTGATGACGAATACTCCCGTGATGCCCGCAAATTGGTCGATACCCTGCCCAAGACCTTCCCGGCCCGCACCGAGGACATCCTTTCCACCGAACCAACGATCTTCCTCACTGGTGCTACCGGTTTCCTCGGCGCGCACATCCTCCGCGACCTTCTCACGCGTAAGTCTCCGTCCGCAAAGGTTGTCGCGCTTGTTCGTGGCAAGAGTGCTGAGCAAGCCCTCGCCCGCGTCCGCTCAACTTGCCGAGCCTACGGCTTTTGGGACGAATCTTGGGCCTCCCGCCTTGAATGTGTCTGCGGTTCTCTCGGTGATGCTCGCTTCGGCCTCACTGAAGCAGCCTGGGATGACCTAACCAACCGCGTGGATGTAGTCATCCACAACGGTGCCCTCGTCCACTGGGTCTACCCCTACTCCACTCTCAAGCCAGCCAACGTCCTCGGTACCATTGATGCCCTGAAGCTCTGTGCAACTGGCAAACCTAAGCAGTTCTCCTTCGTCAGCTCAACTAGTGTCCTCGACAGCGACCACTACGTCCTGGAATCCGAGCGCAGCATCGCTGCCGGCGGAGCAGGTATCAGCGAAGATGATGACCTAGAGGGTAGCAGCGTCGGTCTTGGAACCGGCTATGGCCAGAGCAAGTGGGCTGGCGAGTACCTTGTCCGTGAAGCAGGAAAGCGCGGACTGAAGGGTACCATCGTCCGTCCTGGTTACGTCCTAGGAGATTCAAGAAGTGGAAGTATGTCTCTACGAACCGAACCCGTCCTTAAACATTCGAAATAAATTACTGACTAATGCCTTTTTGCTTCACATAGCAACAAACACAGATGACTTCCTCATCCGCATGATTAAGGGTTGCATCCAGCTTTCCGCGCGTCCGAACATCAACAACACAGTCAACATGGTTCCCGTTGACCACGTCGCCCGTGTTGTAATTGCCGCTGCCTTCCGACCCCCAGTCTCGCCTATCGGAGTCGCCCAAGTAACAGGCCACCCACGCCTGCGTTTCAACCAATTCCTCGGTGCGCTCCAGCTGTACGGGTATGATGTTCCACAGGTCGACTACGTGCCGTGGTCGAAGTCGCTGGAGCAGTATGTGAACAGCGGGGAGCATGATGACCCCGAGTCGCAGCATGCTTTGTATGTTTTATTCTCTACCCTTAAGCAGCCCCTACCAGGCCCTAGATTATTTGAATTGGATTGGGCCTGTGAGGATGCAATCTTTGGTATATGATGCTAATAATCGATTGTCTGACACAGGATGCCGTTATACCATTTCGTCACGGCGGACTTACCGTCTAATACCAAAGCGCCCGAGTTGGATGACGTCCATGCGGCTGCTTCGTTACGTGCTGACGCCGCGTGGTCGGGCGTTGACGCCTCTGCGGGTGCCGGTGTGACGGAGGAACTAGTCGGCCTTTACGCCTCTTATCTTGCATCTGTTGGCTTCTTACCGGCACCATCAGCGTCAGCCACGGGAGCGCGTCCACTGCCCGCCGTTACGATTACTGGTGATCAGAAGGAGGCGATGGCAGGCGTTGGTGGCCGAGGCGGTGCTGCTTGATCTTGCTATATTCCCTGTTATATTTTCACTTTGGTTTTTCATTTTGGTTTTCAAAAAGCTTGTTTCCGATCTCAGTTTCCAAATGCTTGTAGAGTCACGATTAGGTAGGATGGTATAGAACTTGTCTGTATATAGACAACACGAGGTCAGGAGATAGAACAAAGGTAGGAGAAATTAAATATACCACCTTAAACGATATCTACTGCCTATCCCCGACATTGCCCCGATCACAAGTTGCTGAGAGCATCACACAATCTTCCCACTCCTTATCAGGAGGAATTATTTGTATAATGTGGCATGCTTCGCCAAGAGGTAGCAAGCGCTATTCTTTTTGGTGCAACATTCCATGCGATGTCAGTCTTATTATTGTCTTGCTGTCCTTCTGGGCTATCCAAATCATCTTCCTATTCTCGGTGCTTAAGTCAATCTCTTTCGAATAGTACCCAACATGACAACTCAAGGTATGCGTGGTGGCTCTTTTGTCAGTACTGAATCCCTATCTCCATCACAGGCTGCTTATCTGCTGCTTGTTGATATGTTTGAATAGTTTGTTCATTGTCTCTATTTGACTGCAATCACCCTTGCTGGAGACACATATCATCGAATATTATGGTCAATCATCATGTTGTTACCACTAGTTATCTCAGATGCTAGCAAGAGTCCCTTGCCCACTGGTGTACTTCGCCGGGACATTTATCCTTGAATGTCATAGAATGTATATCTCAAGGGTTTTGCACCGATTTATCTTACCCATTGACTTAATAAGCAGTATTGTTACACAATCCATTCCTATCACCGAGTGCTAACACATCGTCTTGTTCAGACCGATTCACCACCGCCCTCTCCCAGAATAAAGCATGGGCAGCCAAAGTAGCCCAGGACCATCCAGAGCTCTTCCACAAACTCTCAGCCGGCCAGCAGCCCGAGATTCTCTGGATCGGGTGTTCCGACTCGCGATGTCCCGAGACGACTTTGCTTGGCCTCCATCCAGGCGACGTATTCGTTCACCGGAACATCGCAAACATACTGCACCCCTCCGACCTCAGTTCCTCTGCCGTCATCGAATTTGCCATCCGCCATCTCAATGTAAAGCATGTCGTTGTGTGTGGACACACAAAATGCGGAGGCGTGGCGGCGGTATTGGGTAACAAACAACTCGGTATTCTTGATCCATGGCTTCTACCTTTAAGGCGGCTCCGCGAGAGTAATTTGGATAGGCTGGATTCACTACCGGCTGACAAGGCGGCACTCAAATTGGCCGAGTTGAATGTGCTCGCTGGAGTGAAGACACTCAAGCAGAAGGGTGTCGTGTGGGAGGCAATGCAGAAGGGCTTGCAGGTCCATGGTCTTGTGTATGATGTTGGGAGCGGTGTCCTTGAGGAACTGGACACCCAGGAGGCTGATGAAACTGTCAGAAGATGCTTTGCATCATTCTAGATGGGCAATGCTCTTATATTTCTTTGATGCGTTGACACTGGCTACCAATTTTGCACATGCAATGATATTGAATCAAGTAAAGCTCATTGCATAAATAATTACCGGTTAAACTGAAGCGATTCTGTGGCCGTTGCGGCCACGTCTAATAATACTTGTCGCTAACCAACCCAAACGCCAAACCATGCTCTATCTTATACAATCTTTTACTATAAACATCAAACAACCTTTAATCCTGGATCCCACACCATTCACATCTTCGGTCTAGCACCGAGGAATTTCTTTTCTTCCTCCTCCCACTGCTTGCGCTCGACCACCTTTCTTGCCCTAAACGCCTTCACAAAACGCCAGACCTCGGTATCAGCCATGTTCCAGGCCTCTGCCACAGCTGGGGTGTTGACCCGGTTGGTCTTTTGCCTCAGTATTTCCCTTGCCTGCTGGATGATTGTATATTCGGCTTCAACCCCCTTTGCGCTGGGGTTGGCATGCTGCATTGACTCCTTAGTGTCGCCCTCGTTCTTTGCGTCTACGTTGCTGTCGCGGGGGATCCGGAATCCAAGCTCCCACTCGAAGTCATCTAGGAGTTCAGTAGGGAGCGCCTGGCCAAACTCGGCTGACAACGATTCAACTGTCGTCCATAACGACGTCCCAAGGGCTGGCTGATCTGCGACAACCTTCTTGAACAAAACCACTCTGGGTCCGCCGCCAAGTTCATGATTCATCTGATCGCCGGTTACCTCTTTTAGCCAAGCATCACGCGTGGTCTCGCGTCGAATGTGGCGCGTTGTAACCTCCGCCGAACTGTTCAGCAAACTGATAAGAGTATACGGATGCGGAAGAATCCCAATAGTAAAAGACTGGGTGTTGTTGTTGTAGGTGGTTGGCTGTGAAATTTTCGTGAACTTCTGTGCATTGCAAGGGCGGCACTCTGGCAAATTTGGAGGACAAGATGAGGGCTCAACAGTCTCGGGGCACTTGCCGAGCGCTTTGGCTAGTCTCAACGCTGGCTCAACCAAGGCCGTGGTGTGTTCAGCAAAGGGTTTTAGAACTACGATCCCACCCGGAAACGAGCCCATGAACGTATTTTGCAGATGCGAGTTGATGAGATCAACTAACTTATTCCGACGTTCAGGCAGCGAGGGAATGGCCTTTTCTGTAAGGGTAGGATAGCGTTCGGAAATTGTAGCGGAATCATAGAACGCCAGAGAGTTTGTTCGTTCAGACTGAAGCAGCTCACTCGGTATAAACTCCGCTAAGTATTTGGTTGATTTGTCGATGTGTTTACTCGCTTTCTCGATGGCGGTATTTATCGCGGGCTTCTTCCCAAGAAGCAGAGCACTGTTTGCCTTGTCGAACCGGGTGATTTGGTCGGAATCGGGACCACGGCGTAGATGCGAGAGGGTTGCATCGTCGTATTTCGCCATTGGGAAGCAACGCCAATCGGCAAGCAGGCCATCGCCCATATGGCCCCAGGCAAGCCATCTGAATAAATCCGCTTCCATTTCAGGGCCCAATTCCACGTGTTTCAAGGTCTGATACAACGGGTTGGCCATCGCCTCAGCCCGGCTCAGGATCACTGGACGGAATCCCTGAGCATACCAAGCGCGACGCCAGGCATGCAAAAGCCGTGCATCTGCGATATCATCGTCCCGGGTATGGCCTTTCTTTGGCTCGTAGAATGTGAAGACATACGGGCGGTCGGGAAGCGGAGGGAGGACAGATCGGTCCTGATCAAGGGTGATGGAAGACGAAAAAGGATTGAGCCATGCCAAATGGCTAAACCATTTTGAATCACCACTCGAACTGTCCTGTTGTAGCTCGGGCGGGCTGTGTGCTGGCGGTTGAAAAGTCGGCAGGTGCAGATCGTTCAGGGACGGAATTTTGGGGACATATTTGGCTGCCGTCGATATCTCCGAGTCCTCGCCGAAGGAATCGGTGTTTGGCGAAGAGAAAATAAACAGAAAAAAGACAACAAAAAGAACAATGGCAATGAGGGATGTGCTGCGACGCGCGATCATGGTATCGCTTTGACCGGAGCTCGATGAACCGGAGATGTGACCAGGTCTGAGACGGAAACGAGCCTGTTAGCAGACCCCTATTGAGGAAGCCAGGGCAAGCAATGCAAGGCTGGTAAACAGACGATTTCTGGGCAAATGTTGAAGCTATTGAGAACCCAATCAACCCGCGGACGACTGGTAGAATCTGAAATCACGCACAAAACGTGCCTCTGAGAAGAGCAGCTCCATGATACGTCTTCTCGCTGACCTTGTTCCGTCGATCGATGGTGATTTTCCGCTTGAGTTTCCGGATGCGGAGTGTATACGCGTCACGTGTCTGCGGATGAGACGTTACAGCCTCAGGCAGAAACTCCCGATAAGGCCGTTATCTGTTATCTAATCTATGGGCCTGCTTACAACGCGAAGGTCGTGACAGGACAGAAATATCTGTGCGCTGGTTACTTGTTGAGATCGGAATTCCCCATGGTCGCATCTACTAGTATTAATTTTAAACCTAATTTTGTCGAACCGCCTGACAACGCCGCATTCCGCCGTGGCTGATTGGGAGGGGGATGACTTCAGGCGTGGCGGCTCCCATCGGACTGTGGCGATCCCCGCGCTGCACCCAAAGTCCAGTTTTACTTATCAGGCACTCGACATTCGACATATTAAACTCGCCTTCTCCCCACTCCCTCTGATGTCTATTTCAGGTACCTCCTCCCAGTGTAGCCAAATGCGATTGAATCATGGCTCCCGGTGTTCTACTACAGCCTTCGCAGGGGGAGCTTGATATAGCTTCCTCTTCAAGGGCTCCCGCTACTTCCTTGGCACAACTTACCGAAGAATGGGACGACACCATTCGTTTTTATCTCAATGGAACCAAGGTGGTTTTGGACTCGATTGATCCTGAAATCACTTTGCTGGAGTATCTGAGGGGTATTGGGCTAACAGGGACAAAATTGGGATGTGCAGAAGGTGGCTGCGGCGCTTGCACAGTGGTACGTTGGCTTCTGATGGTATTATCGATATCTCTGACTTCGGATAGGTGGTCTCTCACATAAATCCAACTACGAAGAAACTCTATCATGCCTCTGTTAATGCCTGTATTGCGCCGCTAATTGCTGTCGATGGCAAGCACGTTATAACGGTGGAAGGCATTGGGAACGTGAAGAACCCACATGCGGTTCAGCAGCGGATGGCAATTGGGAACGGAAGCCAGTGTGGTTTTTGTACTCCAGGGATTGTGATGGTATGGCTTCAGTAGGGTGTCACAGATGGTATGGAAGCTGTACTAACGTTCATCAAGAGCCTTTATGCCCTCATACGAAACGACCCCCAGCCTTCCGAGCACGCGGTAGAAGAGGCTTTTGACGGGAATCTATGTCGCTGTACTGGCTATCGACCGATTCTCGACGCTGCTCAAAGCTTTTCTAGCCCGACTGGCTGTGGAAAGTCCCAGGCAAATGGTGGTACTGGCTGCTGTATGGAGAAACCGAATGGGACGAACAGATGTTGCAAGAGCCCTTCGCTAGAGGCTACCGAAAGTGCTACTCTCAAATTTGCCTCGCCCGATTTTATTGACTACAAGCCTGACACCGAATTGATCTTTCCCCCGACACTTTGGAAGCAAGAGCTGCGCCCGCTAGCTCTTGGGAACAAACGAAAGAAGTGGTATCGGCCAGTCACCATACAGCAGCTTCTAGAGATTAAGAGCGTCCACCCCGATGCAAAATTAATTGGTGGGAGTACTGAGACACAAATCGAAATCAAGTTCAAGCAAATGCGTTATAGTGCATCTGTTTATCTCGGCGACCTTGCTGAACTCCGCCAATTTGCCCTCCATGATGACTACTTGGAAATCGGTGCCAACATCTCTTTGACTGATCTTGAATCTGTATGCGATCAAGCAGTTGCTCGCTATGGTCCAATTCGTGGTCAGCCATTCATCGCCATCAAAAAGCAGCTCCTATATTTTGCTGGAAGGCAAATCAGAAACGTAGCCTCGCCAGCCGGAAATCTGGCGACGGCATCCCCTATCTCCGACCTCAACCCTGTATTTGTGGCTACGAACACGACCTTGGTTGCTAGATCATTAGAGAAGGAGACCAAAATCCCAATGACCCAGTTCTTCAAGGGTTATCGGTCCACAGCCCTCCCACCAGATGCAATCATCTCACATTTACGGATTCCTACTGCGTCAGAGAATGGAGAGTATATGCGCGCTTATAAGCAATCTAAGAGAAAGGACGATGACATTGCAATCGTGAACGCCGCTTTGCGTGTGTCACTCTCGCCGTCCAACGTCGTCACAAGCGTGAATCTAGTTTTCGGTGGGCTAGCACCTTTGACAGTATCTGCGCAGAACGCGGAAGCCTTTCTTGCCGGGAAGGTGCTCACCGACCCGGCAACTCTCGAAGGTGCCATGGGTGCTCTAGAGCAAGATTTCAACCTAAAGTTCAGTGTTCCCGGTGGTATGGCGACATACCGGAAGTCCCTTGCGCTTGGGTTCTTCTATCGCTTTTATCACGATATATTATCGCAACTCGAGGTCAAGAGCACAGATTTCGATGGCAGCGTAGTTGCCGAAATCGAACGAGCGATATCCACAGGTGAGAAGGACCATGAGGCTTCAGCAGCCTACCAACAGAGGGTCGTGGGACGTGCAGGCCCTCATGTCTCGGCTTTGAAACAGGCAACCGGAGAAGCCCAGTACACAGATGACATTCCTGCGCAGAAGAACGAACTATATGGGTGTATGGTTCTGTCCACCAAACCACATGCCAAGCTTCTTAGTGTCAATCCAGAAGCCGCTCTAGATGTCCCTGGGGTGGCCGGATATGTGGACCATACAGATCTTCCATCTCCAAAGGCAAACTGGTGGGGTGCCCCCAATTGCGATGAGGTCTTCTTTGCAGTTGATAAGGTTGCCACCGCTGGGCAGCCAATTGGCATGATACTCGCAGATTCTGCAAAGGCAGCTGAAGAAGGTGCGAGGGCCGTGAAGATCGAATACGAAGATTTACCGGCGATTTTGAGCATTGAAGAAGCAATCGAAGCGGAGTCATTTTTCGAACATTTCCGCTATATCAAGAATGGAGATACTGAAGGCGCTTTTAAGGACGCGGACCATGTCTTTGAAGGTGTATCGCGCATGGGCGGCCAGGAACACTTTTACTTGGAAACCCAGGCCTGTGTGGCCATCCCTAAGCCGGAAGATGGCGAGATGGAAATTTGGAGCGGTACCCAAAATCCAACAGAAACGTAAGAAGGTCTCTCTTATGCATCAATTCCCAATTAACCATGCTTTAGGCAAACATATGTGGCACAAGTAACCGGCGTAGCTGCCAACAAAATTGTGTCAAGAGTTAAGCGACTCGGTGGAGGCTTTGGTGGCAAAGAGACACGATCAGTCCAGCTGGCAGGTATATGTGCTACTGCCGCAGCCAAAATGAGACGACCAGTGCGCTGCATGCTTAACCGAGACGAAGATATTGCGACTTCTGGTCAACGTCACCCATTCTACTGCAGATGGAAAGTCGGGGTTACCAAGGAAGGCAAACTCCTTGCCCTCGATGCAGACGTATACGCAAATGGCGGACACACCCAAGATCTCTCTGGCGCTGTCGTGGAACGCAGCTTATCCCACATTGACGGGGTCTATAGAATCCCAAATATGTACGTCCGAGGCCGAATTTGCAAGACTAACACGGTCTCGAATACTGCGTTCCGTGGCTTTGGTGGCCCGCAAGGTTTATTCTTTGCGGAATCGATCATTTCCGAAGTCGCAGACCACCTTGATATCCAGGCGGAAGAACTCCGAATACTGAACATGTACGAGCCTGGAGACAAGACTCATTTCAACCAGGAGCTCGAGGACTGGCATGTTCCTTTGATGTACGATCAAGTCCTGCAGGAGAGTTCATATCTAGAGCGCCGCAAAGCCGTGGAGGAGTATAACCGGACGCATAAATGGTCCAAGCGTGGGATGGCCATTGTCCCAACAAAATTCGGTATCTCGTTCACGGCATTATTCCTAAACCAGGCTGGCGCCCTAGTACATATCTACCACGACGGCAGTATACTTGTCGCCCACGGCGGCGTGGAGATGGGCCAAGGCCTGCACACGAAAATGACCATGATCGCAGCCGAAGCCCTAGGCGTTCCACAGTCTGACGTCTTCATCTCGGAAACTGCCACAAACACCGTAGCCAACACCTCATCCACAGCCGCATCAGCAAGCTCCGACCTGAATGGGTATGCCATCTTCAACGCCTGCTCACAAATAAACGAACGCCTCGCTCCCTACCGCGAGAAAATGCCAAACGCCAGCATGAAAGAGCTCGCTCACGCCGCATACTTCGACCGCGTCAACCTTTCCGCCCAGGGCTACTACCGCACTCCAGACATCGGATACGTATGGGGCGAAAACAAGGGCAAGATGTTCTTCTACTTCACGCAGGGCGTCACAGCCGCAGAGGTCGAAATCGACACCCTCACGGGTGACTGGACGCCGCTCCGCGCCGATATCAAAATGGATGTTGGCCGCACAATCAACCCCTCCATCGACTACGGGCAGATCGAGGGCGCCTACATCCAGGGCCAGGGTCTCTTCACCACTGAGGAAAGCCTCTGGCATCGCGGCTCGGGCCAGATCGTCACCAAGGGACCTGGAAATTACAAGATCCCTGGGTTCAGAGATATCCCGCAGATTTTCAATGTCAGTCTCCTGAAGGATGTGGAGTGGGAGAACCTGCGTACGATTCAGCGTTCTCGTGGGGTCGGCGAGCCGCCGCTTTTCATGGGGAGTGCGGCGTTCTTTGCTATTCGTGATGCGCTTAAGGCTGCAAGGAAGGAATGGGGGGTTACTGATGTGTTGCAGTTGCAGAGCCCTGCTACGCCAGAAAGGATTAGGGTCAGTTGTGCAGACCCGATTATTGAGAGGGCGAGGGTTGTTCCTGAAGAAGGGGAGAAGAGTTTCTTTGTTACCATTTGATCGGTCTACGATGTTTACGGAATTATGTATTATGACCTGGGTAACAGACTGTTATCATTGCGATATTACATTGACTTGCAAACAATATGATTTCTTATATTGGCATGGATTATTATTCAGTGTAATATGCGGGTATTGGGTAGTAAACGCTATATGCTTTCATGTTTCAACTCCATCGCACCAACAATACACAGAAAAGTGCAAACAAAAGAGTGAGAAAGGCCGGCTGTATGCAATATGGAGTCATAGCCTTAAACAAATGAAATCAATTATCTTTTTTCCATTCCGTACTCGGCATAGCTGCTTCCACGCATGTCGGCAACTGATACCTTCAGCGCATTCCTCTGTCCGGCGAAGCCCATCTTCTCGTCCTCGTAGCCAGTTTCTGTAGTCACCGCCATTGGTACAGGAGGGCCGGCAGCCGCAAATGTCCTATTCGGAGGCTCATATTTAGGTGCTGGCTGGGAGCGAGCATTGGAGCTTACATCGGCAGGCATTGCCGTGAGAGGGACATCTGAGAATCCGTTCGAGTCAGGACCAAACGCGTCCGGCGCGGGCCCAGCACCTCCATCACCACGGTTTCGTTCTCGTCGGCCGAACAGAGAGAGCGCGCGAATAATTCCAAAAAGAAGGTTGGCAACCCAGATGAGGAGGATACAGCCGGCAATGAGCGCCTCTGTTGCGATGCCAGATTCGAGGGCGTTCAATACACGGATGACAACCTCCGTTATTTTGTTGGAAGTTGAGTCGCCCGCGTCAGAGAGGAAGCTCTCTGAGCTGTCGTCGCCGATGCTTTCTGCGGCGCCTCGAGAAAAGGTGTCGTTGCCGAGAGTTGGAAAGTCGATATGGGCGTGATCATGGACCCAGGTGAGGCCTTTTTGGATTCCAGCGACTTTGAGACCGATGAGGCAGTCGAAAACATCCTTCATCGGATTGTAAAGAACAGTCCCACCGAAGGTTTCGTTAAGAACTCCGGTGGTCTTGTCAACAAAGACATTGAGGGTATGGTTGACACCTGTTGTCGTCGTATTGACCCAGCCAAAGACATTTTCGTTAAGGTCGGTGTTCATGTCGCCAATCACTCCGTTGGCGCCATGAGCCCATTCTGCCGAGGTTTCATCCAGCGAACCCACGACCTTGTCAGCAAAAGCACCGACTTCGGCTGAGAGCTCCGGCACGGCTTTCTTGACAGCTTGTAGGAGGATATATTGGCAAAGACATGCAAAAAGTCCAGCAAGGGCAAGTGACAAAACAAACAAAGCCGGTGGTGAGGTAGCATACGCAATGACCCAGCGGACTAAGATCTGCCTGCGACTGTTACTGAATCGACTGGCCGCTTTGATTCCTACGGCCGCGGTGTGTGGTCTGGAGACGATATAAACAACGTCCATTGGGTCGTGAGCCTCTTTGCGGACAAGCTGGGAGCGTTCCTTCTGAGAACGCCAACGGCGGATTTCTTGCCATGCCATGGGGAAGCAAACAAGAACGGCAGCAATCACCAAGACAGCGATGAAAACTTTCTTAGCGGTCTCAGCAATGCCCGCGACGTTATCAAAAAAGGAGTCAATTCCATCGCTTCCTTTGCAGAAGGTCAGCTGCTTCTTCGCAGGGACTGGAAGCGAATCGCGTTCAAAGGTGTAATTTCCCAAGGACTCGTTCATCAGTTTCTTCACTTCGTCGAAGGGTAAGCGGATGATGTTCTCCACGAACTCTGTAACTTCGTCAAAAGTTGGCACCGAGCTATTGAGCTTGTCGAGGCTTTCATCCATGGAGGAAGGGAGTTGAGCATTCTGAAGATCTTCGATTTGGCTTGAGAGGTCCAGCTTAGGGACCGCTGTGTCGCTGCCAAACACAGATGCAGCGTGGTTGATAGTATCAGCAAATTTATTAAGGCCATCTTGAAAAGTGTCGGCCACATCACTGACATCATCACCAATAGATTTTATTGTCGAGTTCAGAAAGTCGCCAGCGTCTTTCAACAGCCCAACTCCAGTGTCAACCGTACCGCGGATAGCCATGGTAATGAGGCAAAGGTAAGTCTGATACATCATTTTGATGACGAATATAATAAGCTCCTCTACACCGGATACCACTAGAATGAGCATAGTTTTGAGAGCGCTAACAGACTTTTCGACACCAGACGCTGTGAGTTCGTTTACGCCCCGTGCCAGGTAATGGGGCGTTGAAGCCATAGCGCTACCCATCGATTCGACAGAGGTGCATGCGGACAGTGCTTCACGCCTAGCTGAATCCATATTTGTGTTGAGGCTTCCGATTGCGATCAATACTCTGACTAGTACAAGCAGCAGAAGAATGGTCCATCTGTTCATCCATATCTGCGACAGGCGTGCGCGTAGCCCCATGTACGGCGTGGTGTCGTCGGGGTGTAACGGGATAACGCGGCCTCCATTTGGATCATGGGCTCCATATGGAGGAAGGAGTGGGAAAATAGAGCGAGCAGGTCTTGAGAAGACCATAGCGAAAGTTAGATATTTATTGGACTGTTCCGTGCCGGACGAAAGAACGAAAGGGTAATCGATATGTGATATAGAGAGGCGTCACAGACAGGCCGTTATGAAAAGATGGTATCTCAAGACAGAAGGAAACGCTGGCCAGCAGCAAAAAAACACAAAAGGCAGTAGGGAGCAGACTATTGAGAAACCATGCCACATTAAAATCTATTGCGAGTGAATAGAAAAGGAAATAGGAAAGGAAATGTCGTAATAGTGGCAACCAAATAGGGAAGGACGAGAAGAGAAAGAACAATAGGACGGATAAACCACGCTGATGGAGGGCATTCCCTCCATTTATTGTGAAGAAACAAATACCCACTCCATGACACAACACAGGGAGACAGGTGTTTGAGTCAAAGGCAAGAATAACCTTTCATTGGGCATGTGGCCATTGAGACAGGCGGTATTCCATTCACCCTAACAATGGAGAGGAAAACCAAAGTAATAGAAACACCGAATGAGCGTCCATTTTCGGCCTTGGTACGTTTCATCTCGCGCGAGACTTCTTCAGCGAGCAGCTCCAGTGGGTTCTAGAGAGCGCTTGCGCAGGCCAAATATAGCCTCATCGTCGGCGCTTAGAGCGCAGCATCGTCGTCCAATCCCTTGGTCCCCGCAAACAGCACAGCAGAAATAGGCTCCCAGTGAAACAGAGTCCCCCACAGGGTTTCTCCGGTCGAGATCATTTGACAGAACCTCTTTGAGTCTTTGTTGAAAAAACTCATCAGTGCGGCGGCTGTTGCTTCACTTGCCGCTCGGGTTGCAGGAGATCAGGCAGCGGGTCATCTGTTGACTGGTCACCAGCTGCTGAGAATTTTAATCTCAAATCATTGTGGGCGTTGATATAATTAGCTATGCCGTAGCGCATAGAAAACCCTCCATAGCTGATGATGTAGGCCTGGGAGTGGTGATCGTGAGGATGAGGATGAGTGAACGGCGGCAGTTGGGAGCAGCCGCACGTGATGGGCTTTCGAAGACAGCGCAAGGCTTCAGCTTCAAGCTGGAACATCTCATTCTGATTGAATTTCATGTAGTAAACCATTTTTATCTTCCATAGGTTTCTTTTTTTAAAATTGATTATGCCGTAATTTAGTGACTTCTAAGTGGAGCTGTCCCGTCAGGAAACTCTGCTTTCGATATATATTTAACTAGCTCTCCCAGTGCAGGAGTGAAATATAGTAGATTCCAAAATCATTCTCCGTCATAAATATTGAAAATAAACGGTAGATCGATGATAATCAATAGCACCGACCTATGCTCCGCAGGACGCTCGAGATTGCGAATACAAATTCCGTCACATCCAGGTAGTAGAATGCTTGCCCTAATTTTGTGGTCCGAGCCTCAATCGCGTCCGTTGGTAATGTTGACAGCAAGGTTCTAAACTAGAGGTGACGATGTCGTTTTTCAGTGCTGTAACTTGCGACTGTGCCCACTTTATTGTACTCCGCAGTAGGGTAAACTTAGGTAGCTCATTAAGCAGGTACTCACAGACAGGTAGGCGCATCGGCACGTCAGACCGACAGATGCCTCCCTAAATGCAGACAATCATATGTTAAATCACTCAGTGGAGTTTCAACAACCTTTCAACAAGGATAAACGTCCACTCATAGAGTATATATATTCCCTGTTTCTTAGCCAAATATGTTTTTGCTGTGTTTGCCTGGGCAAAGACTGCTGGGGCGGCGGCCGGTAGCCCTTGGCTGTATCTTGATAATTTAGCCAGTGGTGTAATGGACGAAATGCGTGTTGGGACGGCGCGCCTTATAGTCCACAGTAAGTTAGTCCCTTTCCAGAACGTTTTGATATCTGTTATTGTAGGGCTTTACCTTCAGCCGGACCAGGATTGGAGGCGCGTTTGCCCAGTATACCTGCATCCTTTATATGCCGGTAGACAACCTAGATACAGATTTGTTAACAGGTTTGCCTTGAAAGCCATGTCTTTTTTCCTTGTTGTCAGATTATAGCTTGACTTATCCTCATTCACAAGACTGTGTTCTATTCGCAACTTGTTCAGTCGCATGATTTGTCCAGACGCACCCAGTCGCAGCAGAACACTTACCACAGAATGTTCCGGCATTGCAGCGCCATTGCACAATCGTCGCCATGGAAGTGAACCCCAAGCTTAAGAAGAAATCTCTTCTTTCTTTCTATTCTCTTCCTTTCCTCTACATATCTCATCATCCGCAGGATATTGAAGTCTCAACGCATCCTTCCAGCGGCGATATTCAGCTTCGATAACTGTAAACCTTCATCTATTACTGATACGTCAGATTAACAATATTCAAAACAAACACTGGTAAGCCTTTTTGGTCTTACCCCTCATGAAAGCGAATGAAGCTCACTGGTGTTGCGCCCTCAAGTTAAAATGGCCCGAGGTCGTAACAACAAGAAGCCTTCGAGCAGCAAGAAGAAGACCGGAGAACCTGGAAAGGGCGAAGGGAAAGGTCAAGCAGAGGCATCGTCTCTGCAGACCTCCTCATCTGAGGCTATTCAGTACCCCAAAGCCATGGAGGGTTCAGCTGAGGGCAGACAGGGCAAAGTAACACCATCGTCTGCTTCATTTGAGAATGTTGCAAAGCCTGAAGAGCCAAAGAAAGTCGACTTCAAGGGCAAGGAAAAAGAAAGCTTACCAGCTCATGACACTGCCAGTCTCCGTGAGGACACCGTAAACTTCTCATCTCGAATGGAAGACGAGAGGAGGAGAGCTCATTCACTAGCTTGTGAACGGGTTCGTGATAACACTGCGCCAGGTATGAATCCCCCTCTCCCCCCTGTTTATATTCTTCTCTTTGTGGCTCTATTTTACCACTACTTTTTTCTATTCCAAAGAATAACACTGACATGCTTCCAGCTGAAGTGCAAGCCACTCGCAGCGAAGCAATCACTCTCATCCGTGCTCGGACTCTCAGTTGACTTTCAGACACTGATCAACCCTCAGGCGAATTCCTGGAGGCCTTGCTGCAAGAGAAACCTGAATCCCCCAAAGAACCTTCTGAGGTCAGCAGATCTTCTGACAACATGGTATACGAGACAGCAAGCATTATGGACTATGTAGTGAATAAGAAGAATAAGAAGACGGGAAAGAACGCCGCTGCAGAAGAACAACTACTTGCCGAGCTTGCGAAGAATGAGAATAGCAGTGTTTCGCCTCCAGTCCTCCAGAAGGAGCAAGATGGCTCTGTGAAACTGGTTTCTGGTGATCCAGCAGCTTCCGTTTCCGAGGAGCAGATTACCGATGAACAGTTCTCCGGCAACAGAGTGGACAAAGGCAAGCAGCGTGCTGCGGTGGTAGACGCAGATATACTACTGGAGAGCAAGGCTGTGAACAAAGATGCCAAACTGCCTGAAGTTGATCCTTCCGCTGAATACAAGGAGTCAGATGCTACTGAAGAAGTCACCGAAGCCCTCAAAACCCTTGAGGTCACTGAGGTAAAGGGTTAGTTTTCGCATGATACTTGCGTTTACGAGCGTAACACAAGAGTGGCTAACCGACAATCTATAGATCCCAAAACATCCCAATCATCTTCTAAGCAGACGCCCTGCAGACGTTCGAATTCCAAGAAGGAGCCCCTCTCACCCATAAAAGAAGGCGAGGTCCAGGAAGTCAGTGCATCAGAATCACCCGCCATTGGCGCTTCGACTCCCAAGTCCACCGGCACTACATCCATCTCTACCGGCTGGACACCTACTTCAAACCAAGCTACCCTGATTACTGCAGACTCCGCACCTTCCACTGAACGCCGCGGTAAGTCTGCAAAGAAGTCTTCTGGCAAAGCCGCAAGTACCTCGACCACTCAACCGATCAGCAACCACGCCCACCCTTCTCCTGTTACCAACTGCGACATTCAACAGCCATCTACACAGGGAGGCCGCTCCATAACAAGCAAGAAACCAGACAACTTCTTCTGGCAGCTTGACAGTCATGGTTTCCCTTGCTCCAAGCAATTCTGTGAAAAGCGCTGCAATCTCTGGGATGGTGCAACTGTCATCTGCCCTCGTTGTGGCCCCTACTCTGAAGTTAGATACTGTAGCCGCAGGCATCTGCTTGAAGATGTCAAAGCCCACTGGCTCATTTGCGGCGAGATGTCCTTCCGTCACCCTTGCGTTGACTCATCTATTCCATCGTCTGTGAGGGATAGTCCACCTCTCATCCCCAGCCAGCTTCCACACAACAGCCTCGAACGTCATCGTCAGGCCGTGCACTTCAACATGAACACTCGCGCCGGCGACTATTTCATCTTTTCTGACTGGGCCGACATGATCGCTGCGAAGTCCACCCCGGATGATATTACACTGCGCTGCTCCAGTCGTATCATTCACACTGTGAAATTCACTGATCCTGAGGAGAAGGATCGCTTCCGCCGTGTTTTGGCTGCTTGCCTATTTGGTATGTCTTCACTCCCTCCAGACCTTCCCCTCTACCCAATCCTCCTTAAGGAAAGTAATATGCAGACACTAAGAAGCATGAACAAAAGTGACCTTCGAATCTTGCCCCTTGGTGGACTACCTCTTCCGCATGATCAGAGACAAGCTCCCACCAACCTCCGAATCAGCTAGCGGCGCTGAGGTACTGACCTCTCTCGAGTCGTCGCTCAAGTACCAGGTGTTCCGCGAGTTCACCGTGCGCATCCAGCCGCATATAACTGGAAAGCGCCACGCCTGCCCATCCGACTGGACCGGGCGTAACCGACGCAACTGTCCCGACGAGGTGTGCCGGGCAGAGCGCAAGCGTCTGCTCGGAACCTTGGGCGGCAGCGGGCACGAAGCCCTCATCCAACACCTTGAGGCATCCTACTGGATCCTCAGGGTGTCCCGGACTACTCACCCTACGGTGAGTAGTGCCAAAGAAAGGATGATGGGCAACGGCTTCGAGGACGTTGCGGAGGAGGACTGCAGGCATTTCTGCAGAGGGGACGGCTGGGACGGGGCCGGCAGCGGGGACATGGAGATTGAGGAGGCCAACAATTAAAGTTGGTCGTCGTGTGGGTGGTCTGTGTGCTACGAATAGTAGTAGTACTGGCGATGATGAATACCAACGAATCTATGAGTTTTATTTCTGCATTTGCCTGTATTTAATCAACAACATTGTTCTACCGTTAAATCCGACATTTTTGAAATTTGACAAACTCATCCCAAAATTGCTCTATATATATAACCCATTTCACCGCACAATGTACTTCTTCAAGCCGCGGAGTCTCTCCTTGGCAGTTTCCAGGATGTTGTCCTCCTTGCACACGGCGAAACGGAGATAATCCTCAGCGATATACGCGTTTGCATCGGTATAAAACTCCGTCGGAGGGATCGCAGCCACACCAACTTTGTGGATTAGGAACCAGCACAGTTTAAAGTCGCGGGGCCGGCTCGCAACATGAGGAGGGAATGGGTAGTCCTCTGGGAGTTTGACAGAGGCCATATTCGCAAGAACAAAGTAGCCGCCTTCGGGGTCCGAGTACTGCACCAAGTCAGTGGAATCGCTAAGAGGTAGGGTTAGTATCGGTGGGGAACATACAGGGATGTTCAACTCGTCGAAGACTTCACAAAAACGCTTCACCTTGTTCTGCATTTCTGTTCGGCTCTCGTCCCAGAATCCCTCCTTGTCTGCTTCTTCAAAGGCAACTGCGGCCGCCTCCTGCAGTGGTGACACACTACTATAGCAGATGCGAGTGTGCGCACCAGCAACGTACTTGATCAGATGCTCAGGTCCGATCAGGTAGCCCACACGCCAGCCGGTGGCGTAGAAGGCCTTTCCAGCGGAGCCCACCGTGAGCGTACGCTCATAGAATTCTGGTTTCATTGTGGCGATTCTGGTGAACGGAACGTAGAAAAGACGGTCGTAAACCTCATCGGAGAGGATGATAAGGTTGTGCTTGACGGCGAGGTCACCAATGCGTTCCAGTTCGTCGCGAGAGAAAACCTTTCCAACAGGGTTGTGGCTACATTATTAGTTTCACCCATATCAAGTGGAATAGATGACTTACGGTGAGTTTAGAACCTGGAACCTGGGTTAGCAATTGAATGGAGGGCGGCGGAGATAGATAACCTACAATCATTCTAGTCTTGGAGTTTATTGTCTTCTCCAGTTCATCGAAGTCAATACTCCATTCAGACGCAGGAGATGTTCTGGTAGCACCATCCTTTGGAGGATGAAGGGGAACATATCGGATAGTACCGCCAGGCATCTCGATGTTGCTAATGTATCTGCAAACTCAAACGTTAGATGAGTGAGGATTCATCAGCGGGTTCAAACTCACTGGTCAAAGAAGGGCTCGAAAATAATGACCTCATCTCCTTTCTCGATGAATCCCATGAAGGCGCTTAACATTCCTTCACCCTAGTTAGCCTCAAGCTTTGGATCCAGACCATATCCTCTCACCCTCGTTTGCGCCAGTCGTGATCGTGACTTCGGTTTCCGGATTCAGCTGGCGACCAAAAAACGGCGAGTATGCGTCGGCGAGAGCCTTCTTCAGGCGCGGGCGACCCTATGTTACGGTAAGCCGGAATCCCTCGTTGCGATGGCTACTGAGGACGCACCTTGGTCGGGGAGTATTGGTTGCATTCAACTCGGTCAAGGGCAGCCTTTGCGGCATCCAGGGCAAACTTCGGCGGGTTGTAGCCACTATATAATACAGATAAATTAGCTAATATTTCCAAGTGTGGTGTACAATTCCACTCACAAGAAGCCTTGTCCCATGTTTACGATGGGTTGGACAGGGGAAGCAGCAGCAGCTTCATTGACGATGGACCTAGAAAACGGTCAGACTGTCTTCCAGCTATGGAGTGGAGCAGAAGAGTTCCCATACCAAACATCCTGTCGCTGACCTGCGACCCTCTGCGCAGGGCGGAATGGGTCTGAACGAGCTGTGGTCGCCGACATCGCTCTAACTCCGACTGAGAAACGTGAAGTGCGGGGTGTGAGCCTTGACCTGGAGGAACAGGAAAGGGAGCTCAGTGGGTTTGAGGATTTTGCGAGCAGCGCAATAGAAGAGCGAGAGCCCTGGAGCATGGAGGATAGAGGTAGATAAGCGCGGGGAGAAAGGCGAAGATGAGGGGCAGACTGCAAACAAGGGACCCGGAGTTAAGTTGGAGAATGAATCATCGGCCGAGTTCCAACATCCGCCGTTGGCTGCGCGGAACGCAGTCGGGAGCTTAACCGCTGTTTCTGGAGCACCGTTTGTCTACTTCGCTACATTTGGTTAACGTCGGATGAGGAATATATCGCTTTTATCACAACATCGCGGTACTCTTTGGAGAGCACTGACCTTGTGCCCCGAAATCGCCTGGTTTATGGCCTCGGGCTCGTTGACAACGACTCCGCTGCTGTTCTGGATGATATTATGTTCGGAAAGATAGTGATTAATGCAATTGAGACCATAGAACGTATAATATGAATCTATTTTGTTTAGGCGCGACTTGGCTGGAGGACGAGATATCTTGGAGAAACGGCCCCTCAGGCACTAAGGCATAAAAATGCTGTGACTAATCATCAGCTTAACGCGTTCACGCGTCGAGCAGAAAGTGATAGCTCAATCTCAACTGGCGTTGACGTTTTGTTCAGGATACTAATGTCCATACAGCCTCAGTGCTTTGTTCCGACGTGTAGGTTGACTGCCGGTGACTGAGAGCCATGGTGTCCTGTCCGATCTGTGGGAAATCCGTCTCCTCGCTCAAGATCAACGACCATATCGATTCCGACTGCCAACAGTTCATTGAGGAGCCAACATCGAGTGGCGGCGATCCATCGCCATCCCAGAAACCCCAAGTTCCAGCATTTTTTCAACCTCCATCCGTCCGGAAAGCCTCTAGCCAGCGAGATGCCAACTCCGACGCCTCCCCTCTCCGCAATCTTAGTAGCAAGAGAACGGTGACACAGAATGGCGGTCCTTCGGACGATACCACTCCCCGCTCACAAAGAGACGAAGCTACGGAGCCAGCACCGAAGAAACCAAAGGTTAATGCCTTTCAGAGAGCTGCACCATTAGCGGAACGTATGCGTCCTCGAACGCTTGAAGAGGTATGCGGCCAGGAACTTGTTGGTCCCACCGGTGTACTGCGAGGATTGATCGAGGAAGACCGGGTACCGAGTATGATTCTATGGGGAGGTCCGGGCACAGGGAAGACCACAATTGCACGGGTTATTGCGTCCATAGTCGGAAGCAGATTCGTTGAAATCAACAGTACGAGCAGCGGGGTCGCGGAGTGCAAGAAGATATTCGCCGACGCCAAAAGCGAACTCGGTTTGACGGGGAGGAAAACCATTATATTTTGTGACGAGATCCATCGGTTTTCGAAATCTCAACAGGATGTCTTCCTGGGCCCAGTCGAGAGTGGCCAGGTTACGCTCATCGGCGCAACAACAGAGAACCCATCGTTCAAAGTCCAAAACGCGCTGCTCTCTAGGTGCAGAACCTTCACTTTAGCGAAGCTCACCGACGAGGATATTAGATCAATCTTGGACCGTGCTCTAAGAACCGAAGGGCCAAGCTACTCACCGTCCGCTCTGGTAGACGACGAGCTGCTTGACTATCTGGCCAAATTCTCCGACGGTGATGCTCGGACATCGCTTAATCTTTTAGAATTAGCGATGAACCTTTCAAAACGGCCTGGGATAGGCAAGGACGAGATGAAGCGGGCTTTAACCAAAACACTTGTTTATGACCGCGCGGGCGACCAACATTACGATACTATCTCTGCCTTTCACAAGTCCATCAGGGGCAGCGACCCTGATGCGTCGCTCTACTACCTTGCTCGTATGATACAGTCGGGAGAGGATCCGCTGTACATAGCTCGGCGCTTGATAGTTGTTGCCTCGGAGGACATCGGACTGGCTGATAATAGCATGTTAACACTTGCCATTTCCACTCATTCCGCAGTGGAAAAGATAGGTCTCCCCGAGGCACGGATAAATCTCGCACATGCTACCGTGGCAATGGCGCTATCCCCAAAAAGCACTCGATCTTATCGAGGCCTCAATAATGCCTTCGCTGCGCTGTCGGAGCCTGGGATTGCAGGTCTGCCTATTCCCATTCATATACGCAATGCCCCTACGCGATTGATGAAGGAGCTAGGATATGGCAGGGAATATAAATATAACCCGAACTTCCGAAATGGAGAGGTGGTGCAAGACTATCTCCCGGAGAAGCTCCAAGACCGACAATTTCTAGAGGACCGGGACCTGGGGACGCAGATTGACCCAGATTTGAGATCTAAAAGATGATTTAGATTTGGCACATACACACATACTTATTTCACCTGAAGCCCCGTTAGAGGACACTGGTGCCGTCCGTATACACTGCTTCAGCGTCACTAGGGGTTAGCCCTTGCTTCACAAGCACCTGATACCCATAAATATTCACCGAATAAATGAATTATTGAATACATTCATAAACTACTAGTAAATTTGGATACTTCATTAGCGTTCAAGTAACTGAACGCCTGCTTGTTGTATAGAGGGAATCCAACCAATCAGAGGCAGCTGTGTCCACCGCTTCGCGTCGCGTCTCAGCATCGAATCTGCCTGGCAACTGCAACAAGCGACAAAGACCCAGACAATCACCCCTCACTCCCCACCCCGGCAGCTCGAGATCTTCTTGGTTTTGGGTTCCGGTTTACGGCCGTCTACATTTCAGTCTTGCCCGCTTTCCGCGCCTAATTGTTGTTTTGGCTTCGCCGACGCCTCGACTGGTGTCAACATCGCAAATAACATCGGCTCATCGCCATGGCCTCGTCTGGCCAACCGTTCGGGTCGCGCTCCTACACTGCGGGAAAGCTTCCTGACCGATCAATGAATGCGAATGCGATCCCTTTCAGCGCCTCATCCTTCTCTCGTCGAGGACTGGGCGCCGCTCAGAGCGAATTTGTCCCCGATGCCGCGAAAACAAGTCAGCAAGCACCGCAGCAGCAAGTACATGCGCAATCACATAATCCGTCACAAGAGTCGAATCCGTTAAGTCGGTTGACAGAAGAACAGCGCGAGGAGATTAATGAAGCTGTAGGTCTTTCTTCCCGTCATCCGATCAGACCTGTCCGCTCGGTTCACTGCAAATGCTAATTTCGATCTCCCCTGTTAGTTCACGCTTTTTGATCTCGATCGTGACCGGCATTTAGATTACCATGAACTCCGTGTCGCCTTCCGCGCGCTCGGTTTTACCCTTCCGAAGCAGGAACTCATCTCTCTCTTAACGACTTATGGTGTTCCCCGTCCGCAGGTACAACAGCAAGCCTCGGCCCAACAGTCACAACAACAACCGAAAGCAGCACCAACCACAAACCCCCAGCACCCGTCCAACTTGCTCATGCCGCTGTCTGCTTTCCAAGCTGTAACGGCCGTAAAGATTCTTGAACGGGACCCTCGGGATGAGATTCTCCGGGCCTTCGAGCTTTTCGACGAAGGCCAGAAGGGTTATATCGACCTTGAGGATCTCCGTCGTGTAGCGCGAGAACTAGGTGAGACGGGACTCGAAGAGGAGGAGCTGCGCGCCATGATTGAGGAGTTTGATCTCGAGGGTGTCGGTGGTGTGACTCGGGAGGCGTTTGTGAGTATCTGCTGGCAATAAATTCATAAATTCCATGGTTAGGGATGGTCTGATTCTATTTTACGGTCATTAATGGCGAATGGCATTCTGTGCATTCGACGTGTTTGGAATCGAAAGTGTTGGTTTTCTTTCTGTCGTCTGTAATCCAAGCTTGATTATTTGTTCTTCCTTGGGCATTGGTGGGCGCCGATTGACTGGATTTTGTTTACTTGTTATATAGTTTTTTGCTTTGTTTCTTGTTTGTTTCATTGTGTGCAGTTAGCTTTTCCTACAGGTTTAGGGATCTTGGATCATGGATTTGAGACTATAAGTATTTCTCACTAGATCGACCCAGCACCAAGTGCTACAACAGGGCAGCTGCTTAGCATTCGCAGTCAGTCTGCCATTGTATTCCGCGTAACTGTTAGTAAGAGCAAGGTTTCTAAAGACTACGGTGATATCCGACTATAAGGTGATCCAACAATCATACTCATATTAGAGATCTTGAATTAGTTCTATTCAACCCGAACAATACTAAAAGTATACTATATACCCCAACAAAACCCAGGGGATTCAAAAAATAATAAGAATGAATAATTTCCAAGAAAGCAACAATGCGATGTATATGGCCGTTGATCCACCCATTGAGGACCTATATCGTTATCCGCGCCAAACCCCAAAACAAAACCTATTATGCAAAATATTTAAAACAATCCAAGGTACACAGCCCAGCTTATGCATAGCGCACTGTCTGTGAATAGGGAGGCGGCACGTCATATGGCGTCTGACCCTGATATCCGGGGTAGGGAGAGGGGATTGGCCCTCGTGGAGGGCCTTGGCCGGGTCCTGAAAATGGAGCTTGCGGTACTTGACCATAGCCTGGTCCTGGTGATCTTGATAGTCTCCGCATCGGGGTTTGCTGTGGTGGAGGCATCGGGCGCGGCCAGGGGCTGTACCCGGTAGCTGCAGGCATGGGCTTCATGGTGTTGCGGTTTCGGCGGTACCGTCTAAAGAGGCACATTAGGATTGCTAGGACAATCAACCCTCCCACGGCCGCAACAACGGGAATAATAATGTTCTTGTGTGCCTCAATCCAACTCTTCGATCCCTCGCAATTTCCGTTTTTGCAGTGGCCTCCTCTGTCGCACGGTGTACCATCGAGATAGTTTTGGGAATTGCCCGTGCACTGTTGAGACATGAACGAACTATCGGCCTGGCACCACATCTGGCAAACGGGGAAGGGCCCGTCGTTGCATGCACGCGTGTTGTTGCTGCCTGTAACGGACCCCATGTAGCTCTCGCATTGCGCGTCGCGGCTTGTACATTGACCACTAGCACATGTCAAGCCAGAATCGTTGTCACCACAACTGTCTCCATCTTCTTTATAGGTATTCTTTGGGCAAGTGCCAGAATCGCCAGTGCATTTCTCTTCAATGTCACATTCACCGGTGCTGGGGCGGCAGATGTGGTCGGCTGAGGCAAACTTGCATGAAACGCAGCAGTCATCGTTGGTATCATCGCAAGTTGCACCGTCCTTGAACTTGCAGGTACCCGGATCGCAGCATTGATTGTCACCGCAGTTCTCACTCCCACCACAATCGCAGTCCTCTCCGGCCTCAACAATGCCATTCCCGCACTGAGCACCAGTAAAAGTGACAATACCTTTGTTATCAGACAGGCAGTTTGATTTGACACTGTTACGGCCAATTGCTGAACAAATATTACCGATTGTGCATGGCGAGAACTTGGTTATATCCTGGCCGGTGCTGGGATTCATAATGTAATCTCCGCTAGCATCACATGAGGATTTGCTCAGGGGACAGCAACTTGACGAATCCTGCTGGCTTGAGCTGCATGTTTGGGACGTGCAGTCGTGGACCGCTCCGAAAGTATGGCCGGACTCGTGGGCAAAAATCTGCCATCCAGCGGCGCCAGTCGATACGACGACATTGGTACCACTGACCTTGCTGGTGCCATCGTCGCTAACATCAGTATTGCATAGCTGGCCCAGCCACGCCAGCCCAACCTCGGAGCCCGTGTTACAGTCGGTCATCAAGGTCCAATAAGCGTTGTCATCGGATTGTGATCCTCGCCATTCAGAGAAGAGATCCAACCGGGACGTAATGTTGCCCTGCGAGCATGGAATATTCCATGCTGCGGCGGACGAAGGGTTGTCCGAGCATTCTTTGTCTGTGATGGTCAAGTTTCGCAGGCCGAGGGAGATATTGAAGGCGTCTTCGTAGACATTTGAGGCGCTATTGACAATGTTTACGACTGCTTTCTGGACATCATCCCTGGAATCGTGTTTCTCCCAAAAAGAGCAATCCGTCGCAACACCAATCAAAGCCACCCGCATTGTACTCGGGCAACCACTTGAATCACCAATTGTTGATTCCAGATTGACACCACCGCTGTTTCCTCCAGACACGGTGCCAATGTCGTCTTGGCGTTTACTCAGACCAAAGCCAAAGAGATCCGCCATTGGCATAGAGGCCCAGCTGCTCTTCTTCTGCTCCGTAAACGAATTAAGGACGGGATGATCAGGGTTTGTATTGAAACCAAGTTTGTCGGCATGACACGTAGAGCCAGCCATGGTCCACCGGGCTTCGAGCTCGGATTGGTCGTCGGTAGGCAAAGACCGTTTGAGATCCGAATGTGTTGGAACTTCGGCAGGTCGTAGCATGTCAGAGTCACGGTAAAATACCATGTAGTCTTCTTTTTGTTGAGGAATCTCGATATCCTGAGGGCGCTTTTGTAGCAAATAACTCGACTGCAGCTGGACATGGTGGTTGTCGCCGTGTATATTGAAAACACCTTCAAAGAGCGGTTGTGGACCATCCTGCTTGATGTACACTCTGGTCCATCCTACAGGATCCCACATCCCTTGCCCTCTCCCTCTGCCAACCAAAGTCCTCCCTTTGAAGACCCTGTGTTGGTCCCGTTTAATAGGCTCTTCGGTATGGACCTTCCCGTCTGGTCCAAGATATTGTACGTAGGCATCGTGGGCAAGGATCTCATGATTCGGTTCCAACTCAAGTTTTACCCGTTGTTCCCTGTCCCGTATCGTGAAAGTGATATCGAAATGTGAAAGGTAGTCAACGCGGTTCGATTTCGAAGGCGCCTTGATCGTGGCCTGGTCGAGGGAAGAGACACGTCGGATAGCATTTGGCGCCTGCGACCGAGCTGATGAAACTTTTGTTTAGCATAATCCGAGCGAGTCAGAGCGACGCCGAGAAAGCTTACCCTCCGTATTTACTGTGAGGAGCGAGAGGATGCCCACAACCAGCGGTATTACCGGGTTGATAAGCCTCATGGCTGGTGAAGTTGAACGAACAGCCACAGAATGAGATCGACCAACGTTGTTCAATAACAACAACAGAGATTGACAGGAACTGAGGAAAAAGATTGAAGAAAGTGGCGGGAAGAATAATTAGACCAATACGCTTGGCTAATTCATTGCATACCAAGACCGGATTACTAGGCAACAACGAAAGGACAAAGAAGTGGCTCAGCCTCTTCGACGCAATGCAATGACGGTGAGACTACTGCTGTCTCAGCACCCTGACAAATGCGCAGGAACTTGATGACTCTCCCGACAGCTTCCGACTCAGCCTTAACGGTGGAGGATATGGGTCGAGGGAGAAAGAGAGGGCGGCGATCGGAAATAGCGGGCTGAGGAGCGCGCGGACTCGGCGGATGCAACGCCGTTGGGAGACTGAGGCGCAGAGTCTTGGCGTGAAAGCCAGCGACGACAAACGAAAGACTCAAACTAATGATAAAAGACTCAAAAAACGCACGGGGAGATGAACAACAAAAGAGGGAACCGTCGGGCTGGGGAAGAGGAGATAAGAACAGAAAAGAGGGAGGGAGGTGGGAGGGAGCAAAGCCAAGGATTGGTCGGCCATTGCGCCGGCGCCTAGGGAAACACCAACAAAACAACCGGATTTATAGTGCTCTTGCGTATGCCGGGCTGTGCTTGCACTCAGCTGAAACATCTTGCTAATATTGGACTTTGGTTGCATTATCAATCATTATTCACAGCTCGAGTGGTATAATTCGTGCGCAACAAGTGCAAAATGGGGTATCCTGGCTCCACAAATTGGACACGGTATACAGGGCATGTCTGTGTCTTCCTCGTCACTTTCCTCCCATGATGCCGCGGGCGCTATAGTCAAATTCTGGTCTGTTTCCTGAGGAATGTGTCCGTGCTGTGTCTTCCGCTGCTGAAACATCTTACCAATATCTCGGCCGCTATTATGTTTTCCATCGCCCGCCACTTCGGCCATGTTTGTAACTGCGAGATTCAAAACACGCAGGTTCCAGCCTGACCTCTCTCGGTGGAGTTTGCGGAACATGGGTGTTGCTGACTCCCGAACGAGTCGTTCTCCCAAGGCGTCTACGGATTCGTCGAGATTGAAAACATACTGGGGTAGCGGCGCGGAGTTCGATATGCGACTATACCCGCGCATCTGCGCATTGTCTGTGCCTGGCGCTGGTCGCGGTAGGGTAGACAAACGGAGGGTTCGTGGACGAGCAAGCCATCGAACTTTCGTTTCCGACCTTGGTATTCCCTGGGGGCCCGTACCGGCCGTAGCTTCAGCATCATCGTAGCTTTCCGTTAAATCGGTCCTCATCCGCCGGACCAATCTGATCGCGAGCGATACCATCTCTTTGCGAACCGTCTCGAAATTATCCAATCGGCCATATGAATTCTCAATGCTGATTTGGGTTGGTAAATCTCGAGCTTCGCCAACCTGCGTATTATCCACGCCATGAAGAAGGCCCCACACTTTCATTCCAATGTCTTTAGGAGCTCCAGGCCCGCCTAGGATCTTTTCTAGGAGGGAAGGGCCCATTCCGTGAGATAGACGAACGTCGCGAATCGTAACTTTATCTTCAGTCACATCGTGGTTCGTACTTGCAATATAGGACATGGTTTTACGAGATAGCTTAGAACCAATGCCAGGTATTGCTCGTATCTCACGCGAATCGAGAAAGTTGAGCACGTTGCTTTCCCCATTCTCTCCTGTCGCAGCATAGGGTGGAAGTAGCGTCGTCTGACTGTTAGGTTTATGAACGCTGCCCACTACTTTGGCAAGAAGTTTGGACGTTGAGATACCCGCAGTGGCAGTGTAACCCTTTTGCTCTTCTAGTTGACCACGAAGATAGCCGGCGAGATGAGACGCAATCAGAAGCTTCAAGTAAAGCTGAGAGTCATCGGACTCGGGTACGTCCTTATACACAGCAGCCATGTCCCTAGCGCCATCGGGACAGGTAGGGCCGTATACTTTGGTGGCATCAAAAGCAAAGCCAATAGTGGGGTCTTGAAAGTTGAGCTGAAAGAACGAATGTGCCAGGTCATTAGGGTTCAATAGCGCTGCATTGTAAGTAATCATTTCTGTAACATCCAAAAATAACTCATCGAAACCCAGCTTCTCGATCCTCCCTCCCCAGGCAAAACTCCGGAAAAAGAGGTAGAGATCTTTGGATGCATCTCGAAACTTAGTGAGATCCTCTCCCAGGACGATGACGACGTCTGGGCAAACTTGTTTTGCCTCTTTGATAAGCTGGAGTTTGTGCAGCCCTCGCCTCCGAGCCTCGTAGTTACAGGTGACAACGATCTGCTTTTGCTGGACGGCCAGTGGAAGCGATTTCAGTACCGGCTGTTCGGCCTCAAACACCGATGCGTAGAAACAGTCGTAATCCTGGAAAAGTCAGTACGCTGGGACTAAGGTACACTGGGGAATACCGACAAAATGGAGTACGATGCGCTGATCGTCTCTCAACGGAGCGGTTGCCATTTAATCATGTCGTAAATGATTTTACCCTGTGAGTGACTGGAGGAAGAAAGACAAGGGACTCGAGGGGAAATAGTGCGCAGTATTAGTAATATACAGCTACGCCGGCAGCAAAACAGATGCCCAGAACTCAACAATACTAAGCAGCAGAGAATGCACGCAGTGGCTATGGTGAACTTACGGAATTTTATATCCTAGTCCCTGATAGCTATATTACACATAATCAGGTAACAGGGAGGCGCATATTAAAATGTGTGTGTAGCAACCATGTCTATCTATGTATCTATATAGAATTTGCTGTATGATGAAAGGAACAAAAAAAATAAATAAAAAAAGATCTAACCACAAGAAATGTTAACGGTGTTTCGGCCTCTCCTGAATGTCAATCCAATCTTATCCTCGCTGTCCTCCACGTCCGCCGCGTCCGCCGCGTCCACCACGCCCAGGCCGCCCACGCGATCCGCTGTTCTTCTCGACCCTGTCGTTATTGCCTCCCCGACCAGCTGAAGGGCTCAAAGCAGTGCGCGGTTTGCCCTTCTGGGGGCTGTCATCACGAGGCTTGGGCCTGGGAGGACCGCGCGGTTTAGCAGGACGCAAACTCTCCCCGCTCGCGTAGTTGAAACCAGGGACACCTTTCAGGCCCATCTTTCCAATGACCTTTTTGTCCATAGGTGGAGGCTGAGGGCATCCCATGCCCTTCATCGCCAGATTATTTGCGAGCTGCACAAGGCCGGGCTTGTCAAGGCGTAGCTGCTTCATTAGACCTGATCCAGCGAAAAAGCCAATATAAGAAGAGTAAGCGCGTTGCTTGGTGACTTCCTCAATGCTGTACATGGCTTTTATTACAGCCTCAGTGCATGAAGAGGCACCTGCATTGATCGCTTCGGTCTCGGGGTGGGGGTTTATGGGTAAGTGGCGGTTGTTCTTCATGAAAAAGGATTCGGATTCTGTGAGAAGGATGACTGCACGGCCCTCGTTTCCTGCACGGCCTGTACGGCCAACACGATGTACGTATTGTTCGGCGTTTGACGGCAAGCCGACCTGGATGACTAGGTCGACATTAGGAAAGTCCATTCCGCGGCCGATAACATCAGAAGCGAAGAGGATTCCTGAATCTGCTGCTTTGAACTGGGTTGTCGTTCTTGTGCGAGCAGTCTGGTTGAGTCTGGAGTGAATCTCAAACACCTTCAAAGGAGTCAATCCCTTGGAAAATGCGTTGGCAAAAAGGGCTACCATGTTGGCAGTAACGCCAAAGACAATGATCTTGGAGCTGTTCTTGATTTCAAGATTAAGAAGCGAAGTGAGTGTAGTAAATGTGTCTACCACAGAGGGTATGACCACATGGTACTGGGGCACCCGCTCATGCGTAGGTGCTTCATTTTGCTCAATGGTTGAGATGTTACTGTAGCCTGGCTTCAACACAACACTAACCACATCCTTGACTTTGGGCGGAACAGTGGCTGAGAAGCACATACCTTGCCAGCCAGCGCTCTTGGGTGGGATAAGCTTCAGAATTTCCTTCACGTCAGCTAGAAAGCCCGTCTCGAGCATCCTGTCAGCTTCATCCAACACCAGGGTCTGGATATTGCACAATTTCTGAGCGGTACTAAAATCGGATAGGTAGTCCTTCAGTCGTCCCGGTGTTGCGACCAGTATCGACGGCGCCCCTTTCATGAAGCGCGAATGAGCAGATGCACGAGCCGTGCCACCAACTGCGATATGGCACTCAAGAGGCTTCGAAAGCTGGGAGGTAAGCTGATCGCATGATTTTGCAATTTGCTGAGCGAGCTCTCTCGTTGGAGTGATAATCAAAATGGCGACCTGGCCATGCGGTGCTGCTGAACGCCCCTGTAGCAAAGAGTGCAACGTGGGTAGCAGAAAGGCAACGGTTTTGCCAGTCCCCGTTTTCGCCTGTACAAGGCAGTCGCTGCGCCAGTCCGGGAGCTCGGTTAGAATACGCTGTTGGACAGGCGTCATGGACTCGAATCCCATGACATCAAGGGCTTTGAGAAGTCTTGAGTCCAGTTTCCCTGCCATGGAGGCGTATGGCTGGGTGCCATCGGTGGAACTCTGCATGATACTCGAGGGTTTGTAAATTCTGTAGTTGGAGTGATAGTTGTGGTTTTCCTTGGTCAGACACCAATTTAGATAGTGTAGTTGGAATTGGTTTATGGGGGTTCTGCACGGAGAACGGAAGAAATGGCGGAAGACGACCAATTTATTAATCCACTAGAGCGCCAGCATCAGCAAGTAAGTTAGTGTCCTTTCAACCGCGTCTGACTTTGTTGTTCCAAAAAAAAATAGTCTTTGTTGACATCGATGGAAGACAGAGATTTCTTGCTGCCAAGCACTCTTCTTAGTGTTTACGGGTCATGTGACCTACATAGATCCGCGGCTCTTCAGAAGACAGAGGCCCAATTTCCTCCATTGCGCCATGGAAGTTGGGGGTGAGATGGAAATGTCTGCTTTCTGAGTGGCCTACTATCGAATAACAACACCATATATCGGGCTGGTGCATCCAGGAAGCACGCCCTTCGACCAATCAATCACACCACATGTGCGCGCAGCCAACTTCAGCCTCCTGGGCCGTGATGGTTAAGTGGCCCCCATACCTGAGCGCCCGTGGCTGTGTTGTCGCCCTGGTTTCTCCAGGATATATTAATGCGACTCTGGACCCAGGCTCCTTTCGCAGAGCTGCAACGGCAGACAGATAGCACATAATGAAGTATGTCTGTCGCTGGGCCATATCTGAAGATCGTGCTAGATCGCGACCCCAACGGCAAACCGTACAAGCCTGGAGATACGATTAGCGGTCGAGTCTGTCGCACCATACCGACTGTCGCTCCACATGCAAACCTAACCGTCACTCTCTATGGGCGATCTACTTCGGAGCTTTCGGACTCCAAGGACTCGCTTGATTGTCTGGGCCCGCCTGTCCGCTACGTCTTGTTAGCTGGCGGCGCAGTACACATTCCCCGGTCTGGCGAGGGCGAATCGTGGCCATTCGTTATTACGATTCCAGCTTTAGTCTCAGACATCCGAAGCCCGTCACAAAAGAAGCACTATCCTGATCCAGGTGGTACGCCTGGAGCGCCCTTCCCTCCGCCGGGAACCTTCGACTTTGAGGCAGAAGCTATCTTGTCGGGAACCTCTATAAAGTATCATGTGGAGGCACAGTTGGAACTCGTACATCAGCGCAATGGCAGAGATGTACGGGACACCGTTACTGCTAAGACGACAATCGGTCTCCGGAACATCCATATAGGCGCGCCTATTGCGGATTTCAGCATGGAGACATCGATGACGCCGCAGTGTAGTATCAGCACATACCGACTCGTTCCAGGTGTCGGCGAGCTCAGCTTTAGCCAGAATCTGAGGGAATCCCTCAATTCCTCCAAGGTTCCCAGGTTCACATTCAGGATTGTTCTTTCTCTTCCCAGTATCCTGCAAGTGGGCAATGGCAATACTATCCCAGTCTCCATCACCATTGTTCCAAATCTTCAATGCACAAGCAAGATCATCCATGGTGTCCCACAGGAAATCCTCATCAAGGCACTCCGGCTAAAAGTCAAACCATGCACAGTCGTGCGCGTTGAAAGAAGCAGCGAGTCGACGACCTCACCAGGGAGAAATATCATCCCCTTCGGCGCTGTTAGCTCACTCGGCCCTCAAGGCCGTACTATTTCAATTATACCTGGGATCGAAACTGAATCCACACCTCTCAACATCGGCGAGATGCTGAGGGTAAATACGGCTCAAAGCAACTTACACCCGGATTTTCTTACATACAATATCTCCCGCACGCATTCGCTACGCTGGGAGTTGGATGGGAGTGTAGCGGGAGAGGACTTTTCCGTGAAGTCATCCTCAGGCTCAGTGAAGGTATTGCCGGCACCTGGAGAAGTTGCAGAGCCAGCTGCGCTTGAAGGGCTTGGGGGTGAAGAGCTGCCAGGGTATAGTAAGGTGAAAGACCCCCCGCCCGCTTATAATGCGTAGAATGACCTCAAGTCGCATCGCCATCCAGCGAGCGAAGAGCAGGCCTGGAGGTGACGGAAGGGATTAGCGGGGGATGGGCGTGATAGTCGCGACTATCTCCACTCTGGGGAAGAAGATGACATAGTGAGTTATGCACATAGTTAATCCTAATACAAACTCGCCGATTGTCCCATGCCGGTCAGACTCGATGAAAACTCGATCAGCCTAGTAAGAATGGAGCAGGTGCAGCGTATAGCAGGGCTTATTATAGCAGTAATCAATTCGGTGGAGGCGATAGTGCGTCTAATACGAGCCGTATAGTCCAGGCCCGTCTATAATTAGAACTGCCACATTTTGCGATCGTCCTCATTTATAGACGGGAGGCGAACATTTCTGATCTTCACTTGGGTTCCTTGGGAATGCTTTTGCCTACGGGTTGGGTTTCTCGTCCCTTCGTTTTCCATTTATTTTTTTTTTAATTGCTGTAATTTTTAATTCTATTTTTTCTAATCGTATACCGATGTCGTGTCGGCTCCGCAGCGGCGTCATCCTCTTCTAAATTGGGAAAATCCTCGTTTCCCACAGGCGCCCAAAAGCCCTCGTCCTCGCCTTCTTCTCGTTTTTTTTCTCGTCGCTCGCTCGATCGCTTTTTCATCGCTTCCTTGCTTTTCTGCCACTGCTCGACCCGACAGCGGTTCTCGTGGTTTCATATATGGTCGCTGGGTCTCGCCTGCTCTCGCTCCCAGCCACTCTGCGCTCTCTTCTAAGCGCTCACATGCGGGGCGCACTGCCATCGTCGACTCTCGTCTTCTCACTGCTGCGCCAATCCTGCCCTCTGTCACATCTCTGCGTCAGCGTCAACTCGCGAATCTCACCCTTGTGCTCTCAAACATCCTAATCGTCATATTACTATCCCTGCTGCCCGCCGCGGCGCATCTCTCACCGTTGTTTGTCTGCGCCGCCCTCCGCCATGCTCGCAACCCAAATGCCCCCTCCGGCCTCGCATCTTCCATCTCTCACATCGAACTCGTCCGGGGCAGAAGCACCTGCTTCGCATTCAACCATGTCTCCCGCCCTTCCTCCACAGCGTTCCACAGTATCACATTCCAACATGGCTTGCGGCCTCACATCAAATGCGACAAATCGACCCCCCACGCTCTCAAGGCCGAAACTCACCCTCCAAACCTCCTCGCTTCCTGTCACATTTGGCCGTTCGACAACGGGCTTATCACTTTCCCTGGCCACCGGTGCCACAGCATCTCCCACTGTTCACAACACCTTCAAGAATGCGTACGATGCTGCATATCCACCTTCGGCAACTGTCTCCCCGTCTAGATCCACCAGCACTCGCTTCTCCAAACCGTCATCACCGTATACTTCCAGCAACCCCTACCAGCTACCACTCGGTGTAAAGAGCATCCTTCGCAACTCACGCTTGGAACGACGACCGAGCCAAGCGGCTCCAAACGGGCCTAATGGTTCTTCATCATCACGCCGAGTATTCTTCCCGACCAAGAAGCAAGTCAGCTATCGTTATCCGTTAGAGGAGGAAATCAAGACCGTCAAGTACACGGCACGCCATTCAGATATAGTCTCCGACTCGGAAGCTGAGCCTAGTGAAACAAGCTCCGACGATGACTCGGACTACTCTAGCTCCAGCCTAGTTTCGTCGGATACTACACCCTCGGACGACGAGGCCAACCCTTCCGAGCCACCCGCAGACAAGAAGAAAAAGAAGCGAAAGTATCGCAGCAATGAACGGCAAGTTCGCGCAGTCGCCCTCAGGGATGGCTTGGGGGACCCATATACCTCGGTAAACTCGCCAACACCCCAAACACCTCTACAAGGCCGCCTCAAGCGTCGTCGCGAATGGAGATGGACACTAGGCCCGCTAGACGAAGCCGGCAGTACCCCAGTTTCTTCACAATCGTCTACATCAAATGCTCAACTATCCACTCCATCGGAATCAGGGCAAGATCCCGAGGATCCCGCAAAGGAACCTGACACCCTTTCCCTCAACGTGGCGACGCTTCGACCCACACCCCAACCATCACAATTGACGACCCCAATCTCCCTCGCTCCGAGTGACGCATCAGAAAGCAACACCGCCCTTTCACCAGAGGTTGCAGACTCCGATCCACCCCATTAACTACTAGCTGGCGGGGCACTTCTTATTACTATTATTTCATGCATCTGCTTCGCATTTCAGATTACGATTTATGCATCATAGACGCATTGGCATTATTAGCATTTGCCATATGATGGCACGGGATTCGATTACTCGAGCCACTCAGCCGATACTTATGGATGAGCTGGCGCACTACTATTTATTTATAGATCGTCGCCTTACGTCGACCTTTCTTACCTGCATACTTCTTTCTATTCTTATATATACTTTCTAATTATTTCCTACACAAACACACATTTATTCGGGTACTCCTCATTATTCTCCACACACAGACACCTATCTCAATTTCTGTTCTACCTATGCAAGCCAAACCGTTGTCTGGTACAACGTAAGCGCCTGCAGATCTCTTCATCTTTGATACTGTACCATGCGTGAATACGAATCCAAACCAATTTTCGATCACTTCACACTCTATACCCCGTACTTGAAATTTTTATCCCCACAAATCAAGCACGATAAGCTATACACGCAGTCTAAGTCCGAGTTTTTACGGAGCAAAGCCGGAGTACAGCAGTCGTACGTAGTATGTAGTCGTGACCACGTAGCCCTGCCGTGCCGAACCCTTGAATACGAGGTCCTTCCCACGCGACACCAAAACCTTAAGCTAAATCCAAATCGAACACGAATACGATTTATTTACGATGCTGATCGATGCAGATGGAAGAACCTTCTGCAGATCACTCTGCTTCGCTTCCAAAGTTGGTTCATCAATATGTCTGTCTAGTCTACTGATAGTGGAAGGGAAGGGGGCAATTATCGACGGAGCCGCGTTTCCGGTTTGTATCGACACGAGAATTGCTGTGATCGGATAAGATGGGATTGGAAGTTGGTGAGGTATACGACCTACTTCATTACGCCTTCTCCATATGAAGCCCCAATCGGTCTGGTGGGGTTAAATGTTAAAGTAATGGTTATAATTCATGTGAAGTCTTGTTATCAAGTGGCTTTACCAATTAGGCAAAAATGCTACTTCCATAAAGAACCATCTGACACCATATACAGCAGACAGTTGCTAACAAATCATGACAACATCATCTCAAAATAATTACACAACGAAAGAAATAAGGTACTTGGACGAGATGGGCTTAGGTCCCTGTCTCAGTCTCAATATCAGGCTCTCTGCCAGCCAGATCCCCACTGAACCTTTGCTTGACCTTCCTCAATGCAAACACGGCCTCGTCCTTTGCAAACGATGCGTTACGGGCTGGCTTCCATTGCATTATCCCGCGTTGATGGCGCTGCTCGCTGCGTTTGGCGGCCTTTTTGGAAGATTTTGTGGAGTCTGACATTGTCTCGATCGTGGATGTCTGGCTGGGCCCGGTTCTTTTGCTGTCAGCGGTGCTTGGACGGGATCCTGTCGTGTTGGCGTTCGGAATGCCTCCAATGGTGCCGTTTGGGCCGTTTAGGCCTTGATGCGCCTCGTGTTCGGGCTTCTGTCCCTGTCCGTGGACGTGTCCAGGTTCGTGTTCTTGCTCGTTGGAGGAGTCACTGAGCTCAGAGGCTTCGTCATCGTCAGGGAGGTGCATAACTGTCCCTTGTTGGGCCGGTCCTCTCCTGCCCTGGTTCTGTTCATCGGCTTTGACCTGAACAAGAGGATCCTGGCCGAATGCACCACTCCAGTCTTGACCTTCTTTGTCGATCCAACGGCGGCGCTCCTTCGGGTCAGCGACCTTGAGGATGTCGCGGCCCTGGAGGAGAGATTGCTCGTGCATTTGCTCTGTACGCTCGGGGACTTCTGCCTCGATGTGCCGGGAACGGACACCCTCGGCGATGCAAGCTTCCCATGTTTCGAAAGTCTCGCGGGTGTGGTTGTCGACGACGAAGTGTTCATGGGATTCGTCAATGCCTGGCGTGAAAGTGCAGCTGAACCGGAGGCGGCCGATTACTTGGACGTCTTCAAGGCCCGGGCTGCGTTTGTTCTCCAGGTTGTCCTCGGTGATGTAGTTCTGCGTGAGACGTTTTCCGTTCTTCGTTTGCCAGATTGGGAGGTCTACCGGTAAATCCCCGTTGTCGATGAGGTGCTGAAGCCAGAGGATAGCGTATCCGGTGGTGCCATGTTTGCCTTGGGTGAGGAATTCGAAAACGATGGGGGATCGGTAGCGATGCTTAACAGGGAGACGGACATCAAGTTGGGAGAGGTCAAAGGAGGAGCTATCCCCGTTGACGGTGCATACATGTCGCGGGATCTTCCTGCTGCTACCTCCCGTTCGCAAGCGGATCTTAGTTCGTTGGTTAAGGCCTTGTGCAGTGATGTTGTTGGACGTGAATTGGAACGTCCCAACGTCCCATCCGAGCATATTTGGAGGAAGCTTGGTCTCGACATGTCTGAAGAGAAGCGAAATGCGGACCCGACCGAAGCCAATTCCTCCATCTAGAGGATACCACCTAGTGACCTGGGAGCTAGTCTGGAAGAGATCGGAAAGTTTGAGAGGGACGAGACCTAGAATAGGATCGTGCTCTCTGTATCTCTGGTCTCTGACAACCACGGTGACAACAGCTGAGCGCCAATCACGCACGAATCTTTCTGTTCCGGCGTTGAAAATGGGCTTTGAGCTCAGTGCTTTTGCTCGTGTACGATAGATCTGTAAAGCGTTAGGTGAGGAATATGTGGTAGATAAAGGGAGCGACTTACGAGTTCGTCGTTTAGAATGATCTTGCAATAACTGGTTGGCAAATCTTCACCTTGCTCCTCAGTGTTCTCTCCAAAAGCCCTAGCCGGCTCATACTCCCTCCCCCGGCGATCGCCATTACTGCCCTTGATGTTGGCAAGCTGAAGGTTGACAATCTGATGCACAACAATACTGCAGATCCCACTTGGCCACAGGGGATCAGGCGGCGTATGTGTGACGGCTTCATCCTCTTCTGTATCGAGGATCCCCTTGTCATCTTCGAATTTGGGGTCATCCTTGAGGTTCTTGGGCAAGTCCTTAATCTTACCGTCGGTTCTCAGCTCGTTTCTCAGTTTCGGTTTGCCAAAGTAGCCGACTTCCCAGTGCAGTTCTCCGGGCATCTCACTTCCTTCGTTCATGCCCTGGAGCTTTGAGACGTGCTGGTACATACGGCACGGGTGCTGGATCATTTCACGAATGGGCAGCTCGACTTTGCCAACGACATCATCTGCCGTGTGGCGATCGGAGTCCCAGAGCTCAACGCTAAGGTTCTCGTTCGCTTTGATGAGCTCGGCGTTCACAAGCAATGCTGCTGTCTCTTCCCATACCGGATTCAGATCATCGCAAATCACCCTTGTGCAATACATCGGCTTTCCATATTTCGAAAACGAAAGGTTGATGTAAGGGTCACTTCCACCACCATGGCTACCGCGCGAGTCTTGTTTGCTTAATCCCGTAGCACGGTGGATACGAACCCACATTATTCCAAGCGCCTGTGTATCTTTGACAATATCGTCACCCTTTATCATCATGCTAAGATCCATGGTCATTGACTTTGGGGCCGCAAAGATACCGCACGCAGTACCAATGGCATAATTGACAAAGTTGGAAATCAAGGGGAGGTTCAAGACATTGACTCCTGTTTTGAACATCGGCATACAGCCGGCTCGGATATGGGGAATCCCAGCAAGACTAAACGTTAAGTCCTTGACGAAGGGGGCTTCAGGAACCAGTTGGAGTCTACCACGGACCGTTCCCACCATCTCAATAAGTTCCACAAAGACTGGAAATGGTACACCAAAGAGACCGCGGACACCAAGGTAGAAAACGAGCTGCATGTGCATGTTGCGAGCTTTGGCGGAAGCACTCTGGCCGCTGGGCTTTGCATGGTAGGCGAAAGAAGCCTCGAAGTTGTAGAAACTCCCGCCTTCCTCCAAAGCAGCTGCCTCTTCGGCATCCTTGTTTTCGACGTTGTTCTGATGGGCATTTTCTTGCAACTGCTGTACATGATCGTCCGGCAGTGCGCGCAGACTTAGCAGTCGAAGTGGATTATTCCCTTGGTCAATCTCTGCAATGCGAACATTCTCGATAACACCGGGCGAAGATGCTTGCATGATATCCTCAATTGTATCAGCAACCGGTGCCAGCATGTCGGGATTGACCAATCCCCAGATAATCCCCATGAACGTGTTCATCCACTCAACAGATTCCGGCAATAGATTCGCCGTTGCCTGCATGACGCGCTCGTTAACATTATCAACTATCGTCGCCCAGCAGCAAACTTACCATTTGTCCTCTCAATTGCTCGCTACTCCATTCCATTTCCCTACCACTTCGAATCACTTCTTGTACCCATAACCACACGCCACTAGAAATACAGGCAGCTAGAGGAATCAGACCCCAATATGAGGCCCCAAAGGTCCGGCCTAGGACAATAATGCCACATACGATACCAATACACAGGGAAGTCCCGCGCTTCTCAAGATTCTCGAACATGGGCTTAAAAGATATTGTAGGAGTCGGGTGGAAAAGAACATTCGTTCGTTCTCCATGAATTGGGACGTCTGAAGTAGTTCCCTCGGCGATGGGGTCTGGAGGTGCTGTAATATCTTGATTTTCCTTGTATTCGGCGAGCGTTTGGTTCGCATCTGTCTTCACCGACTTTGACAAAGCATCAGCAGTCATTCAATTTGACAATGGGATGAGGAAGTAGCTCACTGTCTGTTTTCCAAGATTGGCATTCGGTACCACCAACTTCATTTAGTTAGCAAGGAAAGTGGCATTGTAGGGGACAGGAACATTACCGTTGGCTCCTTTACGGGCTCCATAGCAGTCTCATCCAAATCCTCAACTTCAATTTCCCTACCAGTTGTAGGATCCGTGACCTCGCGCGTCCTGCCCTTTCCTACTTTGCGAGGTCGATGAGGGATGGCACCCTCCGCCTGTGGCCGCCCTTCTGGCTGGCTCTTCCCGGCCATGGCTCTCTCGTGGGCTTCACGTTCCCTCTGATCTTCTTGAAGGCGTTCCATGAACCGCCCAATCGTCGGCACCGGGTTGGCTCCGCTCCAATGCTCCCCAACCCGGTGCTGGTTGGGGGACTGGGCCGCCGCCCCCTTCGGATGAGGAGGCATGGTGAACGGGCTGTGACCTAGTTCCTGAAGGCGTAGAAGGTAGTCTTGGGGGTAATTACTGGTGAATGATAGGCTCAATGGACGTCCTAACTTCCAGAGCTAGGTATGGTTTCCGCAGAGTGAAGGTCAGCCGAAGCTTAGATGCGGTAGAGGACAGAGAGAGAGATGATGAAAAAGGGACATGTTGAAATTCCAAGGTCATCAGCCTTATGGCAAGTAGGAAACTACGTCACTAAGGTGAATTGGCCTGGACGCTGCGCGTACGATGGACAGTGGATGGGCCGCTGAGATGAGCTGCCCGGGCGAGCTGGTGGAGCCCGTCAATCGGATGATGTCACCACCACCGCGATCTCCTGCTCCAGCTCTCATCTCGGCCTCTCCCAGGCTTTCTCTCCCGAATTGAACCAGGAAAATGCTTCACTGGTTTTGCTGATCTTGTATCTATTATTGTCGGTGCCTAATTGATCTAGCTTTCATGTGGGTTGATGTTGTGTCTTGTTGAATCAGACGCATCGTCGCATACCCACCAGTACTACCGAACCAAGTACACGGTATATCCGCACCCTGTCGTCAGCCAAGGAACATTCCTTTAAAGTCGGTTCAGGGAGGGCCTCGTTTAGAAAAAAAAAATATACAGTCGCCTCCTCACGTTGATTAACCCTGTGAATTATGTGGATTATTATGCTGTCCTATGTGGTCCAGCCATTCAATTGAGGGTTTCGTCATCAGATGTCATACTACAGGGTCCATCAGAATATACTTGCTCCCGACTGTTCTTATTCAGGGATTGATTGGTCAATTCTGCAGTATCGTAAGCTTTACTTGTGATAGTATATTCTTGACACTAGTACGTACAGGACCTCCTTTCCATAATTCTGCATCCGCCGCATTGCCTCTCTCCCTTTATTCTTCGTTCCTCCCTTTGTCTTCCCCATATTCCCCAATTTCAACCAGTGGTGTTAAAGCCCTTAACTCTTGTACATGCGCCCAGGTAAGTAGCATCAAATCAATGCCTAGCAGGGACCAGAATAGTAGACCGATGGGGAAGAGACAATTGCACCAATATTTGACGAGAGTGTGACCCCATGTATAGCTGTCAGGAACTTGCATCCAATAGATAGCCGAAAATGTGCGATACCAAGATATCAGGACCCAATATCCTTCGACTGGCTCTAGGACAAGAAGAATGACATGGAAAATGAGCAAATTTCGAGCATCTTTAACTGAGCGAAGAGACCCTCTTCTTCTGAGCCAGTCGGTCGTAGGTCTTTTCTCTCCTTTCTTGTGTTCCGAGAGTCGAGCATCTTGCAATTGTGCCCACCAGGCTGCATATACCAAGAAGAGTATCCAATGCCAACCGGGACCTCGAAGCCAGTGAAGGATATACTGAGGCAAGGTATGTTCCCCACGGGTGGGCATCGTCTTGGCCGAGGTAATGGAGTATGATACGCGGGCCTTGAAATAAGCAAACAAAAAAAAAAGTATATATATATATCAGACTGTCGAGAGAGAAGACAAAAGAAAAGTCGTGGTCTGCATTATATTTGAACCGGGCGCACTAGATGCGCTAGCTAGGAAAAAGTGATCGGATCTACGTCGGTTATGGGCCGTTGGCCAATGCCACGCAACATCAGCTTCTCAATTCAAAGAATCTCCAGGGTTTGGAGCTAGGATAGGCCGGGGCCCTCAGATGCGAGAATAGATGTGTCTGTTTTAAGATTCGAGGACACTTGACATTCATGGCGGTAGCCTCCTGCAACCGCTGGAGACCAGGGAGCCAGCAATGGAATCGATAAATCTGTCTGGTATTTCCAGCAATTACTATACTATACCAGTCAGAGCCACCATCAAATGTGATGTGAGAAGATAGTTCTTATTATTACGCTTGAGTGCTGTGTGAGAGTATAGATTGAGTAGATATGTACGCTAACCCGATTTGGCCAGCCACCATCAGCCAGATGATCCGCGAAATTCACACCTTCCACCACCAGCTTCAGCATCAAATTCCACTTGGGACAGTATCAACAACTCACAGACCTTCGGAACTGAAGTCCCTGGGTCGTACTTTTGAACCCAAATTAACTCTTATTGCCAGCCTTTCATCGTTCCTTCTCTAACCGCGCCCCGCCCTTGAATGCGCGTCGAGTTGAACACCGCACAACGTCATTGACACAGGTTTCCAATGTCTTCAGCCGATGAATCACCCGCTCAGCGAGCAGCCCGATTGCGGCGCGAACGCCGTGAGGCCAAGATAAAGGAGGGAGGAGTGTCTCGTTTAGACAAAATCACAAGCTTGAGTGGACGAACACCCTCAAAAGGTACGACTGGCAAATTGATTTCTCTTGGCCTCCAGCTTTGCTGCTATATTCAATCCACGAGACGTACAAGCTAATTAGTATTCTGCACAGATCGTGAGGAGGCGTCACCGTCTCCTTCCCCACAGCCTCCCGTTGCTGGCCTCTCCCCAAGCCCCGAACCACGAGCAACGCCGCAACAAGCACAACAAACATCTAGCCAGGCACCACCACAGCCGAGTGTCGAAGACGTATCTCCAGATGCGCTCCGCCAACAGGAAGAGGCTCTCCGTGCCCTCCTCCGCCAGCCAGAGCCCTCTCAACAGGAAGGCGGCGAAGAAGAAGACCCGACCTTGAAACTCTTGAACTCTCTCATGGGCGGAATTCCTGGCGCCGCGCAGGGTGCCAATCCCGGTGGGGGTCCGGGCGGAGATGCTCCAGGTGGTATCCCTGCGGGACTTGCTTCTTCACTTGGTCTTCCGCCGTGGATGGCGGACGTGCTTGGCTCTGCATCACAGCCACCGTCTGAGGAACAAAAGAAGGCTGTCTTGACCTGGAAGATTCTGCACATTCTGTTTTCGGTGGTGCTTGGGGTCTACATTGTTTTCCTGGCCAGTTCGTCTGTTGCAACGTACGGCAAACAACCGCCGCCTCCGGCCACAGCACGGAATCCATTCCTTTTCTTTACGACGGGAGAGCTTGTGTTGAGCGGGGCGAGGATCATCATGAAGAATGGTGGGCCACCTGGGCCATTTCTTTACATTCAGCTGCTGCGAGACTTTATTCGCGATGGCAGTATCGTTCTCTTCTTGTTTGGTATGGGCTCTTGGTGGAATCAGGGATGGTAACAGCCTTCATAGCCTTTGAAATTTATGTTCCAATTTCGACCATTCTATGAAGAAGTCATTCATATAGCTGATTGAAAATAATTTCATCTGAACGAATTTACTTTGCATTGTGATGCCCGCATTTCTCAAACTTCCCCCAACCCGGGCTTTTCTTTTGAACGTACCTGCGTATAGTTGACTCCATACCAGGAATATACATCTTGATAATGGGGAGCCCACAAACTCCCCACAACCCACAACCCACATTCGACATTTAAATGGCATATCTCCTACTGCACTATAGTCTAGTTTCTGACAGCGCGGCTGAAATATTAACCCTTTTCCCACAATGATACTCAATCAGCCACTCTGACACTCACATGCAGTATGCACGGATCCCTCCGAATCCCTCCCCACAGCTCCTCGAGTGGGACAAGTTAACAAACTTAGTTCGTATAAGGTGTCATAAACGAGCCGCTTCTATTCGCCTAATATGCAGTATAGTTTTGTTGGGTATCTCGTTATGCATTTACCTTTACCTTGTACGTATAATTACATAGCTAGTTGCAGCCAGTATCAGCGTAGCCAACCCTCCAATTGCTGTTTACAGTGTACGGTGTACATTGACGGGGGAACTGTGGAGCAGCATTGCATTTGATTTTGTGGCTCTGTGGGTAGGTTCATGCATTGTCGTGGGATGGAGCGGTTTCTGGATGGTGTGCTGCAGCTTGTGCTGTCGTTACTCGCTACTGGTACTGAATGAGACAGGAGGGGTTGTGGAGAGGAGACGGGATATCCGAGAGTTGAGAGGCTCTGCCAGATAATCAGTGGCACTGGCTGTTGATCTTTTCTGTGTGGTATGGAGTGTGCGGATTCGAAGGTGGGACGCTGGGATAAGAGGTGGCCCGTTGGGTGGTAACTGGGACTAAATTAGAGAGTACACCGTCGAGCATATTTACCCAGTGCTACAGTCGATCCAACTGCAGATCGCGAGCGCAATGTTGGACACCAAAGCTTGTGTTGACCATTTAGTGAATGGTGTTTGACCCAGGGACATCTAGCGAAATATGTCAGACATATATTTGGAATTCCTTCGGCACTGAAAGTAAAGAGCGAAGCAACAGCCAGACCGTTGAGGCTTAGAAATTGTACTCCAGTGCCGTGCCAGCAAATGTCAATCTCCCCGCGACCGAACTCGACGGCGGGAGGATCCATCTGGAACTGAACAACTTCGCGCCGTCTTTACCCGCGCAACTATGGCCGTGATTGGCTAGAAAGCCCGTAGAAGAGCCCTCGCTCGATGAGTCGAAATTAACACTCGCGACTCGCAGTGAGGCTTGAGACAATGAAGGCCCGAAGGCCCTGTTTTCCGTTTGATCAGAGAGCTTCAGCAAGGGCGAACCCCGGATGCGGACTAGGACTAGTTGTTTGGCGGTCCGGACCAGCAACCCCGTTTTGAGGCGGGAACCAAGGTTGCTTTGAGCCACTCGTGGGCTCTGTCAGAATGTCATCATGTTAGGGTTGCTTTGTGGTCACACGGCAGGGAGGTACTTTGATCGCGATTCTCGAACTGCTGGCGGGGTACGGGCGAGGAACCGACAGCTTTTCCGCAAACAGAATCCCACGATCCGCGAGGGGTCAACCCGGCTTCAAGGACGGGGCCACCTGCTCGAATGAGTATACCCTTATTGCTTACTGATCGAACAGATGCAAGTGCTCCATGACCCCGATGCTGGGAAGATTCCTGTTCCAGGAAAGAGTTTGGACTTCTCCCCGCACGGTTGAATACTAATTATACTAGCACTTAGCATGCTGCTGCTAGGCGCTTGGCTGGCGTTCTTGTGATCCCTCCGCCCGGGGATTCAGGCACCGTCTGATTCGCCGTTTGGCTCAACCGCCATGGCATACTTCATAGTTACCCGTAGGTCCAGTCGCCGCAAAAACGGATGAAACATGCATTCAAACGGTTGCAATAACCGACACAGCAGTACCCTCGGGCAGCGTAATTGTTGTAATTAGCGTACCGTGATTTGGCAGATTGCAGTCGGCTTGGGACTGGACGCGGATCCGCCCCGGAGCAACGGAAACGAAAAGCAACGACGGCCAAGCCCCGCATGGCCGAGTCTGTTTTTGTGGAGGGGGCAAGTGTCAACGTTGCGCAACTTGGGCCTCTCCGGAATCGCTTCTGCAGGGGGGGCGATCCTGCGAGGGAACAATAATATAGAAATAATATTGGACGGCTGTTGTCCTGATTGAGATCCCGTGGGTTCCAGCGCAGATGCAGGACGCTTGCACTGCTGGTTACACAGGAACCTACAGTAGCAGTCGAGAGCTTGGGGAAAGCTGCCACTGGATCGAAGAACCGAGAACCAGCAAGTTGCTGGACGGTCGCCCGGAAAAGGATCGACCTCGTCCCCGGTGCCGCATCGTCAACTCGGAGTTTGTTCCAACGCTAGGTTGGGTATAATCGCCTTATAAGAGCGACATCCCCTCCGGACACCCGGGCAGCGGGACCTCAACAATTATTCCCTCCTTCTAGTTCTAGCCCACACGAAATTAAATAGCTGTGCGCTCCCAGTCCCAGTTTCTGAGAGATTCCCATCTATCTCTCTCCCCTCCATTCTGCCCCTCCTCTAGCTCGTTTCCTTTCCCTCTTTTCCCCCTCACCTCCCTCGTCGTCCTCGCCTTCGTCGTTGATTCCTGCAGAGCTACCCCTCCACCTCTCTAGCTACCCCACCACGACACCTCGGAACGGTAAGCTTAAATCCCACCAGCTCACGTGCCGATCTTGCTCCCCAGCACCGAAATAACACCGAGCTTTTTCTTTTGTTCTCGCTGAGATTATTTTCTGACTTTCCCGGGTGTGCATCGTGCAGGAATACTCAGATTCGTGATCCCCAGTCATAATGAGTGACGGTCCTATTGCACCACCCAAACCCGCCGTGGTAAGCAGCCGCCTTGAGTTCCAGCTGTCGAGCCAATTGTTTTCGACTAATTGTGATCTCTCAGGTTGCGGAGGCCCATGAGGTCGACACCTTCCACGTTCCCAAGGCATTCTACGACAAGCACCCAGTTAAAACCGGCCCTCATCTTAAGGATCTGAATGATTACAAAAAGCTCTACGAAGAATCCATTCGCAACCCCGACCAATTCTGGGCTCACCATGCCCGACAACTTCTCTCCTTCGATAAAGACTTCCAAACCACCCGCCTAGGTTCATTGGAGAACGGCGATGTCGCTTGGTTCCCTGAAGGTCAGATCAATGCTTCTTACAACTGTGTTGATCGCCACGCCATTCAGAACCCCGACAAAGTTGCCATCATCTACGAAGCTGACGAGCCCAATGAGGGCCGCACAATCACATACGGAGAGCTCCTCCGCGAAGTGTCGCGAGTTGCCTGGGTTCTGAAGCAACGCGGGGTCAAGAAGGGTGACACTGTTGCCATCTACATGCCTATGATTCCGGAAGCTCTCGTCGCCTTCCTTGCATGCTCACGTATCGGTGCCGTCCACTCCGTCGTTTTTGCTGGTTTCTCCTCAGACTCCCTGCGCGACCGTGTCCTCGACGCTGGCTCTAAGGTTGTCATCACAACAGACGAAGGAAAGCGAGGCGGTAAGATCATTGGAACCAAGCGTATTGTGGACGAGGGTCTTAAGCAATGCCCCGATGTGTCGACTGTCCTTGTTTACAAGCGCACCGGCGCCGAGGTTCCCTGGACCGAAGGCCGTGATATCTGGTGGCACGATGAGGTTGAAAAATACCCGTCCTACATCGCTCCCGAGCCCGTTAACTCTGAAGACCCCCTCTTCCTCCTATATACTTCCGGCTCTACTGGTAAGCCCAAGGGTGTCATGCACACCACTGCTGGCTACCTGCTGGGCGCGGCTATGACAGGTAAATACGTCTTTGATATCCACGACGGTGACCGCTATTTCTGCGGTGGTGATGTTGGTTGGATTACTGGTCACACCTACGTGGTATACGCACCCCTACTACTGGGTGTCGCAACAGTCGTCTTTGAGAGTACCCCGGCCTACCCCAACTTTTCGCGCTACTGGGACGTGATCGAGAAGCACAAGGTTACCCAATTCTACGTCGCCCCCACGGCCTTGCGTTTGTTGAAGAGAGCTGGAGATGAGCATATTCACCACAAGATGGAACACTTGCGTATCCTGGGATCTGTCGGTGAGCCGATTGCTGCCGAGGTCTGGAAGTGGTACTTCGAGAAAGTCGGGAAGGAGGATGCTCACATTTGCGATGTAAGTTGCTTTTTCTTTGCTTTTTTGCTTTTCAAGTTTCAACACCCCTCTAACCTCGAATGAATAGACCTACTGGCAAACCGAGACCGGCTCCCACGTCATTACTCCCTTGGGTGGCATTACCCCCACGAAGCCCGGTAGCGCGTCTTTGCCGTTCTTTGGTATTGAGCCTGCTATCATCGACCCAGTATCCGGCGAGGAGATCTCGGGCAACGATGTTGAAGGTGTGCTTGCCTTCAAGCAGCCCTGGCCCAGTATGGCCCGCACCGTGTGGGGTGCCCACAAGCGCTATATGGACACATACCTGAACGTGTACAAGGGCTACTACGTACGATCCCTCTTTTTTTCCCCCCTACATTTGCTTCGAGCTCAAGGAGGCTGACATAATTTCAATAGTTCACCGGAGATGGAGCTGGCCGTGACCACGACGGATACTACTGGATTCGCGGTCGTGTTGATGACGTTGTTAATGTGTCCGGTCACCGTTTGTCAACTGCGGAAATCGAGGCCGCCCTCCTTGAACACCGTAAGTCAATATTTCATATTATCATAAGAAAATGAAATGTGCGCTAATCAACTCGATAGACATGGTTGCTGAAGCTGCCGTGGTTGGTATCACTGACGAATTGACGGGTCAAGCCGTCAACGCCTTCGTTTCTCTCAAGGAAGGTAATGAGTCGAACGACCAAGTCCGGAAAGACCTTGTCCTTCAAGTCCGAAAATCGATCGGACCGTTCGCCGCTCCCAAGTCTGTCTTTGTTGTTGAGGACCTGCCCAAGACCCGTAGCGGTAAGATCATGCGTCGTATTCTGCGAAAGATCCTGAGTGGCGAAGAGGACAGTCTGGGTGACATTTCAACGGTAAGACCTTTGCCTTCTTGTTAATATCATACTTTGTAAACGAGACTAATCCTTTACTTCAGCTGTCCGACCCCTCCGTGGTTGAAAAGATCATCGCCACAGTACACGCTTCCCGTGGGAAATAAGCTATAAATTCCTGGGCAAGAAATACGGTTGAAAAGCCATATATACGATAAAAATGTGTCATGGTGAAGACTATCTGGGTTGACTTGATAAATGATTCGGCCGGTGGCACGCCCATTAAGATGAGGATAAAGCGTGATATATTTACTTGTTAGTCGTGTGATTCCCATGTTTCGTTGGACTTTCGGAGCGGCTGTTTTGTAAATGACTAGCTATAACTTATGATATTTATAGTACATCTTTAGTCATTTATTCATATATATTTTATATATTTATAAAATCTTGTACTCTTAGGTTGTATCTTAAAACGTAGCTTAACTTGAAGACATTGACGACCCTGGCCATTGCTAATTGAACATTGTAAAAGTATTCATGTCAGTAATATAACATGGGCTTTGCCTTGTAAAGATCATGGCTACTCTTTGGAATCTTTGTGGAGGCTTAATTGAGCCTGTTCAGTCTTTCGGAGCGGCCTGGACTGCATTGGGCAACAGTTCGTTAGGTAGAAAGGACAAATGCCATTGTCCGGATACGCATTTCGGGAGAGGGCAACCCGTTCAGATCATGTGAGCACCTCTTTGAGTCAAATGTTTGTGATAATGGCTTTAACCATTGGACGGAGGGGAGTCGCCCTGTATTGTATATGTAGGCAGTGAAGACAGCGATTCATTTCTCAGGCTCTCGTCCCGTCGATTGGTGGTCGTAATTCAGGCAGCAGTGTCACGTGGACGACATTCAACTTCCGGCCAGCACTGACCCGACAATACGAGGTATTACAATACAAGAGCTTCCAAAGAGTGGGGCCTGAAACACAACGTCGTACTGTATGGTTATCAGAAGGCGGTTAAGCCTAATTAGTAGTTCCTCTCCCTGCTGGCACTTTTCCTTAACACCAGTGCGCGTCAGTTTCCTCACCTCATCTCGACCCTTCGCCTTCTTCCTTCTTCTCACCCCCCATCCTTTCGTCCTTCTGGACTCGTCAAGATCCTTGCTCTGACGACGCCTCTCCGTCGGCAGCTGGTGTGACACTTCTTTTTTTCATTTACTTTTTATTCGCTTTTTGCTTGGTGATCGGCTCTCGTTGAGAGGGAAAAAAAAACAAACACCTTCACTCAACTTGTTCGCACCCTTTGCGCGTACTTTATCATAGCGCATTGCAGTCGAACGTTTTGTCTATCGCGTTACGTTTACCTTTTAGCTGGAAGTTCCGACTGTTTCGCACCGGTTCGCAAGCTTTCGCGACTGCTCGCAACACCCGGATCCTCGAGTGAACCGATGAATCTATAATACCTCGAAATACACAGTCATCATGTCGTTTGGCGGATTTGGAGGAGGATTTGGTCAGAATAACCAGCAGAGTTCCAGCTTTGGAACAGGCTCTGGCTTTGGCACGGGTACTGGTGGAGGTAGGTCCCTTTTGTCCACTCGCTTGCCGTTATGATCTCGCCGAGGAACCCTTTCTTGGATCTTCGGCTGCCTCTCCTTTTTTTTTTTTTTTTTCATGGTCTCTTTCAATCTTGTTTCCTTTCATGATCGGTCTATGGCTGGTGCTTGTGACATCGACGTCGATCGACCGACCCGTGGCGGCCCTGTACGGTTTCCAACAGTTAATCAATCCGCGCGGAGGCCTTCGGCGCTGAATAGCTCAGCAGCAACACCATAAGAGAAAGGATCGCAGCTTTATGACAGTCTCTGACAGTCTCTATCCGAAAATTTAGGTTTTGGATCAACCTCAACATCGTCCCCTTTTGGTGGGGGTAACACATCAGGCGGTGCTGGTGGTGGTGGTGGCCTGTTTGGAAATACCTCCAGCAGTTTTGGTTCCGGTGGAGGTATGTGCTTGATGCATCAGGTTCAACCATTATTCGATGAGCTTTGCGATCCTTTCTCTTCTACGGCCACCTTGGACGGATTCTCTCTCTCCTTCCTGCAAAATCTGTCGGCTTTTTTTGGTCTGCGTCGGAATTTCCTATACCGATCGCCTCGACCTCCCCTGGCCTTTCGAATGAAAACTGCGGAAGGGGATTATGCCGACTAGTGGGATCCGTACCTAGGATGGCTTTGCTCTCAATTTCTTTTCTTTTCTTTTTCCTTTTCAAAGTTTATTCTTATTTCTGTACTTTTCTATATTCCTGTCGTTTATACAACGAGTCTGTCCATTACGCGCTGCTAACGTATACTGTCTCTATAGGATTTGGAACGAACACTCAGAACCAGGCGGGCTCAGCGTTTGGAAAACCTGCAGGAGGCTTCGGAACTGGAGCATCTGGCGGAGGCCTTTTCGGAAGCTCCAACACAACAACATCTACCACAGGCGGTGGCTTTGGTGGCGGCTTTGGCTCTACTACTGGAGGCACGTCTGGATTTGGTAGCACGAACACCGGCGGCGGGATGTTCGGAAGTAAGCCTGCAGGAGGGTTTGGTAGTACAACTGGGACAGGGACTGGTACCGGTTTTGGCGCTGGAGCTGGAGCTGGAACTGGCTTTGGAAGCAGTGCTGGATCAGGATTTGGAAGTGCAACAGGAACTGCATTTCAGCAGGCCGTCCCGCCTTCCGATGGCACTGGCAGCACCCCGTTCAGTGCCTTTACTGAGAAGGACGCAGCTTCTTCTGTTATGAACCATTACCAAAGCATATCTTTTATGCAGCCCTACAGCAAATACTCGTTTGAAGAACTTCGACTGGGTGATTATAATGCGGGTCGCAGATTCGGAAATGGGAGTGGGCAGGCAGGTGCCTTTGGCTCTTCAGCCTTTGGGGGATCGGGATTTGGATCTCAGCCCCAGTCTACTGGGTTCGGTAACACTTCGTCTCCTTTCGGTGGTGCCGCTGCCACTAGTGCCCCGTCAGCATTTGGCTCAACTCAGACATCGGGCGGTTTTGGGTCTACTGCTACATCCAACCCCCTGTTTGGAGCTTCCAAACCCGCTACCTCCTTATTTGGCGGAGGTGCTGCCTCTTCAGCCCCCGCTCAACCTAGTTTATTCGGAACTAGCTCAAACACTACAAACACTGGATTTGGTTCTGGTACTGGCACCGGTGGCGCCTTTGGATCTGGTGGATCGCTATTCGGCAGCAATAATCAACAACAACAGCAAAATAAACCCCTATTTGGCGGAGGCACTGGAACCACAGGCTCGACAGGTTTTGGTGGTGGTTTTGGCGCGTCGAATACCAGCACCTCTACGCCGTTTGGTGGCACTGCAGCTACGTCCTCACCATTCGGGGGTGGCCAGCAACAGCAGACTGGTACCAGCGCTTTTGGTGGCTTCGGACAAAATCAAAACCAGAACCAAACCCAGAATAAGGGACTATTTGGCGGCTTCGGTGGAGGCGCTCAGCAACCGGCTACCGCTACTGGTGGAGGTGGCCTCTTTGGAGGGGGTAGTACTGCCAACACAGGCTCAGGCTCCTCCCTCTTCGGACAGAATAACCAGCAGAGTCAACAGCCAGCTGCTGGTGGCTCGCTCTTCGGAGGAAATAACCAGCAGACTGGGACCAGCTCCCTTTTCGGTGGTAACCAACAACAAGGCCAGAAGAGTTTGTTTGGGGGAGGAGCAACCACGGGCACTGGCACTGGCACAGGCAGCGCCTTCGGTGGTTTTGGAAACACTCAAACCCAACAAACCGGAACTGGTCTCTTCGGCGGTGCTCAGAACCAGCAGCAGCAAAAGCCTAGTCTGTTCGGTGGCTCTACGGGCACAGGCGGGTCGTCGTTGTTTGGCGGGGGCACTGGGAACCAAAATACGGGCTCATCGCTTTTTGGTGGTGCCCAGAACCAGCAACAACAGACTGGGGGTCTGGGAACCTCGAGCCTCTTTGGCGGTTCTCAGCAACAGCAACCCCAACAAATGCAGCAATCACAGCCTGCGCCTGGTAGCTTCCAGGCTTCCCTTCTCGACGGCAACCCCTATGGCAACCAGTCAATCTTCTCGGGTCTGCCTGCGCCGAACACTGCTAGTCCCGGCCCCTTGGCCACCCCGCTGTCTTCTGCGAACAAGCAGAAGCAGCGCACACCCCTGCCAGTCTACAAAATCACGCCTAGTGCTGCCAACCGTCTCATCACCCCGCCTAAGCCCCGAGGCTACGGATTCTCTTATTCCACTTATGGATCTCCCTCTAGCACTACCAGCACTCCTAATGGCCTTGGTGGAAGTCTCCTTGGAGGAGGTATGCGCGGCAGCTTCGGTGGCAGCCTGGGCCGTGGCACTTTTAGCAAGAGCTTCTCTACAAGCAATTTGCGCAAGACATTCGATCCAGAAACCGACAGCGTCTTGTCTCCTGGTGCTCTTTCTTCTGGTAACTCGCGCCTATCGAGTGGTAATCTGAAGCGCCTGACCATCGACCGAAGTCTGCGAAACGATCTCTTCACTCGCTCTCCTAGCACACCTACCGCAATAACCAATGGGGACGACGCCGGCCCAAGCAAAGTCAGAAAGAAGGTCAGCTTCGAGTCAACTCCTGATGGCACGACTGGTGGTGAAGTTGTCCCCGTGACATCCCAGTCCCCCGAACCTACCCCAGAAGAACTAGGCTTCTTGCGCTCAGTTCGCAAGAGTGGAACTACCAATGGTGTCAACGGTGTAAAGCCGGCGACCGAAATCTCTGCTCAACCTGAGATGGAGTCCGTTTCGAACAGAAGAACCCTTATCACTGTCCCAGAAGATACTGAGAGTGCCTCGCCTGCTTCGTCATTCGAGGATGGCACGCGACTGCCCTTCACTCCTAGCGGTGACCCCCAGCCAGGCGAATACTGGATGAAGCCAACAAAGGCTGAACTCAGCAAGTTGAGCCGTGAGGAGCTGAAGCGTTTCACCGGGCTGACAGTTGGCCGTCAGCGTTGCGGTTCGGTCACTTTCGATGACCCCGTCGACTTGACTCAGATTGATCTGGACAATATCTTTTCTGGTCTGATCGACATTGGCGTACGTAAGATTACTGTGTACCCTGACGAGTCCATGAAACCTGCTAGAGGCAAGGGTCTGAACGTTCCATCTACCCTGCGCATTGAAAACTCTTGGCCGCGTGGTCGAGACAAGAAGAGCCCTTCATCACTCACCAGCGGCCCACTTTTCGACAAACATCTTGACCGTCTAATGAAGGTACACAATACGGAGTTCGTTAGATATGAGACCGATACCGGAACCTGGGTGTTCCGGGTGGCTCACTACACGACATATGGTCTTGACTATGATGACGAGGAAGAAGAAGGTGAGAGCCACAACCAAAGCACCCTGAGTGCTGCTCCTGACACCCCGACTACTTTGAAGGCTCAATTCCCTGCCGACCGCGATCTGACCGTTGGCTCGGAGCAGATGTCCACCTACTCCATTGACGATTCCTTTGCGAGTTCGGTAGGGGGAGTCGACGACGACACATTCGATTTCAAAAAGCGTAAATTGGTTCCCGGGGCGTTTGGTAATCAGGCGATGGAGACGGTGGAGGAACAGGAGCTAGGATCCGAAAATGAAACCGAGTCTTTTTTAGAGGAAGGCTCCACGGGTTCAACTGAACAGGATGGCGACGACGTCACCGAGAGCCAGCAATCTGTTGGCGAGTCAGAAATTGAATTAGATGAAGGCGAGGAAATGGATATGGCGGGCACCTTTCCTAACCTTGATCGTACCGTGGAGCATGACAACGATGAGGATATGGGCGACGAAACCACCCAGCCCTCATTGAAACCCTGGAACACCCCCCCCAAAGCCCGCCTCGACCTTACCGGCGACTGGGCTGAACAATTGCAACGAACTATCAGCCCAAGAAAGCAGAACCGCGATGCTCTCCGTGAGATCCAAGCGAACGCTTTTAACGAGAGACTACTTAATGATGGGACGCCGACGAAAGCAGCAGCGAATACTCAGCAAAAGGGGTTCAACACCAGTATTGACCTGATGAATTCTTTGTTCCAGAAACCCCGCAAGCAAGCTCAATCTCCGGCGAAACCACAGCCGCAAACGAAAGGTTTCGAGGTATGACATCTCACCCTTAAATGTGTTTATTCATTGGATCAAAGCTAACTGATGTAGTGGCCGTACCACAAGCAGCCAAAGACCTTTGCAGGAGAATCGAACGAAATGAGCAAAGATGACTTGGATTTCCACCACTCCTTCAAACCTCGATGGGGTCCCGTCAATTCTTTGATCTGCGCAAAAAGTGACATGAGTGAGCATGGATCCAGGGACCCTCATTGGAGGGGAAAACTTTCCATTACCAGCGAAGGGCGGGATATTGTTGTCCTTGCTCCTGAGCGGACTTCAATGCCCGATGAAATGCTCGAGATCCAACGAAAACAATCTTCTATCACTCGTGTTGATGGTCAGCCCTTTGCTCGACTTGCGCAAGCCAACTTCGAACAGTTCACCCAGGCATCACAATCTGTTCATTCCGACCAGGAACATCTGATTTGGGAGTTGGCGAACATTTTGTTCAACGATCAAATTGAAGATGACCTGTCCGCGGGCGTTCCTTCACAGCTCCGGCAAAAGTACCTCCACCGCATTAAGAAAGACCGGTTGAGTCGGCTCTGGGAAGGTATTGTTCGTGAAAGAAACACACATGCCGTAAACAAAGCCAGTTCCGCCGAGGAGCGCGCCATTTACCTGTTGTGTTCGCACCGTGTCGAGGAAGCCTGCAGCGTTTTGATGTCAGGCCAGAATTTCCACCTCGCAACACTTGTCTCCCAGATTGGGCGGGATCCGACTACGCGGCGTGATATGGCCAAGCAAATCGAGTCGTGGCGCGAACAAAATGTCTTTTCTGAGATGAGCGAGCCGATCCGAGCCTTGTACGAACTTCTGGCTGGCAATGCCCTCCGCAGCGATGGGAAGTCTGGAGGAGCGCTTGAGGACCGTGCATCAACATTCACTTTCTCCGAGCGATTCGAGTTGGATTGGTTCCAGGCTTTTGGCCTTCGCCTCTGGTATGGAATCAGTGATGACGAGCCCTTGGAGATCGCAGTTTCGGACTACGCACAAGATCTCAGGAGTGGACAGGAACCTGCATTCCCTTCGCCTTCCCATCTGGACAATGACCGGGGCTTGTGGCATACATCTCCCGACACCGTTGGCCATGAGTCCCCTCTTTGGGTTTTGCTGAAAACATACACAGCGACTCTTGGAGTGTCTAAGGCTACCGGCGTGCCTTCACTTGAGCTACCTGCTGCATTGCTGCCAGAGTCGGTAACGGGAGACAAGCTGTCAAACCGCCTATCATTCCAACTTTGCCAGGTGCTTGCTGCAGCGCTTGGACGGTATGAGCGTCTGACCGTTAATGTTTCTCAGATGGACCAACTTGCGTGGGAGTATGGTTGGGAGCTAAGTGCAACCGGTAACCTTACCCAGACTTTGTTTGTCTTGCTTCATCTATCGCATGCTTCGGACCGCGAGAGGGCCGTAAAGGAGGTACTTGCAAGGTTTGCCGCCCAGTTACCAGAGCCACTTACACCAGAAAGCTCGCCGGGTGCAATCTGGTTGCAGCTTACCCATGACCTCCAAATTCCCGAGAGTTGGATTTGGATGTCCAAGGCTCTTTATGCTCGGAACGTCGGCGACGCAGCGCGTGAGGTCGATTGTCTTGTCCGCGGAAAGAACTGGAATGATGCCCATGCCACATTCTGTCGGATCGTTGGCCCGACGGCTGTCATCGAGCACGATTATAAGACTCTCGAGACATTATTGTCTGGATTTGGAGAAGCGCCGGAACGCAAGGTGCGCGGCTGGGCTAGCGGTGGTGGAGTCTACGAGGATTTCCTCCAGTTGGCGACGGCCCGGGGGCGTGACCCTCAGCGCCTGAACCGCTTGGTGGATGCGCTGGTGACTATGGGTGAGGTTATCAATAAATCAGGCGTGGAAGGGTTGGAAGAGCGCGTGGCGTTCAAAGAAATGAGCCGCATTGTTGCTGGCTGGACCACCCTGGAGGACGCAAAGGTGAGCTTTTCCTGCTTTTATCTAAGACGAATAGACATATTAACTCCTACCCAGGCAATGGAAATGTCCCGTGTCCTTCGACTTCCTCTGACAGGCGATGCTCGTCTTCTGCAGACTGCGGAGATGAGCAGGCGGTACTATAGCGTTATTATGGCGGGGGGTTACTGAAATCTGACTCGAGAAATTTAAAGAACCTAGATCCGTTCCGTTCCATTCGTGTCTCTGTTGCGTCTACTTTGATTACATTGTCCAATCCTGTACTCTAGCTTAGCTCATGTTTTGTTTTGCTATTTGACTTTTGCCCTGTATCTCTTTTTAATGAAGCTATGCTGGATGTTTCAGAATGTTTTGTGAGTTTCTTTACATGTCCCGTGCGTGGCATGCCTTGTCTAGATAGTTGCTTTACTCTGCAGTAGGTAGATGATATCAGAGATGATTCGCCTTGGTCCTAGCCCATTCGTAGCTGGTCTTATGTGTAGATGAAATAAATGGACTTAGCCGGTGCCGGCCTAAGACTGCCGGTGCCGGGGTCAACATGAGGCAACACAAACACAACTCACCGGAAACAGTTTCTTATTTCCTCCTTCGACGTTTGATTCAGCCACTGAAGCTATCTGCTGTCATGGGACAACAAGGTGGTATGTTCCTGCTCTTTATGGACTGATGCAATCGCAATTTTTCCTCCGCGCCTGCCCAGAGAAGCCACAGAACAACACCCAGCATGCCTTCAGTTTCTAGTCGCTCCGGCTACCACGATCAAACTCGTCCTTCCATCAATATCATATGTCCTACTGGTGGAGCTGGAGTTGCTGATGAGGTCGCGGTCACTTCATCTTCGTCTACGTCCTACTTGTCATCCGAGTCGTCGAGGGCAAGGGAATTCCCCGTCGAAACACAACCAGCACCGCCAGCTATGGCAGCGATCACCAACGCCGAAGCTCCCCAGAGCTACTCTGCGTTTACCAAGGGCCAGAAACGCTTTATCGTGGCCATGGTTGCCCTCGCTTCTTTCTTCTCTCCTCTCTCCGGCCAAATCTACTATCCAGTCATGCCAACTCTCGCCCACAACTACCACCTTACCAACGCCCTCATCAACCTAACCATAACCACCTACATGGTCCTGCAGGGCCTCGCACCTGCATTTCTAGGTACCTTCGCCGATACCTGTGGCCGACGTCCCGCATACATCCTCGCCTTCACCCTCTACACCGCAGCAAATATCGGTCTCGCTTTGCAGAACAGCTACGCGGCTCTCATGGTCCTACGGTGCATCCAGAGTGCAGGGTCCAGTGGTACAGTCTCCTTCGGGTACGGGGTTATTGCTGATATTGCAACACCGGCGGAACGTGGCTCGTATATTGGGCCCATGGCCGCGGGTGTTATGCTTGCTCCGGCATTGGGTCCTGCTATTGGGGGGCTTCTTGCGAAGTTCTTGGGCTGGCGGAGTGTCTTTTGGTTTCTGGCTATTGTTTCTGGAGGTTATTTGGTTGTTTACGGGCTCCTTGTGCCAGAGACCGTGAGATGTATTGTTGGAGATGGGAGGGTTTTGCCAAAAGAGGTGTGGAGGAGGCCTGGAATTCAGTTGTGGCGGGAGAGGAAGAAGGAGAAGCAGACGGTCATCCATGGTGTTGGTGTCGCCGATGGGGGTGATGCGGCACAAAACACCGTGAATGGTGATTCGGTGGCAACAGTGACAGCAAGAGCTTCGAAGCTACGCTTCCCTAATCCACTGATGTCTTTTGCTATCTTGCTCGAACCGGACGCACTTATTTTGATATCCTCTATCGGCCTCCTGATGCTTGCCAACATTGCTTTGCTCACTAGCATCCCGAGTCTTTTCTCGGAGATATATAGCCTCAACTCCCTCCAGATTGGGCTATGCTTCCTGTATGCTTCTTGTCTTATTATCGGCACTATTCAAGTTATCGTGCTGACCTCGTTTATAGTCCCCTCGGCATCGGTGCCTCTCTTGGTGCACTCTTCAACGGCCGCTTCCTCGACTGGAACTTCCGCCGTCATGCCGCATCCCGGAACATTCATATTAACCCATCCCAGTCAACCTCGCTCCAGCATTTCCCCATCGAGCATGCCCGCCTTCAGCCCTTCTTCCCGCTTATCCTACTGACAATCGCAACAACAGCCCCCTACGGCTTCGCCTTACAGGAGCGGGTTCACATATCTATTCCCCTCATATTGCAGTTTCTCAACGGATTCGCGACGATTGCTTCCACGAACACGCTCAATACACTACTTGTCGATCTATTCCCCGAATGTCCCTCTACCGCGGCGTCGGCCTGTAATCTTGTACGGTGCTGGCTTGGGGCTCTGGGAGCGGCAATTGTGGATCATATGCTTCGAGATATGGGCTGGGACTGGTGTTTTGTGTTTATGGGTGGGATGATGCTAGCTAGTACTGGGTTGGTTTGGGCGGAATATGGCTGGGGTGTGGAGTGGAGGGAGGCAAGGAGGGTTAGGCGTGCTGTTAATGCAGAAAGGGAGCATGAGATACAGACCCTAGAGCGAGGTGATGGTGTAAAAGATCCGGAAATAAATTAGAGGGACATTGGAACTGACACTTGAATGATGATGGGATACGTACCAGCTCAGAACGCAGGCAGGCTGGGAGGGTGACATGATGGAATGTGTGGATTCAAAGCCCTAGGAAACTTCTGGTTATGTGATGATGGGATACAGCGTGTACAGTACTTTTTTCATTCCCTCTGGGTAAAGCACAGAACTATAAAATGGCATTCAGATATCTGAGCTACTGATAGTTGGTTAGATGTCTTGCCTATAGAAGACTCATCCACCGTCCGAGCAAACAAAGCGGGTCCACGCCCTTCTGACGACATCCCAACTCTGTCATTTTTATACCGGCCTCTCAGCGCTCGACCTCTTCTATCGGTCTCTATGTATATCAACGGCTTACTTCTTGGTCTATATGTCGCAAACTGCCCAGCATGAACGCCCAGAGCCAGCTGAGGAGCTGCAAGGAATCGAGCTAGGCGAGGTCCCGACAAGTGGAACTGGAGTCAGTGTGGCCTTCCCAGAAGGTGGCCCCCAGGCATGGAAATGTTTGCTGGGATCTTTTCTGTTAATGTTCCCCTCCTTTGGCTTTCAGACTGCTGGTGAGTGCTCGCCTCGTTCCCAACGACATCCTCCTAACTCCATCCAGTCGGTTCCGTTCAGGACTATATCAGCGTGAACCAACTTGCCGACTACAGCATTCGCGACGTCGGCTGGATCACTGCCATCCTAGTATTCTTGACCTTATTCCTGGGTGTCCAGGTGGGCCCATTATTTGATCGATATGGTCCCCGGGTCCTCCTCATCTGCGGCACGACAGCCAGCTTCGCCTCGTATGTCCTGCTCGCGGTATGCACTGAATACTGGCATTTCATCCTCTGCTTGTCTGTCCTTGGAGGCGTCGCTGCAGCGGTTGTAACAACCGTCTCAATTGCCGTTCTCAGTCACTGGTTCAATCGTCGACGCGCACTAGCTTCTGGCCTCTGCATGGGAGGGTCTTCAGCCGGCGGCGCAATCATCCCAATCATCCTGCACAACCTGTTCCCACGGTACGGCTGGAAATGGTCGATCCGCGTATTCGCCTTTATAGCACTCGCCTGCTACGTAGCAGGCGCCATCCTAGTGCAAGGCAGAATAACACCAACCACTACTACCAGCAGCAGCGGGAGCAAAGCAACAATCGACTTCCGCGCCTTCCGCTCCCTCCGCCTCTGCTTCCTCACCATCGCAGTCTTCTCCTTCGAGTTTATCATCTTCGGCTGTGCCGCCCTCTTACCAACCTACGTGCGTTTCGCGAGCTTCTCCACAACCGTGCAATTCTACTCCCTCACCGTCCTCAACAGCATGAGTTTCCTCGGCCGCGTCATCCCAGGCTTAGCCGCTGACAAAGTCGGCCGGTTCAACGTGCTTCTCTGCTCCGTGGTTCTCACGCTAATCATAATGGCAGCCGTGTGGCTTCCCTTCGGGTCGCGCGATGAAGCAACCCTCTACGCCGTCGTTGCGGTCTTCGGTCTCGGTTCGGGCGGATGGTTATCGTTAGCACCGGTTTGCGCGGGCCAGTTGTGCCGCACGGAGGAGTATGGGCGATACTATGGGACGATCTACTTTATTGCGGCGTTTGGGGTGCTACTTACTGTTCCTGTTGGTGGTGATTTGTTGCAGTCAACGACCCCGCAGGTGCTTATTGGGTTTTATTCGGCTGTGTTGTTGGGTGGATGTGTGGCTTTGGCATTGTCGAGGTGGGCGCTTTTGGATTGGAAGTGGAAGTGGAAGGTTAAGGTGTAGGTAGTTTAGTCAAATCTGGGGGGATAATGAATTTTAACTTGTTTCATTGCTACCGGATTCGATTCGAAACTGTACATGGCCAAACCCACAAGACAGACAAACAACACACGCGGATGAAAACAAAAGGAAAAGAGAAAGGAAAAGACGGTGGCCCCTCTTTTATAGATACGGGTACACGTTCTATGGAATCAACTCTTTTAATAAATTAAGAGACAAAAAAAATATTGAAGAATAGTTTACATGCCAGGGGAAATCAGCTTGCCCTCTGCCCGGGCGTTCGGGTGCCAGCCACCAGCATACAGCCTCTCACCGTTCAGCTCCTTCTGTGAATACTCCTTGATACGGGCTTCCAGTTCCGGACGGAAGTGGCGGATCAGACCCTGGATGGGCCAGGCGAAGGCCTCACCAAGGGCACAGATGGTGTGACCCTCTACCTGCTTGGTGAGTTCCTGGAGCATGTCGATCTCGCGCTCGCGGGCCTGGCCCTGCTCAAGACGCGTCATCATCTGCATAGTCCACTTGCTACCCTCACGGCAAGGTGTGCATTGACCGCAAGACTCGTGCTTGTAGAAGGAGGAAAGGCGGGAGATGGCGCGGACAATGTCGGTGGACTTGTCCATGACCACAACGGCGGCGGTTCCGAGACCGGTTTGCGAGTCCTTGAGGGCGTCAAAGTCCATGAGCTGGTTGTCGCAGACGGCCTTCGGGATAACGGGTGTTGAGGAACCACCGGGGATAACGGCGAGAAGGTTGTCCCAGCCACCACGGACACCACCACAGTGGCGTTCGATCAGCTCACGGAGAGAGATGGACATCTCTTCCTCGACGGTGCATGGGTTGTTGACGTGGCCAGAGATACAGAAGAGCTTGGTTCCTGCGTTGCGCTCACGTCCGAAACCGGCGAACCAGCTACCACCTCGGCGCATGATTGCTGGCACCACGGCGACTGTCTCGACGTTGGTGACAGTACTGGGGCATCCGAAAAGACCGACGGCGGCCGGGAATGGGGGCTTCAGACGAGGCTTGCCGGCCTTGCCTTCGAGGGATTCGATAAGAGAGGTTTCCTCTCCACAGACGTAGGCGCCCATTCCACGGTGGACGAATACGTCGAAGTCGTAGCCAGTTCCGCAGGCGTTCTTGCCGATCAGGCCTGCCTGGTAGGCTTCGTTGATGGCACGCTGGAGGACGGTAGCTTCGTGGTAGAATTCACCGCGGATGTAAATGTAGGCGGCGTTGGCGTTCATGGCACGGCCGACAACCAAGCAACCCTCGATCAGCTTTTGCGGGTCCTTTCGCATAATTTCACGATCCTTGCAGGTTCCGGGTTCACCCTCATCGGCGTTGACAACTAGGTATCGGGGTCTGGGGTCCTTGTCCCAGTCTTTGAAGTTCATGAAAGACTAGAGTTATGTTAGATGGCTTGAGACGGTGCTCGGGTATTCGAGGGTCTGGCACATACGTATTTCAGACCAGATGGGAAGCCAGCACCACCGCGGCCACGCAAACCAGAGGCTTTGAGTTCTGAAATAAGCTATAAAAAAAAAACAATGCATCAGCATTTCCAATGGCCCACTCTCCAAGGTTGGTGTCAATGAGCGAGAATCCCTACCCAGTCATGACCCTTCAACACGATATCCTTAGTCCTGTACCAGTCTCCATACTTCATGGCTGACTTCAAGTCGGCGCCATGGTGTCCGTAAAGATTCGTGAAAATGCGGTCCTGGTCCTTCAGACCGCCGTGATGGTGTACTGGGGGGGCATTGTCCTGAACGGTCGCGAATGAGCGGGCGCCCGGAGCCCGGAGCCGGAGTGAGCGAGAGGAAAGTGTGGCGAGGGGTGAAGACGAAGGAGCCGCCGCTCGAGATATCATGGTGACGATGGCCCAATGGCTGTGAAGGAGGGAGGGGAGGAGAGTTGAAGCACAACACGGGGGTCTGTGATGGCGTCGAGCTTCAATTCTGCGGTTGCTGAATATCCGGCTTTGCCCGTTCGGTGATTGGACGGGCTGTGTCACGTGGAGCCCATTACTAATAATCACGTGACACTATACCACAACCAAAACGGGAATATCTGCATAACTCAACTATACAACGCACAAAGAATTAATCACCAAGATATTTGCGGTTGGAGCCTCGAGGTGCACTATGGTTATGGAACATGACCCGAGTGCAGCGTCTGCAAGGTAGGTTTTCCAATTATCGAGCTATACTTCGACCGGAATCTAATTACTACAGGTCTGCTGAAAATAGCCTAGAGGTCTACTCAGCGCTGCTAGAATGGATGAAAACCCACGGCGGCAGTCTTCATGAGGATGTATATATCAGCCATGATGACGTTCGTGGCACTCATATACGGGTGAAGAGCAATGGTGTGCCCAGTAACACGCATATCATTAAAACGCCCGTTACAACGACAATGTCGTATTTCAACGCGATTGACAGAGATACTGGGGAGATTCATTTTTCTAATCACGGCGTGAAGTTTCCCTCTCAGTTTATGGAAAGTGTCGGCCCTGAAGAAGTGGCAATATTCTTCTTAATTGGCCAGTATTTGCGCGGCGCAGAAGGCTTTTGGCATTCGTATATTCGGACGCTCCCCCAGCCAGGCTCGTTGACCACCTTACCTTATTATAGCGAGGATGAGGATCTAGAGTGGCTGGAGGGGACAAGTCTGGTTCAGGCAAGGAAGCAAAAGATTGCTCTGCTGACGGATAAGTATGAGACCTCGTATAGTGAACTCCAGAAGTCTGGATTTCAAGACGTCTCGAAATATTCATGGTGAGTTGGCAATTTTACTTCTGGGCAATTTCATTAATGTCTATCCGAAGGGATCTGTATCTATGGGCATCTACAATATTCGTCTCTCGTGCATTCTCCGCAAAGGTGCTGTCCGGTGTGATCCCTGAATTCGGGGTACCCGAGGAGAACATCTCAGTTCTTCTCCCTTTCATCGACATCTTAAACCATAGACCACTGGCCAAGGTTGAATGGCGCGCCGGCACTGAGAACGTTGACTTTGTCGTTCTGGAAGACGTTGGTGGCGAGCAAGAGATTGCGAACAACTACGGTCCTCGCAACAATGAACAGCGTACGTATCACGAACCTACAATACCACCTTCGATTAAGCTGACAGAACAGTCATGATGAACTATGGGTTCTGTCTTGCCAACAACCCATGCGACTATCGAACTGTCGGTTTACGCGCACCACCTGGCAGCCCGCTACATTTCGCTCGCGAGCAGCAAAAACAGCTATTCCCCGACTCCAACAACGACGACGAAGATCCGTTCTACGTTTTCAACATCTTCTACCCTCTCCTAGCTCCTAACACCCCCATGGAACACTCAATATTCTCACCAGCCCTATTCAACGCTGTCTCAGTTCTAGCAGCAAACCAAAGAGAGCTCGAAACCCTAGAAATCTCAGAACACGCAATCCAAATCGCTAATTCTTACGGAAATTCACGCACCGCACTCGCAGCGATAAGCCAGGTCATTATCGAACTAATCACGCATATTGTTCGACTGAGGTCCACAGACCCAGGACCCAATCAACCATGTAACCTGAAGCAAACCCACGCAAAGGTCTACCGAGACAGCCAGATCACACTCTCCGAGTCGGCCCTCGTCATCGCCGCCTGGTCTCTCCAACGCGCCCGCCGCCATGGCCTACAAGGCGGATGGGAAGAAACAAAAGACCTTCTCGGCCAACACATGTCGCGCATCCCGCAGGGGAAATTCCCAGCGTCAGTGCAGTCCCGCATCCAAGTACGGATCCTGGAGCGGCCATCTATCCTCCTAAATGGCGGTGAACTCTTCACATTTAACGAGCTACTTGACCTCCTACCTGCTAGTGAAGAACGAAATGCCGCCCAGGAGTGCTTCAAGAATATCCTGACGATTACCTCGCGGCGCATCGAAGCACTGAGAGGTATGGACGAGAGCGCATCGCCCTTCCGGTTTCCGCTCTTCGCTTGCTTCGTTATGGCTGTGCATATGACGAACAGACACAAACATAATGATAGTACGGAATCCGGCAAGACCGGCGAAAGCCAGAGCTTTCTTCCGCCGCGACTATCACGTTGGGCTTCCTTCCTACTTGACCACTATCTGCCCCCGCCGGATGATGTTGCGTGGGCGCTTGAGGACGAAGACGACGAGAGTCTGGTGAGCGAGTTCGATGAGATCATCGAGAAGCTGCGCGAGAGGAAGGCGCAGCTCTTTGAGGCGTTGGAACCGTATACCGGCGGGTGGCAAGGGGATGCGGATACCTGGTGGCTGTCTCCGAATTGGGTGCGTTGGGCGTGGATGATGACGGAGCAGGAATGTGTGCAGGTGCCGGATGATCCGCTCGCGCTGCTTGCGCCTGGGGATGGAGACGCCGGTGGTAATGTAATGTTGTCCACGGAAACTTGCTTGTATATCCCGCAGGAGTGAGCCTGGTTTCTACTATATCTACTTCGTATATAGATAAGTTGAAGGCATCAAAAGATTAAACAAGCAAGAACATTCATTCGTCTAATAAACTATCGTACAAGACTCTGCAGGCAGAGGCTACTGTAGTCTTTCATTGAGCAGTTATCCCCATAGACAAATGCAAAAATGCAGGGCAAGCAATCGGGCACTAAGGACAACAAACCAGAAAGGGAAAATGAAAACAACCGCAATGTATAAACGCCACTAGATCGTATAATTTCCATCTCAGCATCAAATCAATATCGAAGTTAAGTCAAGTAAGGGTAAGTGAGTGCCGCTCAAGGAGCTGCTAAACCTATCCAACAGGCCGTTTTCGCTTGTGCTCCTTGTCGTCGCGTTGCGTTGGGATATACAATGCCATGCAGTCAAATAGTGTACATCATCATAATCATCATCGTGAGTTTTGAGTTTCGTCGGAAATAAGGCTGCGAGCGAAACAATAGTATTCCAGGCTAGATCAACCCCTCACTGGGATGACTTCTTGCCTGGGACTAGAATCTCTACCAGCCCCTCGTCCTCCCCTTCGCTGCTATCATTCTGATCATCCGCGAACGGAGAATGGCCTATTCGAGAGCTTCGGAAGCTCTTATATTGCCCAGGTCCAAGTTCTGGATATCCTAGTGACTCGTTAAGGATGGCCTCATCCTCTTCATCCGAGTCCAACATATGCGAATCCATTGTCGGGGCTACCATTTCACCCATGTCGTCGTCATCATCATCAACCTCAAGTGGCATGCGCTCTTTGCGCCGAGTCGATCCCCCAAAATCGTCTCCCTCATCAGAAGATCCATTGGAAAACGAGTCTGACGGACTAAACCCGGACTCAGGGAAGGTTGGCGATGAAGCGTTAACGGGTGGGAACTCCGACGATTGGCCTTGGCCATCGTTCAATCCTTGATCGGCAAAGGAGTCGGACGGCCACTGAAACTCGCTTGAGCCTTGTTTCTCCTCTTCATTTTCACCACCCTCGGCTTTCTCAGCTGCCTCCTTTTGGGCGGCGAGCCGCGCAGCAAGCTGGCGCCGCGCACGAGATGGACCCAGACTCAAAGGAGCTGGTGGCGGCGCAATAATGGGGATGGGCTGGCTTGATGCCTATTCATAGCTCAATTAGCAAGCTGAAAAAAAGATTATACCGGGTTGAACAGTGTCAATTTGCGGGCCAGCTTGAGACAAGGAACACTGCAACCCACCCAAGTCCAAAAGTAGACTGCGTAGCGCATGTGTTGAGCCCAAAATAAGACCGGCAACTAACAGGAAAACCCGGTACGTAGAGGGCATTCAAACATCACGCATTTCAATATCAACAGACGGGGTATAACCTACATTCTCAGTGCCGCCCTCTGAGGCTGGTTCTATGTGTCGGTCATCCTGATCCTCCATATCTTCGTCTTCATCATCGTCGCTCGAGCTTGCAAACCCACTGAGCAACGAATTGCCACCAACACCAAACGCACCACCCGAAACACTTCCTTGGTTAACCATGTCGAATCCCTGAAAGTTTGAATTGCCAGCCATGCCGTTCAATCCAGCTTCAGCCAGGGCTGAGGACTGCCCGCCGCCCATCATGCCCCCTCGATGCCCAATCGATATATCAGGACGGACTCCGCCAAGGATTGCATTATCACGCTCTCTTGTCTCGGAAAGGGTTTGCTCGACATAGTCTATCCAATCCGGGTTTAACACATTGTCCATGACCGTAGGAGAAAGTAGTTCGGGAGGATGGCGTTCGCTGAACTTGACGACTTCCTCTGCGATGAGTGTCAGGTGGCCCATGTACCCAAGGCGGATGCGCTTGGTCTTTTGAGTCTCATCACTCCGCTTCTGGCCTTCGATGATCGTTTGCGTTATTTTACCCGTTTCGAAGACATCAATGGCTAGGATTCGATTGTATCCACGGTCCATGGGCCCATTGAACACTTGCTGGATGACATCGTAGACAACATTGTGAAGAAAGTTATTCCAAGGGAAGCGGAAGAAGAAATCCTGAAATGTTACTGTCAGTATGTTCAAAGTTTGAGCTAGCAGACGACTTACGAGTATAGTTGGCACAACTTGGTTTTCCGCGAACATGATCTTCAGATAGTCACCGACAACAGGCTTCCCATCCGTATCGACTTGGATATCCGGATGCAAAGGCGGTTGAATTTCGTTCTCGGTTTCTTGCGCGGGCAACGGCTCGGGTTTATTGTCTGCCGGTTCCGATGATTTATCGTCACCAGGAGCATCCGATGTAGAAGAAGGTGATTCCGAGTTCTGCTCCTTGTTGGCAAACAGAGGAGCCGGTACAGCGTCGGGATTTGACGACATTGGTGCTGATGCAGGGACCGGTTCTACTCCTGAGACAGAAGATTCGACAGGCTTTTCATCCGAAGGCTTTTTGTTTTCATCATTAACAGGCGTGTTTTCCAGGGACACTGCACTTATTTGGGCAGCAAGCTCATCTGCTGGAGATGGCGCAGTTTCTGATTCTTGTGCCTTGGTAGTATCCGCAGAATCCTTTTCTTTCCCTTCAGTGGAGGCCTGCTCCGCGGGAGATGGCTCAGCCTGCGCAGTTGAGGACGATTCTGGGGTGGCCTTGTCTTCCTTGTTGCCAGTATCCTTTTCCTTATCAACAAGAACAGTGGATTGGGTAACATCTTCGAAGCTTTCATCGCCCGCCTTATTCGCGCCCTCAAAGTCTCGGGAGTCGTCAGGGGAGTACGGCCCGACGGAAGCGCTGGCGAAGTCTGCCGTGGAGTCATTTGCGTCAAAGGTAGAATTACCGTCATGATGCTGGTCAAATACGCCTTCCTTTAGAATCCTCTCGCGCTCGGCGTCCCTCTGCGTCACGTATTCATCGCTTCCTGGCTCATTCAAGAGACCCATGTTACTGCAGTGGAGCAACTCAGCCATCAATTCGCAAGTTTTAAATCTATCAAAACCCAGCGGCTCGATTTTGGCACCCCAAGCAGAACTCAATTGGCCTCGTTCAACGCTCTTCATCTTTCCTCCATCGGTGACGGTATGCTTTGAGCTCCGAATCAACGCCACAAAGTCGGGTATATGCTTGGCGAAGACTCGAAGTAATGTACCCAGGTAAATGGGATCGTACATGGAAGGCATCGAATCAGGCGCATTCAAGTGCTCCGGATCATAATCGGAGTTATTTTTCCGAATAACTTCAATGACAATTCCAACGCCCACTGTCAAGGGGTTGCCGCCTTGCAACATCGCCTTGACGAGACTTTCCACACACGGTACAGAAACAAGCTGACGAGTCAGACTGTTAGGGCCAATGCACGATTGGTCGTTTTGGGTTGCGTTGGCCGATATCGTTATGATGGCTTTTAGAAAATCTCCCGCGGAGGTCTGGACGGAAGCCGGCCACTCAGCAGATAAGAAAGATAGTAACTTGGGTATCAAGTCTTGTGATTTGAGCCACTAGATGATGGTTAGATATAACGAGTGGGAGCGAGCGCCGTGTATGCTTACGTCAACAATTCCCTGGCCGCCCTCTGCTCTTTCTAAGCTGATCAATTTGAGAAGAAGATCCATAACCATGGGGTTATCGACATGTTGAAGGATGGCTGGAATAATGTCATCCATCGACTTCAACAGGTCTAGCATCTCCCCTGTTTTCTTGTCCAATAACGTTTCGTTCACCTTTGTGAAGTAGCTCGCCTGGATAGAGTCGAGGGGTGCTGGGCGCCGAACGAAACCCCAGAATTCTCGCACATATTCAGGGTTGGCCATGGTGGAGTCCAGGATAGACCAAACTTCAGATGAGAGAATCTCACACGCAACATGAGCCCGCTTGAGACGCTCTTTTTCCGCTCGGTCAAGGTCCTCTGGATCCAATATGTCCTTCAGGGGATCACCCTTCTTTTCTCCTTCTCCTTCTCCTTCTTCTTCTCCTTCTTCTTCTTCTCCTTCAGGTGCAGATTCATTTTTCTTCGTCCCTGTATCTTCTTCCTTCTTGGAGGTGCCAGCATCATCTTCGTCCTCATCCTCATTCACTAGGCCAGGGGCGACCACATAGTCCATAAGCTTCTTCAAGACGTCATCTTCTCTTAAATACTCTATGAGTTTGGTGTTGAGTTGCTTGAGCTCCTGGATCAGCTCGGATTCGTCCAGCAACTCTTCGAGGCTGACATCGGGTTTGTCCAGGAGGGTATCGATAGCAGAGATACTTGAATATCCCCCAAAGCGCCAGAACATATTGAATTATATAACCGGGAAAAACAAGTCATGGAAAGAAATGGGGTATCACTAGCTTTTTCGACCGTAGTCCTCACGCAAGCTTCAATGGCGGCGAGTACTATGGGTATTGGGTATAGGGTGGAGAGGTGGGGAAGGGATGGAGGATCGATCTATGGACCCTCGTGGGATGCACAAGATTAGAAGCGTACACGTGTGGAAGGCGTTCTCATATATCACGCTAGCGTTTGGGGCTGATTCGTCACGGAGAGGCAATCGTTCGGGGGTAAAGGAATCGTAGGTAATAATCGGTAAATTATGCCCTGCCGGAGCGACCAAGCGCTACAGACGAAGAATCCAGTCAGCAATGGTCTGGATTGCTCAGAGCAACATAGCACAAGACTATCGCGACACTCTCCAAAGCCAGAAGTTTTGAAAGTTGAGTTCTTGGTGAGCTTGGGAGCAGGGTTAGGGGGACTGGGGGATAGAAAGGCACAATTACGTGGGGGAGGAAAACACCGCACACAAGCGGTACGTACCGTCGACGACAACACGGGAAAGGAGAGCAGAGACCGAGTCACAGGAGAAGCGAATCACTCTGGAAGCCCTGGTGCACTGCACGAGACCTCACCGTCACTTGAAGGAAGGGAGAGAGCCGTCATCCAACAGCAGAGGACAGGAAGTAAGGCTGGCTGATGTGCGGCGGGCAGTCAAGTCACGTCGCTAGTTTGTGGTGTGCTGGAGAGTGTCTGGATCGGCCGGTATCCGTGATCCTTGACAGCGGGCGGAGATACCCAACAAGCCCAGTCGCAATAGCGGGGAAAGACTCGAGTAATATCGCGAGGATAACAGGGGGGTTCGAGGAGGAGAGTGAATGATCCGAAGGGGAGGCCCGCGACCGATCGGTTTCAAGTGCGTCCGGAGAGCAGTGTGCCAGTGCCAGGTGGGAGTGGGTATCTGACGGCACTTAGGTCTATTATTAATATAGATCGAAGAGATAACAACTACAACAGACAAAAAGCGGTTTACAAGCCTGTGAAGCCACGGCAGATCCTCCCCGATTCTTGTAGGCTTCAACGATGCCGATGTTTCTGCCGTGCAACACCTGCATGGGATTACTTGCGCTCACTTGACGGTATCACGGCGCCTAAGGCAGCGATGGCTGACCCTCCCATTGGGGCTAGTGCCCAGTGCTGCCCTAGCGACATGGGCGCCTGGTGGCACGGGCTCTCTCCCACGGTGAGGGAGAGCCCACCTACTGGAAGAGGGAAAGTCAGCCCCAGGTACCAACGCTGGTGAAATCACGTCTGCAAGGGCAACCTAGCTCACCTTCCAGTCTGCCACCAGCTTCTCGTTCACCACCATTTCTCGTCCTCAAAATGAATCGACTATTCGGCACAAAGAATGCGGCCCCAAAGCCCACGCTGGACGGTGCCATTTCAAATGTACGTGATGAACCCCGTCCCGGCCCAAAGTGCTCACTCCCCGCATTCGCCTCCCATCTTGGAGTGCTTCTATCATCTGCACTTACCCATTCTCCACTCTATCGCTTTGACTAATATTTTCTTTTTTTTTTCTCTCTCAGGTTGACAACCGTGTCGCTAGCATAGATGTTAAACTCGCCGCCTTGAATTCCGAGCTTTCGTCGTACCAGACCAAACTAGCCAAGATGCGTGATGGCCCCGGCAAGAACGCGATCAAGCAGAAAGCCCTGAAAGTCCTACAACGCCGGAAACAGTACGAATCACAGCGCGAGCAGCTCTCTCAGCAGTCCTGGAACATGGAGCAGGCAGGGATGATGCAGGATAATTTGAAGAATGTTATGACGACAGTTGACGCGATGAAGACCACGACGAAGACTTTGAAGAAACAGTACGGAAACATCGATATAGACAAGATCGAGCGAATGCAAGATGAAATGGCAGATTTGATGGAAGTTGGAAATGAGATTAACGAAAGTATATCTCGGGCATATGATGTCCCCGAGGATGTGGACGAGGCAGAGCTCGACGCCGAGCTCGAGGCTCTGGGCGAAGACAGCTTGTTTGAGAGCTCTATGGGTGAAAGTGCCGTGCCTAGCTTCATGCAGGATGAGGTGGCGCCGCCTCAGTTTATTGACGAGCCTCCAGAGCAGGCCCAGGTCAAGGAGCCTGCCACTACCTAATTTGAAGCTATTGCGGAAGCCATTTAACTTCTTTGTCAATATTACTGGAGCATCGGAGTTTGGATTTTTCTTTCATATTAGCTTAGGTCATGGCGAGAGCTCGTACAACTTATATTCCTTTCTTATTCCTTCCATTTTTCATCCTCATCGTAATACAGTAGCATATTTCTCTTCTTTACCAGCGGCCTGTCTGGTGCCGGTGTATCTATGAAACTCTATTCCTGAGGCCAACCGGATGTCCTCGGGCTCACATCGTGTTTCCCCACTACAACCCCACGTCAACCTCATAAATACCCCAGGACAACAGCTCCCGAAAAGTTGCTACTCCTAAGCATCTTGTCCTTAGCTGACATAAACAATATGTCAGCCAAATTCGAACCCGCAGACGTCCAAAAGGTGCTGGACAAACACATTGAGGCGGGAAACCTCCACAGTGGCTGGGAAGATCTCTGGGCCAGAGGAGACAACATAACTCTTCCTTGGGACAAACACAATCCCAACCCATCACTTGAAGAGATCCTCACCACCAAGCGAGCTATTCTGGGTGGTCCCCTCCTTGACGCGAGTGATGGGGCAGCTCCTAAGAGGAAGAAAGCCTTAGTCCCTGGGTGTGGGAGAGGTGTTGATGTCCTCCTTCTCGCTAGTTTTGGGTACGATGCTTACGGATTGGAGTATAGCAAGAGTGCGCTTGAGGGGTGCAGAAAGGAAGAGGAGTCTACCGAGCAGAAGTATCCTGTAAGAGATGCAGGTATTGGGAGGGGAAAGGTCACTTGGATCCAGGGAGACTTTTTCGAAAATGACTGGTTGGAGAGCTTAGGGCTGGAAGGGAATCAGTTCGATTTCATATACGATTACACAGTACGTATAACAGTTTATCCTGGAAGTACTCGGGGTTTCCATGTACGAGACCAAGGTCTAACTGCTGCTATCCAGTTCTTCTGTGCTCTCCCTCCCTCGATGCGCCCAGCCTGGGCTCTGCGACACAGCCAGATTCTTGCTCCCTCGCCAAAGGGGAATCTTGTCTGTCTTGAGTTCCCTCGGCATAAGGACCCCTTGCAGCATGGGCCACCATATGCTTCGCCTTCGGAGGCCTACATGGAGCATCTCAGTCACCCCGGCGAAGAGATCGCGTATGATGCGAAAGGATATTGTAAGACCAATCCGCTCCGTGAGCCGAGTCAGAAAGGTCTAGAGCGAGTGGCATACTGGCAGCCAGCGAAGACGCACGATTTTGGAACTAGCGAGCAGGGAGAGGTGCTGGACCGAGTTTCTATTTGGAGACGTCGGTAGAAATAGAGTGGGCTGCAGGATTAGTTTGATGATATGGCTCTGAAAATTATGGCTACAGTCGATTGCTGTTATATATCCAAGCGTATATAGGCAGACATGGAATGCCGAGACACTGAAAGTGAAGGTGCAGATTGCCGACTGCCAAGCAGACTATTTGTAGCTTAATCCGTCACATCTCTTGGCGTCCATCGGTTTACCCCAGACCTGAGAGGAGCTTGTTATTTATTTTCCTCACTCCGTGGACCGGTGATTCTTTGATTAGTTTAATTTTTTGTTGCCATTCCCGCGTTGATTGTGTTGCCTGCAATTCGGGCGATGTCGGGACCTTGGAAGAGCAACTAGTCAATCGCCCACAATCTTCTGACGTGCGCCGCCGGTTTATTATTGACGAAATATTGATATAACGACGTTCCTCTTCACTGTTTTCGGAGGTCCCATCTCTTGTGCTTTTTTTTCTAAATGACCCTGACATCATAACCTCTATCATGAACTGCCCCTCACGGACTGACGATACCCTCCGACACCCCGGTTGGAATCAGAACCCGCCGCCTCTGAATGCGGACGCGACAACGCGAGAGGACTTCAATGGGATGGCAAATTCAAAGGTGCATAGAGGACGCACCTTAGGAATTGGCGATGGAAATGTTTCAGTGACGGAATGCACCTCTCATGCCCCCGACTCAGATGAACCGGGTCCCAAGGCGAATACAGCAGGCGGGGCATTCTCTGCATTCTCCAGGCACCAGCCTGAGAGAAACAGTGAATCGCCTCGCCTGTCTTTTCCAAAAATCCCCGTATCTTATTTTTCAGCTCGTATCATACAAAGTCTCGTCAAATTCGGCCGCTTCATTGGGCCGGGATTTTTGATCGCCGTCGCTTATATCGATCCCGGGAATTATGCCACCGATGTCGCAGCTGGTGCGGAGTTTCGATACGCTCTTCTCTTCATTGTCCTCCTATCAAACCTATTCGCGATATTTCTTCAATCGCTGTGTATAAAGCTCGGCACAGTGACGGGCTTGAATCTTGCGGAGAACTGCAGGGAACACCTTCCCAAATGGTTGGTGATCACCTTATACGTCTTCGCGGAGGCAGCTATGGTTGCGACAGATATAGCAGAGGTACGATTGCTACATGGCCTTTCATTTCAGGTTGATTAACGATTGCAAATAGGTTGTTGGCTCTGCAATATCCCTCAACTTGCTCCTCAATATCCCGCTTGTTGCCGGATGCGCCATAACCATCGCAGATGTCCTCTTCATCCTCATATTTTATAGACCAAACGGTTCGATGTGGGGCCTCCGATTGTTTGAGTTCTTCGTCATGGCCCTTGTCCTGGGCGTAGTCATATGCTTTTGCATCCAGCTCGCTATGATCAAGGAACAATCAATTGGAGAAGTCTTTCGCGGCTATCTCCCATCCTCAGCCATAGTTCAATCCAAAGGGTACGTTATACCCACCCTCCATCACCCAGAAACATGTTCGTTAACTCTTGAACAGTCTATATCAAAGCTGCGGTATCCTTGGCGCAACAGTGATGCCTCACTCCATGTTCCTTGGAAGCGGCATTGTGCAACCCCGTCTCAAAGAATTCGACGTCATTTCCGGTTACGCAAATCCAACCGCCTGCATCGGCAGTACAAACGGCGAAGTCGAATACCGCCCCTCCCTCCATGCCATCCGCGGCTGCATGAAATACTCCATCATCGAACTCGCCCTCTCCCTATTCACCTTCGCCCTCTTTGTTAACAGCGCCATCCTCATCGTCGCAGGCGCCTCCCTCTACAACACCCCCTCCGCAGCAGCCAACGCCGATCTCTTCGGCATCTACGATCTCCTCTCATCCTCTATCGCCCCAGCCGCAGGAACAGTTTTTGCCCTAGCCCTCCTCCTCTCTGGCCTCTCGGCCGGCATTGTCTGCACAATGGCCGGCCAGATGGTCTCCGAGGGCATGCTCAACTGGAGCATCCGTCCATGGCTCCGCAGATTCCTTACCAGATCTATAAGCATCATCCCTAGCATCATTATTGCGGCAGCCGTGGGCAGGGAAGGTCTAGATAAAACTCTCACTGCGAGTCAGGTCGTCCTCTCTGTTATCCTCCCCTTTGTCAGCGCCCCGCTTGTCTACTTTACCTGCCGCAATCGGTACATGACTGTTCATGTAGATCGGGTGCCCGACTCCGATACCGACGCAGACACAGGCGGTGCTGCGGAGGCTGAGGCGGAGCGAGATCAAATTCAGTCACCAGCTCTGGGGGGTGGAGACGCTGATACCCGTTCAGGTAGCACTGGCGTACAAATGGGTAACGGCTTCATTGTCTCGGTTCTTGCCGTCCTGATCTGGATAGTCATCGCTGTTATGAATGTGGCTTTGCTTGTTCTTGTAGGGATGGGGAAAGCTTAAGTTGGCTTTCCTTTACTATATGTAAACACCGGTGTATTGGAACAGCATTCAATGTAGAAAGTACTTGTTGTGTGTAGAATATTTGCATACTTACAGTCTTACTAGTCTTACGGGGTAGTCGAGACAAAACAGACGACCAAATAACAGACTTGATCGTTGACGGTGCCAAATTCTATGACAATGGTAGCTGCTGTTAGGTTCAGCATTTACCTACTGTATCTACCACTTACCTAAAGTCCAAGTTGTGGAAATTTTACAAATAATAGAGCAAAACGGTTGAAAGGGTATGTATATATTATTTCCCGGTCCAAAAAAAAGAAATAGTCCAACGACAAAAATACATGCGGGAAAGATTATCTTAAACAATGATCACAACAAATCATTCAATAAACAAACCAAGCAATCAGATCCAAAAAAAAAAAAATCATGACTTGAACTGATCCTCAGTAACACCCTTGCCCATAGCCGCCGTACTGCTCACACCACCGGTAACCATCTTGAGCATGTTGTCGACGTAGTTGGCACCACTCCATTTTTGATGCGTCACAACGTCGACGCCATTGGCCATCTCGGGCTCCTGCACGAGCTCTCCGTAGGCGCGCATGCCCTGCTTCGCGTACGCCTTGGCGAATGTGTCGGTGATGAGGGCGGTTGTGTGCAGACCGGCCAGGGTGATGAATTGCCAGGAGTAGCCGAGGGCGCCGAGACGCTTGATGTAGGTTTCTTGTTCGTCGCGGGGCATGGCCTTCTTCCAGTTGAAGGAGGGAGAAAGGTTGTAGGCAAGCCTGGTGAAGTTTGTTAGACAAGAGTTTAAATGGATTGGTTAGGGAGGTAAGGATAGGCTTACTTCTGCTCGGGCCAGACGGCGTGGACGCCGTCGGCGAATTCCTTGGCCTGTGCGTAGTCGGGGAGCTTGCTCTCCATCCAAATGAGATCGGCGAAGGGAGCGTAGGCGACAGCGCGGTTGATGGCGCACTGGGTACCGCCCTGGTAGCGGTAGTATCCTTCGCGGGTACGAGGAGAGTCCCAGTCAAAGTGGATGTCGGTACCGGTGATGCCCTTGGCGATGGCGCGGGCCTCGGAGTTGCTCTTGCCCTTGGAGGTCTTGCGGAACTCCTCAACGAGAGCCTGCTTGTTGGGGAGGGGGCTCTTGTTGATGGCGTCAACAACGGCGTCGCCGAAGAGCTTCAGGCCTGCCTTGGCGACCCATTCGTCCTCAATGGCCTGGAGCTCAGCACCGTTCTTGCCGGCCTGCTCAGCGGCGACCATGAGGTCGTTGAGGGGCTGGAGGTTGGGGTTGGTCGAGCCAAGGATGAAGGCATGGTCGCGGTGATCGATGGTAGAGGTGATGAGGGTAGCGGCCTCAGAGTCAGTACGAGCAATAGCTAGGAGGTCGGTTGCTATAGATCTAGTTAGCCGATGCAGCCCGTTTTTAGCCGAGACCCGTTACTACATACCCATGATGTCGGCCTGCGCACGGATGGCGACCAGGCGGTTGATGTGTTCGCTGATAGGTACAAGAACCTTTCCAGCCATGTGGCCACACTTCTTGGTGCCAGGGGCTTGGTCCTCAATGTGAATACCAGCAGCACCACGCTCAACGAACAGCTTGGTCAGCTTCATCACAGCGGTAAGACCACCGTGACCAGTATCGGCATCGGCGATGATAGGGCGCAGGTAGTCGATATTGGCAACATTTTGGCGCTGAGCCCTGGGAGTGGTGACACGCTCTTCACGCTGTTTTCGGTCGTGGAACAGCTGAGCAAGGAAGAGCTGGTTGACCTTGTTGGGCACAGTGTTCTAAGCAACGAATTAGCCAGGGCCCTAATCTATATTTGTTTCTTGAGTATGAGCTTACCATAGGGTAATCTGCAAGATCGGGGGAGGGTTCGTCGGTAGAGGAGGCAGTGGAAGAGCTCTGCCAGCCGGAGACATAGACGGTGTCAAGGTACTTGGCCATCTGGGTGACCATTGTGGGCTCGAGACAGCCATAGGTGAAGCTAGCTTCCTTGTTCTGCGGGGAGCGTTAGCGACATCAAAAACGAGGAAGGATAAGTAAAGACAAACCTTGAAGTTGTTCTCCACGATCCCCCAGAGCTTCTTAGCCTGAACATTGGAAGGGTATTCAATCTTCAGGTTTCCACGCTTGGCCACAATCTGCTCAGCAGTAAAGGGGCGCTTGGTGTATCTCCAACGAGAATCCTTCCACCAGTTCTTCACAGCCTGAACCTCTTCCAGGTACTGCTTGTCTTCATCTTCGAGGTAACCCATGGTGGCGGTAATGAACAGCGTAATAGACGAGAGGCAGTAATATAACTTTTGTAGTAGTATATAGTGTACAATGCAGTGCTGTCAATGTATGGGAAGGAAGGAGCACGCGACAGGGTAGAGGAGTAAAGAGGATGAAGCGGAATTATGAAGAGAGCCAGCTTCAAATTTGAGAATCACAAGCCAAAAGTAGGGATCCGAACCCAAATATATGCAATGCGTCACAGTAGAGCATCGAGGTCAGTATGACTCTTGGTCGGTAAACGCTCGGCTCAGCGGGACAGACAGGAAGACAAGGCGCGCCGCCGGCCCATAGTCAACCGGCGAAAACTCGCAGCTGCGACAGAGCGAGACAAGAATTGGGTTCACATTTTCCCAGGTTCACAAGCCAGATTGGCAGATTCCGGGTACGTGAGTGGCCATGTAGTTCGGGAGAGAGGATCCAGACTGCTGAGATCCTCGGTCTAAAGGACCTCTTGCCTGAGGCACTCGCCACAACTTTGTTCTTTGCCCCGGATTCCCAGATAACTGAGTTTATTCAAGACGGCCATGCTGTCCGTGCCTTCAGGTTATTGCTCCAAGTCGCCGTAAATGTGCGCTCCGGCTTCCTCAGCTTCAATTGAAGCTGCATTCTTGTCGGTGGTTCGAGCAAATCAAAGACATTCCAGGATGACGTCAATCCATGTGCTCGACCTCCGTGACAGAACATGACAATACGATAGCCCGGATCCACCCGCATCAGCTTCATCCATGGCGGTATTCGTGTAATCTATATACGCTTCTGCATTCAGCATTGAAGCTCCTCAGTCGCCACTAAACAGCTTAAAGGAACTGTAACCTTCGCCTAAGTAATAGACTGCCATCATTGATGTCTCATGTAACTCCCCAGTCCCATAACCAACTCCAAGAAAAGTAAATCCATACTTGCCTCTCTCAGTATCAGCCTAGGCATTCCATTCCACCTGGTCCTTCGGCACTAACCCAAAACGGTACAAACCTCGGCACAATTGTTCATCGTCTGCACTTGAAGCTCCGAGCGCCTATCAGTCGACAAAATCAGCTGCTGTTGGTCCCAGGGTCTGCTGGTCTAGTTCTGCACCAGACTGACAAGAGGCTAGCAATGTGAGGGTTTTGTCTCATCCCCAGACGGTTCGCCGTCGAATCATCAGCTTCATTGCGTGCTCCACGAGAACAGCCTCGGGAAAACAAGGAGGTCCCGGCCCGTGTTATTGTCGAGATCTTGGGCCTTTTTTGGATAGCATTTATTTGAAACTTGATGCCTAGATACGTGTACGGAGTACGTGTCTATCGGGAAGGTGGTTCCGGTTTCGGGCTTCTTGCTCTCCTTCCGTTGTCCTGGTGTTGTAAGTAGTGCTCGATGCTCGTTAGACCTCGGCGACGTTCTTCATACTCCACTACGCTGGTGCGATATCGCTACGTACTCTATACATCGACATCTTTAGCCAAACGTCACATCGTATATTTAAACTAACGGTTATATATCTATGGTATTTTGGTAGAAAAAAAAACTGCATGCCGAAAACTCTCTTTCTAGCTCTTCTCGACCATTCACAATCATAAAGCAGGATCAGCACCATCGCGGGGCATTGCAATTCCGAAGTTGCTATGCCGCGTCCAACTATCCAAGGACGCTATCACCCTGCGTAGACAGAGCCTTGCTATATGTCTCCCATGGGGTGACTGCACCGAGGGCCCGTCGTTGATGGGCATTCAGGATATCCAGGCCGTAGACGTAACTAGCATTGACCCAACCAAACCTAGATCAGTTAGCAAATCGGTGTACCGAGGGAAAATATACGGGAAGAGACATACCCTTCTCGGGGGGCACCCTTGAAATCAACACCTTGGTTACCATATTCGGCATCAACTCGGTGAGGATCAATAGGTCGAGTCACATCGTACTTCTCGACGACAACTCCGTTGAAATCAACAAACGCTTTTGTGATCATGTACAGCCACTTGTACGCAAGCCGCTCGGCATCTTCCTGGTATCCGTATCGGCAGCATCCAGTCCACGCGAGCATCTGTTGCGGCGCCCATCCGTATGGGTAATCCCACTGCCGAGTGGGTCGGTCAAGGCCTACAGCACCGCGTGACTCTTCAGTTCCTGAGACGATTCCACCGAATTCCTCAAAGCGGGGAAGTGCCTTGAGTATCATTTCAGAAGCCTGGCGCGGCGTTGCAAGTCCAGCCCACATCGCCCAGAGGGTAGTAGCACTCTCATAATTCATTGTTTCTTGTGTCTCTGTGTTATAATCGAAGAACATCCCCTTCTCTTCGTTCCACATATAGGTGTCCATTCTCATTTTTCTCCTGCGTGCCCGGCGATCCCACACAGAAGATGACTCACTCTGGATATCCTTGGTAGCCGGTGTCCTGAATTCAACCGGAATCTCAAGCTTGTCTTTGAAGTAGACCCGGATTACTCGAGCAATATCGACCTCATACTTGTATAGGAGAGAGTTGAGATCAATCGTGGCGAGGTGGCCGCAGATTCTCTCCAAACGGTAGCTGGTATCATGCCCAGATTCTCTAACCGCCCTGTCGTGCATGAAGTAGTCATCCAGCTCCGGCTCGTCGACTTCGCCGGCGTTATAGGCTTGGACAAATTCCTTGAATTGCATACCATGTTTCTCGGCGTAGGGAGTAAGCAGGTGGATAAAGTGGCCCGCCTCTGTCTCTGGGGGCACACCAATACCTGGCGAGCGGTACCGTGACAGACCTGACACGGGGTCGAGACGTGGCTCAGACATCCACACACTGTAGTATTCTTTAATGGCGGCTAAGATTGACTCCCGAAGGAATTCCAAGGCGCCTGGTTCGCTCTTGATACGGTCATATACGCGCAAGGCCATGTCTGTGAGGAATGGCGGTTGAGAGCGCGTCAGGTAGTATGTGCGGTTGGCATTCAAGATCTTTGCATAGTGCTTGATGCAGAAACAGAAATTGATCACCATAGCTTTGGCAAGATCAACTCTGTTGCTTGATAGGAGTCCCAGAGACTCCATGTAACTATCCCACCCGTATAGTTCATTGAAGCGGCCTCCAGGAACCACAAAAGGTACTCCAGAAAAGTCTGTTTTCCCGGTGACTGGGTCAACCTTCTCCTCCATAGCCAAGGCAAGAAGCCCGGGCTTATGATTAAGATCGCGCACATACTCCGGTGTGATATCAGCAGCCAGCTCTATCACCTCAAGACGTAGTTCAGATCTCTCTTTCGCGATCCGCTTGTAGTACTCCAGCTGTTCAGGAGCTCCAGGTGGGACGTAAATTCGTGGACGAGGATCATCGGTCCAATCTTTAGGATCTCTTCCAGCCACCTCGATATTAGAGCCATCGATTCTCCGAGTAAGAGATCTCCAGAATGAATTTTTAATTAGGCGTGAGAGTCGGGATACCGGGTTCTCTGAGAGACGGTCCTCATCCAGGACAATCTGCTTGCGGCCATAGTCTTTGGCAATCGTTAATTCCTGGAGGAGATTGGACAACATATATGTGCCCCGAACGTCGACCTTATTGTACCCGGAGGACGCTGCCGTTCCTAGAGAGAAAACCTAAGCATAAAAGTCAGCACAACTTGCGCCATACGCCATTTAAACCATCCAAACACACCTTAGGACCAACGTCCTCAATGGTAATTTGCTGGTTTCTGTCAGAATCCTCTCTCTCTAGTAAATGCTCCAACGTTGCGTCGACGTCAACAAGGAATTTCCTGGGGTTGCCAGATGTGGGGTCTGTGATTAGAGTAGTCAGTGCACAAGCCCCAAAATGTCACTCTTCCAACAAGGTAGTACGCACCCATGCTACCACGTCTTGTATTACGGTCACCCAGCATATCGTGGAGGTCTTGGCGATTGAACGATTTCAAGCTCTATAAGTAGCTTCCAGTTAGCAGTGTGCTTTCCCATCGCACTCATAGACGACAGTAGGACGTACCGAAGAGAACGCACGGCGGCGGTTCTTTACTCGTTCAACCGCTTGAGCATCGCCATAATAGATATCTGCGGGCTGAAAAGGATCGCCGCCCGAGCTGGATCGTCGATGCTGGGGGACACGCGGGGGGATCTGTGTGTCATCCATGCTGCCAGATTGCTCGCTCACAATGGCGAGATTGATTCAAGAAGGGTGAAGTATATCAATAGACGGTGGCTCGGTGAATAACTTTGGGCTGCAAGTTAAAAGTACTGTGCCCCGCGCTAGTCGCACTGCAGATAAAACTTCCGAATATCAAGATGATCGGTGGCGGGTGTCGAGTTGTTGAGGGTGGTGTAGAAGAAAACTTGATAGTAAAAGCAACTTAGCACGATTCTGAAAAGACTGGAGTAGTATTTGTTTTTGAAAAGAGATCAATGTTGAAATTGCAGGTATGAAGTAGCTGGTTCCAGACGTATGACGGCATGGGCCCGCCAGTGATGACATAACTTACCTCGACCCAGGTGGACCGTGGACAATACTGCCGTATACGGTGTAGGGCAATCGAAGCCTCTCGTAGGGGCAACTTGCTTTCACGGACGAATATTCGAAATTTTTCGAGAGAGCAGAACTTGAATTTTCACGCCCTCTTCATATAATGTGCCGCAATGAGGGGGATGGCTGAAAGTCGGTCACGGCAATGAGTCCACGTGACTCCCTTTTTCACTTTCTTTCTAAAAATGTCCGCGCTATCGAACCCAGAATGATGCATCCACACCCCACCTCCAGGCTTTTCTTGATGCTCTGACCCCTCTTCCATGATGGTCTCCATAATTCTACGCCTAGACTCCCGCAAAGGTCGAGTGACATGACACCCGTTCAGACATGAAATCCGCACCCGGCTCTGGATTGTTACCCATGTCCGTTTTAATCAAAAGCGAAGCTTATATCTCGGCATTCCGTCCCTGCCAAGGCCCTCTCATACACCAGCCACCAAAAGCTATCTATCGGGTGTGATACCCCTGTATTCTCAAGAACTGGTACTCAAATCGTCTCAAGCTTTTTGTCCTGTGCAATGTAACGGTTTGGGAATCGATGATGTTATCTTCCGCCAGGCACTTGCTGGGAAGTAGCACAGCATGGTCCAATCTACTCGGCAGCCCACGATGGCGTCCTCGGATCATCAACGCACAGACCACGAGTTTACTAAAGGTCGAGAACTGCGCGCTGAAGGATGTCGGAGCGCCAGGGTACCCTAGACTACGACCAACATCACCGCTGCATGTGTCAGCATCTTAACAGCCATGTAGCACAACCAACCATAGCCTATAGGGCATGTCTTACTATGCAGGACCAGCCTCGAATAAAATCGAGAGCACGGAATTGTTGGATGCTCCCGCGAACCTATAACGGGATGTCAAAGTAAGCCGGCTCAGAAGAGTTCATGATCCTCTTGGATTTTGGTAATTCAAATATAGGATATCTTCCAAGATGTGGCCCACGGGTCGAAGCTTAGTCGGCTTCACATATGGCCAGGACATAGACCTGGTTGTTCTGCAGGACAACCTCGACCAAGGCCCAAGTTGGCCGGCTGTGGAATAATAACATATAGCATCGACCGGTGTAGTTCAGGGGGGAATAAGGGGCTCCTTAGTACACTTTCTGGGATGTCGAGTCCCATTCCAGCTAACATCTACCTTTACTAATTCACACTATAATCCATCGGGAAATTGGATACGTTCTATGCATTGTACTGTTTCTAGGTAAACTAAGTAAAGATATTATCTCATGAGACGGCTGATAGACTCTTAGGACCAGGGTCGAAAAGCATATCCTCTGACTGACAAAGGCAGGTAAGGGGACTAAGAAGAACGGTAATAGCTCAAGATTGTTCCAGGCCACAAATGAAAAGTTTACGGTAAAACGTTGATGTTGAAATCTTCGGACTCAGCAGATAGTACAGTGTCTGTCATTGCTTTAGTCCATCTTATGGATGAAAAACCAACCGAAGTTTAGGATTACACCTCGAAAAGATTGGCCAGCAACTCTGAAAAGATTTATATAATGCTCCAGAAAAGATATACATTACATCTTAGCAGCGATGTGGCTACCTCCATCCAGCGAGATAGTCGCTCCGTTCACATATGCCCCTGCACGGCTGCTCAAGAACAAGCAAGCTCCTGCGACATCTTCGGGGCTACCGATGCGGCCAAGCGGAACGTTCGACTCGATCTGCTCCCGGAAGTTCTTCAGGGTAGCGGCCATCATCTTACTCTCGAACGGCCCGCAGGCAAGCGTGTTGGACCTATGTTAGGTTAGCATTTTCCAGAGCTTTCAACAATCTGGCTGAACAACGTACGTGATATTCCTCCTTCCAAGGTGGTTTGCCAGCACCCGGCTCATATGATGTAGGCCAGCCTTGCTAGCACTGTAGGCGAATGTTTCCAGTGCAGGAACTCTCAGGCCATCAATACTGCCAATGTTGATAATTCTAGCTGGGTCGTTAGGCGCCGCAGCCTTCTCCAACAAGGGCGTGACGAGCTTTGTAAGGTCGAAAACACGGTGGAGGTTAAGCGTAAGGACCCGGGTCCATGCAGCAGACGGGTATTCATCGTAGGGGGCGCCCCAGTTCGATCCGGAGTTGTTCACGAGGACATGGAGTTCTAAGAGAGTGAAACGAGCATCGTTAGTCGTCTGCGGAGTACTCGGCGCATGATGTAGATTTCAGAGTGACCACTTACTGCTTTCACGCTTGGAAAGCTCCTCGGCGAGCTTCTTGACGTCTTCCTCTTTGTAGAAATCCGCCGGGATAGCGTGCGCCTTTCCCTTGCCCAGCGCATTGAGCTCATTTACGGCTTGCTCGCAGGCCTTTACGTCGCGGGACGAAATGTAAACGGTGGCCCCGTTGCGCACGTATCCTTCGGAGATCATGCGACCAATGCCCTTGGCTCCGCCAGTGACCAGCACCACTTTGCCCTGGTAGTAAAATTAGCAAATCGCACACCTAGCTAGCTAGGCTATTACTGCGGAGGCCGCATACCTTGACATCGAATAAGCTCTGTAGATCCATGGTAAAATAGCTATTTATGGAGGAAATTATAGATTGAATGTAAAACCAGGTATCAGTATGTCTGTCACAATGGTGGATTGGCGAGTTATATACAGGATGAGGTTCTCCTCGACATCGCCGCCCCGGGCCAGACGAGACAACCGAGAGCAACCCCCGGAGCGAAAGATACCGAGGCTCATGGCCAGGAACAACGTTAGTCCATGACTACGGAGGGATGCCGACTGAGTCCAGACGACTAATCAGCAACAAAGAGCCGAATAATCAAGAAGAATATTAATGCTTCTTGATAGGAATAGGTCCTAGCAAGGTTTTCCTGAAAGTGTTCCACCTGAGTCCCCTGTCAAATGGTTAGTTGCGCATACTGCTATCCATGATCGAGAACCCATACAAATCGGGAATAGCGCCACATTCCCGATTTAGAAGTGGCATTTCGTGGGGCAGAAGTTTTGATTCAAGATCAGCTTGTCTTATGTGTTTCACAGCTTGATTCTAAGCCCACACAGCTATAGACCATTTCTTTCTATACCAGGGCAGCATATATACGCCTTTCACTAACATATCCATTCCCTCACATTCCCAATCGACCGACCACAGCCCACGTTCCCACCCGCCCGTCAACCCCCACCACCATATAGAATGGAGGAACTCCAATCCCGCCACCGCAAAGAACAAAAAGACCTGCAAGCACGCATCACGCAGAAAAAGAAATCAGCAACCAAAAAGACCCGCCGGGGCATTAATGATGAGTGCGACCAGATGCAACGCGAGCTCTCTGAGCGCCATCAAGCCGAGATCGCGGAATTGAACGGCGAGACGACCGAGCCACCTGCCGACGATCTAGAATACCTCAGCATTAACGACGATGCGGCAACGAATGGCGAATCGAAGGAACCAGAACCGGAAACCGTACAGAATGGTGATTCCCCAGAATCGGAATCGTCAGGATCATCAACCCCAGCGGCGGGCCGCGGGAAAAAGCCAAACCGCCAGAAAGCGCGTCTCGCTCGACGCGCAGCAGAACAGGCTGCTCAAGCTGCTCAGGCCGAAGAGGAGGCTTCGAAGCAAACGAATCATCGAGGGAATGAGAAGGAGGTCATGGATGGGGTGTTCAAGAAGCTAAAACTGAGAGAGGTGGACATAAACCCGGACGGACATTGTCTCTTCTCTGCGGTTGCTACACAATTAGATGAAATGGGGCTGGGCCTCAGGCCGGATCCTGAGAGAATCATCCTTCAGCCCACGACGCAGACTCGAGTGGATACGGTTGCGTCCCCCAAGCATGATGGTTATAGGGCGGTTCGGGCAGTCACGGCGGATTTCATTACAGAACATAAAGATGACTTTGAACCATTCATGGAGGAGCCTCTGGAGCAGTATACAAGGAAGATCAAGCTGACTGCTGAATGGGGAGGCCAGTTGGAGCTCCAGGCTATCGCACGGGCGTATGGTGTCGACATTAACGTCATACAAGGCGATGGGAGGATTGAGAAGATTGAGTCTGGTGATACGGATACATCTACTGATGGGGAAGAGCGAAGCAAAAGAGTGGTCTGGCTGGCGTATTACAGACATACCTATGGGCTTGGAGAGCATTATAACGCCTTAACGACACAGGCTTAACGAGCAGTTTAGATAAAATAATTCACATACAGTTCGCCAAATATCTAGACGATACTCGGACATTATTGTTCAGTAATCCTATTTGTGTTTGCTGGTAAAGCCAATAGGTGTGGCTGTGTTGACTGCCTCGGCTCTACTCCGTGGTGGTCTCGTAAGAAAATTATATATTGTTAGCTTCTAAATGTAAATCAAGAAAAGTTCTTAATGGAAACATATTCTATATATAGTCTCTACAAAGATAAAAAACGAACTCTATAAAGACCTGTTTCACAGTCGCCCAACCATATTTATGGTTGTTACTGTCATTATGCTGATGATATCCAATTATTCGTACTGCCCTAACTGGGCAAAATAACGTCGGTCTATATTCCGGGGCTACGCACCATAATTTTGAATACACAGGATAAGATACCTACAAAGTCCATTGTTCTAGAATAACTAAGACCCCTATCAGGATGGTAGGACAAATCCTTCTCCAGCCAAAAAAAATAAATAGAGAAGAAAAAAAAGCTTAAACCTAGACAGACAGACCATTGAGAACTCCAATTCCCGCCCACTCCTAGCTTAGCACAACAGAGACGAGAGTAAACAGAATACAAATGTGGAAGATTAAATGTTCAAAACGCCCTTCAATGCCAAATTGTACTCCTTAACATCATAACCCGGTCCATAGGGTATCATGCCTCATCCATAACAACATCACCCTCTGCATCGGCGTCACTTCCTTGCATGTCGCCGGCATCATCGCCGACGTCAACCACCTCATCTTCCGCGGGTATGAGCATTTCGATCTTCTCCACAACGGATTTTCGACTTGCAGACCGCGTAAGCTTCGATTTACCCCCATGGTCTTTGCCTTTTGAAGGAGTAACGGGCCCTTGCTGCTCTTCGGCAGTTTTCGGCCCATTCATTCCGTTCGTTGTTGGTGGTACATGCTCATCATCATGGTGATTCTCGGATAACGCCAGATTTTCTGGATCCTCCACGCCATCCACAAGCGGAGCAGCCTCTTGGCCACTGTTGGCGCCTGCCTCTGTGGAAAGGTCGAGCTGATCGGCCTCTAAGCCATTGGTTGCCACACTTGCTGAGTCAATTGAAGGAGAGTCAAATAGTTTCGCACTCCGACCCCGTCTTACGCTAGACTCGTTCGCAGTGGGAGTGATGGTTGTCATAGAAGCTACCTTTCGGGGTGTGCTGCGGCCGCTGGTACGAGTGGTAGTCGGAGTGATGGAAACTTTTTGGTATGATTTGCTCCCGAAGGGGCGGCCAGCACGCTTCTTGAGGACCGGTGCTTGAACCGGAGGGTAGATTTCAAACCGCCAAGCGGGGACGCTCGAAGCTTCCGGCTCTGCTTGTTCGCTGACTTCTGTCACATCTGCCGGTTCCTGCTGGTGAACCCCATTAGCATTAGACAGAAGAGCTGTAGAGGGTGGCCCTGCCGGTTCAGGCAGTGGTCCCTCTGCTGCAGCATTGCCAGTTCCATTAGTAAGTGGCTGGCTATTCCGCTTGGAGGCCTCCAGCTGCTTGGAAGCTTCTTCGATAAGCTCCTTTCCTTCCTCTTCTTCATCCTCAAGCCCCTCGCGCGGCGCGACGGTGTGTATGGGAGCACGGTCAAATTGAGATTGATTATTCCGGCCCATTATGTAAGGTGTCCAGACAAGTGCGTCTGGATTGAGCGTGACATAGCCTTTGCTTTCCCAGCCACGAATACAGTCCTCAAAGTAGTTATAATCGAGACGCAGAGCGTATGCCCTGGTGACAGGATCTCGTACTAGAGCGCGTAGTGCTTCCAGGCCCGAAACAACATCATCCGCCGTCATGCCCGTTCGTTCCGAAAGCTCGGCAATGCTAACCGGAGACTTTTGATCTCGTAGATGGTATGACAAGATAAGCCGCCAGTAATTTCGGTAAGACACCAAGCCCATATCCGAAAGAGGCTTTTCCGGGGAGCCCGTCTTACCTTCGATGCGCGTAAGGAGGTAAGAGAAATCGATGAGGAGATTCCCATATCCCTTTCGCTGGTGTATGGGTAGAGTAAGGATACAGGAAACATTGTTTGCCGAACTGGGCCGTTTTTCTTTGCTGAAGTATCCCACAAAGTGACATCCAAGATCATCGAACTCGGTCATGACATAGAACAGGAAGGGTTCAACATCATAGTAGAGAGTTTTGGAGCCCAGGAATAGTTTGGCGAGCAAGCAGAGGTTTTGGCAGTAAACGGGATTTTTCCGCCCATCAACTTCGAAGATCGAGATGGACTTTTCACGATAAATCTCGTCTCCAGGAGGATGCTTCGCCGGACACTTGAGTTTATGGCGCCACGCAACGTAGTCGGAGTTCATATATTTTAAGCAAAACTCACAGATGTATAGCACTTTATTGCGACTGTACTCCTCAGGGTATGGAGCCGCGTACCAAGTCTCAATCTCAAAACCGCCAAAATTGATATACTTGATTCTGGACGGAGGCCCGGATACTTTTTGGGAGGCATGTTGTACGGTCTCGCCACTCGTTTCGGCCTCTAATAGACGCCTTTGCCATGTTTCTTCGGCCTTTTGCCGAGCAACTTCGAAGCGTTCACGGTCATGGTGTGTCGGTAATGTTTTGGAAGTCTCGGCATCCGTCTCAGAGAGAATCCCCCCGTAGGGTTTAGATTTCGAGGACTCCTCCAGATCACGGTCACTGAAGGGATAGAGAGAAGGGAAATAAGAAGCGGGTGTTATTGGTGCGAAGTGAGCCTGGGGCTCTTGGGCGGGAGGGGGTTTGGGAACCTTCCGGTTTCTGATGGTGGAACGACTGCGCGAATTGAGGATTTTGGCCAGCTTCGTCTCAGGCAGCTGAAAAGCTACAACGAGCTTATTAAACTGTTTCAACACCACGCGACAGTTTTCTTGTTCATCCTTCCGTGTGCGGCGCGAACGAGTCCGGACAGGTGACAAGGCATCTCCGTCCTCTTTTATTTGATCTTGCGAGTCGGCCTGCTCGGCTCGTTCGGCTCGCACCGGCGTCTGTCTTTGTCGCTTTCGGAGAAATGGTGTATGCTCCTCCGCATCAGCAGATTGGGTTTTGCGCTTCCGGAGCGACCGTGAGCTGTTCAATAGCTCATCATCAACTTTCACTGTATTAAAGATAGAATGAAAATTTGAGTCTTGCTCGCCGCTGTGAGCTGGCAAAAGCTCTTTGCTCATGTTTCTAGGGCCATTTTTGCGCCGCAGCGAGCCATCATCATCCTTAGAGCTGGGCTCCAAGTTTTCACTGAGACAAGTTGGGCATCTCCAAGGATTGGCATCTATGACAGTATTAGAGTTATGTGGAGAATAAAAGAGAGAATATTACAGCGACATACCTTCTGCGTCCGAAAGTGCACTATTTTCGCGAGCACATTGCCGATGAGCTGTCGGGTTGCCGAGTTAGTAAATGCCCGCTAAAATCCCGGGGTTCTGGATGGGTCTTTATTTCGATAGGGCCGCAAATCAACTTACAATGATCACCGCAAACAGCACAGCTCAGATATTCTTCAAACTCCTCGCTTGGATCATTATCTTCGTCTTGATTGCAGAATCTAATCCAATTTTGTTAGTCCAGACTGGCACGAATCTGAAATATGGGGCCTGTGGGCACTTACATGCAGTTCCCACGCACCGTGTTATTATCCGCTTCGACCTCCGCACGGCCATTACTCTCCGCTTCCCATTCCTCATCGGACTCGGATGAACTAGATGCATCTCGCTCACTCTCGCTGTGTCCATGAAACTCTGGGTCTTCTGCTGCATCCGCGTCGTCATCGTTATTTGGTGAAATGGCCCCTTCTGGAATCTTCACAGCACCAACTGGTTCTGCCTCCTCGACCTCGCCGTTCGGAATAACATCGAGGTCTACTTCTCCCTCAGCATCCATATCCTCGTCAAAATCGCTAGCTCCCGCCTCGGCAGCAACTTCGCCGGAATATGCCCGGTGAACAGCATCCTGGAGCTGTTGGTCCATCTGATACAAATCAGTCTCCTCGCCCTCAGCATCCTGGTCACTGTCCAGGATGTTATCTGCCGGGTGTTTCAATTCAGAATGGTCGGCGGCCGGCGGCACGGTTGCCGGCATGGTGTATGTGACCGCAGTCGCCAGCTTGGATAATCAGTAGCTCTCTTGATGGTTGTGATATTCGTTGAAGTTTATCTCAAGGCGCAAAACGTGGCGAGCCCGATAGTTGAGACTAATCTCGGTGAGTCCTCAATCATCGGGTGCCGCAGGAATCGGGAATCGGGAACATGAACGAATGACCTTGGACACGGAGTATCCAATTAATGTAGGTGCGAGAGCTGTGGATTACGCGATTCGATAAACACTACCACTCCCTAATCATTGCGCAACCCAGATAATAATCGTTAGTGAGACCCGGGATAGACACGATTTGAACAATGGCAAAGAACGCGTTCAAACAAGCCCGGAAAACATACCTCTCTGACATGAAGTCCTGCCACTTTAGAAATGCCACAAGTAGACGCGTAAATTGGCAGCGCAACAATCGTCCGAAGGGTTTCCTTTTAATTCAAAGCGCTCGGCGACGACCACCTTTGCCCCCTTCTCCTGCCTGTGAGGTTGAATGGGGAGGGTGCTTACTCATCCGGCTGGACCGCCCGCCCTCTGCGCTAGACCATTTCGGGATTCCCGCCAGACCTCGAGCACGAGAATGGACGGCGAGGCATCATTATCTCCGGCTTCCACTGCGACCTTCACCAACATTCATTTGTCTTCTCTACCGACTCGCGTCACTCCGCACCTCATTTCTCACAATCCATTATGGGTGTTCCATTCGAGGCTTTGATCCCTTATGGGATTGTCGTTGTTGTACGTTCCTCCCCACCGACCGTCGGGCGTCGTATCGATTATGAGGAAACACTGGAGTTTAAGCTACTAGAGGCCATTGGCTGTCTTCTGGCTTAGCCACTCTGTGTTTTTACGCTTCACATGTCGCTCTCGATGATCAATTCTAACGGTCTTAGATGTTCGGCGTGACCGGAGCCGGTCTCTCGGTTGTTAAGACTTTCGCCAATGACGGAAAGAAGGCACGGTGGAATCGGGATCTGTGGGATAGAGTAAGGATACCTTGTTAAACTCTCTTCATCTATCGTGATATATCTATTGAGTGGCGTGTTTGCGCCATCTAGAATCGACCAGATTTGGCTAACGTCTCTTTAGCAAAGTATGTGACTTCATAACCAAGCGATACAACTCGCAATTGCTTCATTATCGCAGTGAAATAACTAACAATAAACCGTGTGAAGTGATGGAGAGAGATTTGAGACTTACAGGATCCTTCCGTGGGCAATCGACAAACCCCGAGGCGCCGAAGGGCTTCGAACTCAACAACCCGTGGAAGGTCGAGAAACGCATGTTTTAGATTTGCGTCTAACTCTTACTCGTTATCTTCCTCGTCTACGTCCACAAAACCATTGATTTCGCCGATACTCCAGTTCTAGTTCGACAGGACATATTCGCAGCCCTAGATGGTATCCATCAGGCGCCCAACGGATGAGGACTATCTCCTTGTGAGACAGCGCCGTTCTGAGGATCGGACTGTGAAACATGTCGTATGCGCATGAATTGAGGGGAAATATCTTTACATCTGTTTGTATCATACCATCAATGCCAATAACGTCTTTTCAAGTTCAATTGTTAGAGCCCCAATGTCAAGATAGAAGAGGATGGCATGCGTCATTCATGGTGATAGCCATCTCAGACTACGCACCAAGTATTATTAGGGACTACGTACATAACTCAAAAAATCGACTATCGGGCGGTCAGCCGCAGTTAAAGTTGACATCCAATGATGTTAATAGATTCGTAATCTGCGCTCTAGGGTATTAAGTGGGTTCGTACTCCGTCGTTACTTGTTGTACCTTATGTAAAAGTTCATTCAATATTCGTCCACATCATCCAATAATACGTCCATCCAAATGCGCTTTCAGATCATTTCTATATGAGTAAAAATGCAACCACCTTAATGATGAGAAGCTCTGGGCAAACCAGCCACCCATAATGCGCTGTTGTCAACCAAATAAATTTAATAAAGAGACCCACGTAAATGCAACCATGTCAACTAGCACCTCCGCTCTACTCCCTGCCGACTAACGCATATATATTTCACTCCTTTGTAGGGTTTCACCCCTTCTCCGAGGCCACGGCTTCGGCGCGGGTCAATGTTCAGACTCTCGACCTTGATACCGGAAGGCAGCCAGCCTCGTACTGAAAACGAAACGGACGCGGAATTTGGCATAAGGCTGGCATTTATCTGGGTTCTCGTTTTGCGTGGCGCCGTGTGGAATATTGAGAAGGGCGATTCGGGGCGTGGTGGTGGAGGGGAGGGTGAGGGTTGTGGTTTTGGAGGTGGTGTATGAGAAGGAGTCTCTGAATGTGATGGAGGGTGAGAAGGTGAAGGCACCAAAGGTTGATCGGAATTAATGTCTGACGGGGGGATTGTGCTGCCGTTGAGATCGGCTTCGATATCGGGCGTAGATATAGAAGCGCCTCGCCGGGAGGATACTGATTTCTTCACTTTCTTCACCTTCTTCTTCTTCTTTTTTGGTTTCGGTTTTAACAGCTCTGGGTCCAGATTTTGCTGGTAGGATACTGCCGCTGACTCGTCGTAGTAGCCTTGAAGAAGAATAGCCTCAGTATCAGCCTCGGGATCATCCACCTCTTCCTCGAGGTCGTCGGTGGGATGTCCGACAGTGGTGCAACGAAGGGTGGCTGTTCCGGATACACTCCCTGCATCTTTAGTAGGAATCTTCCATTCCAGCACGCCACGCCCAGGGTTGAAGAAGGCCTCGCCACGACTAGCTTTCATGTCTGTTATATTCCGTACAGACGGGGGAATCGGGACCGTCACTACGACGTCTTCTAGCACCGGGCCAGAATTCCCGCTGCTATTTCCACCTAGAAAAGACGGCGTTGAGGTTCCAGAACCTCCCCGGCCTGTCCCAGGTCGATTTACGGATGGGTACCCGGGGAAGTTTGGGTTGAGTGTTAACCGCACTTCGAAATCGGCACCAGCAGTCCCGAGAGACTTTCGAATGTCAACAATAGTGGGGATAAAGAGTTTCTCCATATGACTGGGGGGTTGATCGAGGCTGGGGTCGAGTGGGAGCAAGTCCACCTCGTATCCTGCGAGGATGAAACGCCCATCTGGAGGAACGAAGCATAATTCACCTGGTCGTTCACGCCATTTTGCAAGCCGGACACATGGATGGAATACAGGTAACTGGATTTTCCGTCCGATGGCGTGCTGCCCACCTGGTGCTGCCAGGGATAGTACCAGTTCCGGAACGCCAGATACTTTGGCTGTGAAAGCAATGGTGCCTGACACTAGAGCAGAGAGTAGACGTCCGGATGGGGCCATTGTAACTGTGAGCGACTCCACAACATCAACGTAAAGCTCGTTTGAGGTGTGTCGCACACCGGGACGCCTCCAGGGAATGGCCGGTCCAAGCGCTGCATTGGCGGACGTTAGTGGTTGTCGCTTGAGTCCAGGTTGCCCGAGTATTGGGGTTGATGATCTATTTTCACGAATCAACTATGTCAATAACAAGTAATTCTAATGCTGCAGAGAAAGGATCCTTACCCAGGCAATCCAACATTGCCCAGCAGTTTCCCCATCCATCCCGGCATCTCCACCACTTCCTGCAGGGCATTCAACTCAGTGTTGCAGATGATACCAGCATCGCACATCTCATGAAGCAGCTGAGCCACAACATCGTAATTCGCCTGTACTTTGGTCGAGATCAACGGTGCCCCGACGAACTCTTCGAGGATATCAACGACGCGATGGAGAAACTCGAGGACTAGGAGGGGTTCCGTGTCGGACTCTGAGAGCGCTAGGAAATGCAGATTCGATTCGACGATAGAAAACACCGTTACCGGTGGCAATACATTCGGAAAATGGAGTAGCGATGGGCGCGGGGCAGGATGAGCGAAATAGAGGGGCCGGATGGCCGCCGCGGAGGGCGGACGAGAGCGATAGACTTGCTCGACCAGAGGCTGGCTAGAACACGCACATTGTTAGACAAGATGGTGTGTGTATGCAGGGAATCACTCACTTTTGCTCGTCGTATATGTAGAGAGCATCAACCTCACCGCTCATGGTGCCGACGACTCTCCAGCTCGAACCTCAGAGACGGTTTGGATGCAATTGCAGCGACGCAAATCCAAGCATGGTTGACATGATCAAATGAACTCATCGTTTATTCTGCCGCCAGTCACCGCCTCGCGGGTTGTTTCTTGTCGCATCTGAAGAAACACCCGACAAGTAAATATATTCTGACCATATTTTTGGACTATGGCGTCTCCCACAGAAAACAATGCCTCTGATGTACAGTCCTCGAAGGCGAAACCTCCAATAGCATATGAGGAGTTTGAAGACTGCTTCACTTGCAGAGCCACAGGTCAGTGCCTCGACCTATCGACGAGCTACAACATCTGCCCCGGTGCTAGTTGCGGAATATTCGTCACGGAAAGCTCATTCTTCTATTCTAGGTTCCGCTGCATTTATCGGACTCGGAGTCTACAGCTACTATACGGGCATGTCCAACTTACAAAAACAAGAGCAGTCAATCATGCGGAGTGCAACAAAGTACAAGATGGGCTCTCGCCGATTGGGGATCGCGACTATTTCTGCAGCTCTGGTTGGCGTGGGCGTTTGGCGGGCTTTTAATTGATATACCAATACGACGGTTCAATGAATGTATAACTTTACTATTTCGAGAGTTTCCGGTACGGATGATGTATAGTATATGATTATGTGCAGGAAAGTATAATCAAGCGTCACCAGACCCAAGAGTGAAAAAAAGAGAGTTAAAAAAAAAGATTATCGGGTATCACCATATCGGATAGACTCTATAACGTGTAATGCGTATAGCCCCAAAGTCACAAAAAAAAATATAAAAGGACACATGAGAATCAGAGTTCCCAAAGGAATATAAATGTGAGAGTAATAAAAAAACATGCATGATGCAATACTCCTACTATATGCTCCGTGACAATCAGTATAACAACCGCTGCGTAACTCTGGCGTATCGAAGTTCAACCCGGCGTGGGAGAAGTTGTAGCTCTAGGTAAAACGACCACGTTTGCCGCCTCCAAATATATCTCGGTTATTGTTCATCCCAGCTATGTCAAAAAAGTCGGGGAAATTATGTTTTCGTTTTGAGCCTATTCCGACGGGAGAATCGCGCGTTGAGCTTCGAGGGCTTGGGCGAGACAGATTACCGTGGCGGTTTTGCTGGCGAGAGTTCCGTGCAAGGAGCGGGACTGCTGGCGCTGTCTCACTCTGCGGTGATGGCGATGAGCTGTCCGAGTTGTGCATGTCCATATCTTGCTCCTGAACTTGCGGGAAAGTCGGGCCAGCAGAGAAGGTGAAAACAGGAGCTCGGTCGAAAGTAGCGGGTTCGGAGGGTTGGGCAGCGGGTGTCGAGGGTGGTTGCTGCGGTGCGGCTTGTTCTTCCCGGTGGGGTGACGTGGACTTCGAAACCTGTCGAGGGGCTTCTGGCTCAGATGCTTCCTTACGTGGTACAGCAGGGGTAGCGCCCCTAGTTCTCTTCTCGGTCTCATCGTCGTCACTCGTATGAGCTAGGCCATCGCTCCGTTCCGTAGCCCACTGTCGAACCCGCCAACCCTCTCCATCAGTTAACCCGAGGTTCTCTCGGTCGAGAAAATGCAGCAGGTCTTCAATAGCTTCTTGGTATCCAGCCTGCCTGGCTTGTGATTCTGCGTACACAGCATTCTTGTAGAGGTTGGTGACCGAAAGGGCAGCTGTTTTGAATTGTTGAAGGAGCTGCTCCGGGGGTTGTGGGCGGGGTGTCGAGCTTGGTAATGAGGTGTTGAGAGACCTCATGGAGTCCATGGCGGTTCTAGCTGCTATGAAAGCAGCTGTGTTTGGTGGTGGCTTTGTTGTTTATTTCGAGTGGGAATTTTTTTCTCTTTTATTTCTCGGTACCGAGTTACGGCAGGAGGGGTGAGAGAGTCGTAATCGGGGAGGCGAATAAGCGGTTTAACGCCGAAATAGACAAAGGTCGTTTGAGGAGCTGGTAGGGAATATAATGGTACAGAGAAAGCTTGAAACAAACGGAAATCTCTGTGTCACAAAAAGACTATAGACCAAGACAAAAGCGATGTGTATCTGATGAGATCTTGGGAACCAAGTTCGGTTTCTTTCTGCGCCGGCCCTTTGTCATGGTAACGTGACCCACCGCGGGGAAACTTGTCTTCCGTACGGAATGACTCAGCTCTGACATAAGCACTTACCGCGTGCCTCCCGTCCAATGAGCGCGTCGCGACCGCTGTGTTCAACGAAATTCCATTATTATTTGCCATCCCAGCGCGACTCTCGTCCTCCGTTCTTTCACCCAAGCCTCCCGCCATCGTCGTCATTCACGTTCGTCTTGGGCTTGGTCAGCGCTCCGGGCTCCCTTTGTATGGCCTTTGAATTCCAGATCTCAATCCCTCATCTTAACTCTCCGAACCCTACTTGTCCGTTCCATACCTAAGATACATACTTCCGGCGAGGCCAAGCTATTCAGATACACCTCTCACGCACCCAACTTTGAAATAATCATAACGCCTTGCGCACGCTGCGCAGCCGACAACTATGGCGCCCGCACCAGTCGCAGCCTCCGATCCGCCTTCTCAGGCAGATACTCCTATGACAGATCCAAATGAAGAGCCGACCTCGGTGCCCGTGGACCCTTTGGACGCGAAGATGACGGTAGGTTGCGAAAAACCACTATTCCCTCGAAACTATATTTTCCCCCATAAATTCTTTCCAAATCCCTGCTGACTTGTTCAAGGGATACCAGGATACACCAGACTACACGGTAAACACCTGCCGCGACTTACCCAATATTCTGTCCCACATCAACTAACTCGGTATTCGCCAGGACTCGGATACAAACCCGAACACAACTGCAAGCAGTATTGCAGGCGACGCAGTTCCATTGGATGGTCGAATGCGGAGATCTGAGGCTTTCCAGATGAGAAAAAACATGTTTGGCAAGAAACACGGCTCCTTGAACGAGAATAAGGTTCGCAATATATATACCAGTTTGAAACAATGCCGTCCTTTTTAACACTTCGACTACAGGAAGATGACTCGATTCGGAGATTCCGCTACCTCCTTGGGCTCACAGATCTTTTCCGTCATTTTATCGAAACGAATCCTAACCCCCGTATCAAAGAAATCATGGGTGAAATTGACAAGCAGAATGCCGAAGAAGAAGCAAAGGCGAAGCGGAAGGGCTCCTCGAGGTCAGGAGGTGCAGGCGGCGATCGGAGACGACGGACGGAACAGGAGGAAGATGCTGAACTTTTGAAAGATGAGAGGAGTGGTGGTCAGACCAACACAATTTTCCGAGAGTCACCACCATACGTTCAGGGCGAAATGCGTGATTACCAAGTTGCTGGATTGAACTGGCTCGTTTCTTTGCATGAGAACGGAATTTCAGGGATTTTGGCAGATGAGATGGGTCTAGGCAAAACCCTTCAGACGATTTCGTTCATCGGATATCTCCGGCATTTTTGCGACATTACTGGGCCTCATCTTGTCGCAGTTCCTAAATCCACTCTAGATAACTGGAAGCGAGAATTTCACAAGTGGACTCCCGAAGTCAATGTCCTTGTATTACAAGGAGACAAGGAGGAGCGTCACAAGTTGATCAACGAGAGACTTCTGGACGAAGACTTCGATGTCTGCATTACCAGTTACGAAATGGTTCTCCGAGAAAAGTCACATCTGAAGAAGTTTGCCTGGGAGTATATCATCATTGACGAAGCACACCGAATTAAGAACGAAGAATCGTCGCTCGCCCAGATAATTCGCGTTTTCAATTCCCGAAATCGTCTCCTCATTACTGGTACCCCGCTTCAGAACAACCTTCACGAACTATGGGCTCTTCTCAATTTCTTGCTGCCGGATGTCTTTGGTGATTCAGAGGCCTTTGACCAATGGTTCTCGAACCAGGATGCGGACCAGGATACCGTTGTGCAACAACTTCACCGCGTTTTACGGCCCTTTTTGCTTCGTCGTGTGAAGAGCGACGTAGAGAAGAGTCTGCTCCCGAAGAAGGAAGTTAACCTATATGTGCCCATGTCTAACATGCAGGTAAAATGGTATCAGAAAATTCTTGAGAAAGATATTGATGCTGTCAATGGTGCCGCTGGAAAGCGAGAGTCGAAGACACGTCTGCTGAACATCGTCATGCAATTGCGAAAATGTTGCAACCACCCCTACCTCTTCGAAGGCGCCGAGCCAGGTCCCCCGTATACGACCGACGAACATCTTGTGGATAATGCCGGGAAGATGGTCATTCTTGACAAACTTCTTACTCGTATGCAGGCTCAGGGAAGCAGAGTCCTCATTTTCTCACAAATGAGTCGTGTTCTGGATATTTTGGAAGATTACTGCGTGTTCCGAGAGTACAATTATTGCCGCATTGACGGAACTACAGCCCACGAGGATCGAATTGCCGCGATTGATGACTATAACAAACCCGATTCCGAGAAATTCATCTTTCTTCTAACCACGCGAGCTGGAGGGCTGGGTATCAACTTGACGAGTGCGGATATTGTTGTTCTTTACGACAGTGATTGGAACCCCCAGGCTGATTTACAGGCAATGGACCGTGCTCACCGTATCGGACAGACGAAGCAGGTGGTTGTGTACAGGTTTATCACTGAATCGGCCATTGAAGAGAGGGTCTTGGAACGTGCAGCACAAAAGCTGCGCTTGGATCAGCTTGTCATCCAACAAGGACGTGCCCAGCAACAAGCGAAGAACGCTGCTTCCAAGGAAGAGTTGCTAGGCATGATTCAACACGGCGCTGCCGAAATTTTCGGCAATGAGAGTGGGACGAAGACAATTGCTGAGGGTAAGGGGCTCTCCGACGACGATATTGATGCAATTCTGCGTAAAGGTGAAGAACGAACGGCGGAGCTAAGCAAGAAATACGAGAAGCTGGGTATCGACGATCTACAAAAATTCAGCTCGGAAAGTGCATACGAATGGAATGGAAAGGATTTCACCGACAAGAAGAAGGATATTGGAATTAACTGGATCAACCCCGCGAAACGTGAGAGGAAGGAGCAATTTTATTCCATCGACAAGTACTATCGTCAGGCTCTTGCTACCGGTGGACGCACGGCAGATCCCAAACCCAAGGTTCCCCGGGCACCGAAGCAGATTACCATTCATGACTGGCAATTTTTCCCACCCGGCCTTCAGGAGCTTCAGGAGAAGGAGACCGCCTATTTTCACAAGGAAATTGGCTACAAGGCTCCTATTCCTGAAGGCCCAGAGGAGGAACTCAGCGAGCGTGAAGCCGAACGTGATCTGGAGCAGCAGGAGATTGATAACGCCGTGCCCTTAACGGAAGAGGAATCAGCAAAGAAATCTCAGATGTCAGAGGAAGGCTTCTCAAACTGGAACCGCCGTGATTTCCAACAATTCGTCAACGGGTCCGCCAAATTTGGCCGCACGGACTACGTCGGTATTGCGACTGAGGTTGACAGCAAGGAGCCAGAAGAAATTGAAGAGTACGCAGAGGTGTTCTGGAAGCGGTACACTGAGATCCAGGATTACCCCAAGTATCTCCGAGTCATCGACCAGGGTGAGGAGAAGCTCCGAAAAATGGGTCACCAGCGTAAGATGCTCCGGAAGAAGATGGAGATGTACCGTGTGCCGATTCAGCAACTCAAGATCAATTACACCGTCTCGACTACCAACAAAAAGGTCTACACGGAAGAGGAGGACCGTTTCCTACTCGTGATGCTTGATAAGTACGGCGTCGACGGCGAAGGCTTGTACGACAAGATTCGCGATGAGATCCGCGAATCACCGCTCTTCCGCTTCGATTGGTTCTTCCTTAGCCGAACGCCAGTTGAGATCGGTCGCCGCTGTACCACGTTACTGAACACAGTCGCCAAGGAGTTCGAGCCGGACAGCGGCAAGGCAAACGGCCGTGGCCGTGACCGTGACGACGAAGAAGTGGAAAATGAAGACGAAGCACCGGCAAAGAAGAAGACCAAGGGCGCAGTGGTAAGTTAACTTCCTATATCCCCGCCCTAGACGTCATCACTAACACGGGAAACCAACAGAACAAGCAAGTCAAAGCTGTTAAAGGCAGCAAGGCAAACTCAGCTTCCACATCGCGGGCCTCCTCAACAGCACCTAAATCAAGAGGCCGGAAGAAGTGAAGCGTTGATCAGCAAATACGGTCACTTTATTGAGATAACATAATATCCATCTATTGTGTACTATTGTATGGTGATTTTGGCGGAAGTCCTCTCAGTTTTTTTTTAGAAGGGAGAAAGAGCAGCACTGGATGTCCTGTCCTGGACTGAACGGTGGTCTTGTCGGCCTGTTTAGTGCCAACCAACACAGTACTTTTAGTACTAATGTACTAACTACATGTCTTCTATACTATCGGGTTGCGGCGTTGGCTAAGGTTAGATGCAGGTGCTACTGGTTACTACTTGGGTGCTTGCTTTTGTTTTTTGTTCTACTTTACTCCTTTTCTTCCCTGGTTTATTCTAATCATGTATGCTTCATTTTTCTTCTCTTCTTTCTCGATAGTTACCGTTGCACGGTTCCCTACTTAGGGAAAAGCAATAGACATTACAAAACCCTATCCTGGGAGTATGTACGTAATCTGAGGACGTGTTCCATTTCAGTAATATAAACATCCGAACCCTCGACCCAGAAATATAGAGTCAAGATCCATAGGCTATATATAAGACCAAACTATTAAGAGTATACATTGACCGTCTGGGGCGTAAAGTATAAGACAATTCAAGAAGTGGTGTTTCAGGCATAAATACGTATTATTTCACTTATTCAAAAAGGGGCAAAGAGCAATCAATGGTGATAAGAGCGAGAGTGTACATATTCCATCCAATTTGGTATCCTAATTAGTCTAGAGCTTTGAGCTCCGGTATTCGAGGATCTTGATGACGAGATAGGCCACTGAAATGGAAGAGAAAGGTGAGTATATATCCATGAATCAAACGGAATTATAAGTAAGGAAAAATGGATAGGGAGATAGAAAGATTAATATTAACTAGGTAGGATGGTGATTCGGTCTTTGTTCAAAGGTGGAAAATGAAAAAAAGGGGGTATTTGTGAATATGGCAGATATTACAAACGTATAGTATATGAAAATAACGGGCCAAGAAAAGGTATACCAGAAAAAGAAAAGAAAGATGCAGGAAAAGGAGCCAGGAAGCGTCGATTCACTCACCAGCAGCAACAACAGCAGCACGGCCAGCGCCGGCTTTAGCTGATCCCCCGCCGAGTGTGAGGATGAAACGAAGCAAGCCGAAGCGGATCTTACGGCCGGAGCGGTCAAAGTCAGGAGTCTGGACACTGGCTGCCTTGAACTTGTTCAACTTTCCGGCGTACGGCGGGTACCGGATAGCTAGGATAGACTCGAGCCAACCTGGGCTGCTTGTGATTGTGCGACGGTGCACAAAGACATCGAAGCTGGTGCGGCCGCGGTACGCACCGTAGCCGCTTTCGCCAACACCACCGAATGGAAGGGTGGGGATGTGCAGAGCAGCGTCGTTGACGGAGACACCACCGGAGCGGGTCATAGAAAGGACTGGTAGGGAGTTGGTTAAATACGCATATCAACAGAAGAGTTATCTATTGGAAACATACTTCTCTCGGTGTCAGCCTTGGAGCCAAACGGGTAGAGGCCTAGGGGTGTGCTTTGGATGTTGTTTGCAATGTTGACGGCCTCGTCAAGGTTGTCAACGGGAAGAATGGGGATGAGAGGACCGAAGCTCTCTTGAACGAGCATGGAGTCGTCGGGAGACTCGACCTGGACAACGGTAGGCTCAATGAAGAGTTCCTTCTCATCCATGGTACCACCCATAAGGATCTTGCCCTGAGAGTTATCGATCATCCCCTTCAGGCGATGGAAGGCGCCTTCGTTGACAATGCGAGCGTAATCCGGAGAGGCCTTGGCTCCGCGAGGATAGAATTCCTTGTACGCCTTCTTGAACTCATCGACCACAGCGGGCACGAGAGTCCTGTCAACGAGCAAGTAGTTCTGAGACGTGCAAACCTGACCGGCATTCATAAGCTTGCCCCAGAGCATTCTTCGCGCGACTAGCCTAGGGTTTGCAGACTTGGTGACAATGGCAGGGTTGATACCACCCAACTCCAGAACCACGGGGGTCAAGTGGGGAGCAGCTGCCTTTGCGATGATACGGCCAACGGTGGCACCACCGGTGAAGAAGATCTTGTCCCATCTCTCTGCGAGCAGAGCCTGGGTCTCGGGGATGGCACCCTGGACGAAGGCGTAGCAGGATGGGTCGAGCGAGGCCTCGATAATCTTCTGCATCACAACCGCGCTCCTGGGAGCATTCTCACTTGGTTTGATCACGACAGTGTTTCCGGCGGCGATGGCACCGAGGACAGGACCAAGAGTCAACTGGAAGGGGAAGTTGAAGGCACTATGGGATGCAATTAGAACGGGGGACAAATGCGCAACCAGGAGAGAAGCTTATCGCACCCAATAACCAGAACGGTACCAAGAGGGTCCTTGCGGATCTTGGGGTTCATGAACTTGAAGGCAAGGTCGATGTCATCGGCCTTCTCATCCTTCACCCATTTGTGAAGATGCTTTGAGATGAATACGATGTCATTTTCCAACCAAACGCTCTCAGCAACTTCGGACTCGAACCGGGGCCTTCCGAGGTCGAGGCGGAGGGCTTCAACTATTTGCTGCTCGTGGTCCTTGATACTATCGAAAGGGTGTTGGGGTCAGCTAGGCGGCGACCGGAGGAGAGCGGAGAAACTCACGCCCAGTAGAGCTTTCGCAGCTGGACAAGCCTAAACTCGACATCTCTGGTCTTGTGCTCCAAAAATGTCTTCTTCACGCGAGCGACCCGTTCCTGGATCTCGTCGATCGGGGTGTACTGCAGCTCGGGGATGTCGGTGGCACCCATTGTGATGGAATCGATGGAGGAGTAATTCTGAAGGCGGCCTTGTGTCCCTGGCAGATGAGGGTTGGACAAGGAGAGGGAGTCGAGGAGAGCAGCGCATATCACTCTTCAGGGCCATTGGAGCGGCACATGCACAGAGCTGGACTTCCCCTCTTGGGAGCTCGACTGGCCGAGGCCCGGGGACGCGCTCGCTGATTGGCTGTGGCCGCTGCCTCGCAAGAACTGCCCCAAGAGTGCAGCTGAGGTAAGTGGACCTAGGTAACTTTAATTAACTATTGTATTGCGATTTATAATACGGAATAATGGGCATTTGCTAACAAAGTTCCTGCGATGCCGGAGGAACCAATCCTGGGGAAGATCAGCTCTGCAGGATCGCAATGCGGAGTGCATTGCTTCCATTCTTTCTCTGCATCTAAGTTAATAATAATATACAACGGAATAATTCCTATGCTCCCTCCCCAACCCCCGTTCTGATGAGAAATGGTCCACGATGATAAATCCAGATGACTGATGGATGACTGACGTCGTTCCAGCCCTCTGGGTCTCGTATCCGCAACAAACGTGGCATCCGGAGTGGACGGCACTGGAGTACTCACTGGCCTATAAGTGCCCCGCAAATTCAACTGACAGCCAGGCACACTGCAAAAAAAAATTAATTCTATATACTATTGTTGCCAGCATATATTGCACATATCTCATATCCTCGTATATACAATGGCGCCCCGATATACCCCAGACCAACTAGAAGCCTACCTGCAACGCATCGGATACGCGAACTCCGCCGGCGGAACAGGACTCGCCCGGCTGCAGCAACTTCACCAGTCTATCCAAGAGAATGCCCTGGCTGCTTTGGCAGAGCTTCAGCGCCGCCATCTAGGTTCAATCCCATGGGGCAATTCGGCCATCCACTATTCACAGCATCACAGCATCTCTACCCACCAATCTGCGGTGTTTGAGAAGCTGGTTGTTCGCCGCCTGGATGGGTATTGCATGGAGAATACCAACTTGTTCTATGTTGTTCTCCTGTCGCTTGGCTACCAGGTTTACCCTTCCGCGGGGAGAGTATCGAGTGCAGCAGCAGATCCTAAGAATGCCGGGCCTGATGCTCGATATGGTTCTTTGTATGTTTCCCCTCACCCGCACAACACAGCCGTTTCTCACTGCTAACAATTCCGTAGAGGACATATGGTGATTATAGTCACAGTCGAAGACAAGAAATATATGGTATGTAATAAATGCCTGAGGTGGAGAAGTCAACTAACACCCCAAGGTCGACGTGGGCTTTGGCAACAACGTGCCAACCAGACCTTTGCCACTCGAAGAAAATACCACTGCAGTCAACATTGCTCCAACAGATATGCGATTAGTTAAAGAGGCTCTCCCAGAAGCAGTGGATAAAAGCCAAAAGTTCTGGATCTATCAAGTCAGATTTGATCCGGAAAGCAGTTGGGCGCCGCTGTACGCATTTTCTGAGGTCGAGTTCTTACCGCAGGATTTTGCCGTGCTGAATTTCGCGACCAACAAGCTGCCGAGTAGCTGGTTTACGCAGAGGGTTGTCACAGTTCGGCATATTCTTGACGCGGCGGAGGGCGATATTGAAGGGTTGTACATTATGGCTGGGAAAGCAGTGAAGAGGCGGACTAATGGGAAGACGGAGGTTTTACAGGACCTACAGAACGAAGAGGATAGAGTGAGCGCTCTCGAGAAGTGGTTTGGAATCAAACTCTTGGATCATGAAGCCGCAGGGATCCAGGGTCTAGGGTCTGAGTTGAGGTAATCCACTTCACATGCGGCGGAGTTCTTATAGCGGCATAAAATAGATCTGGCCAGGGGGCACATTTCAATTGCAATACAATGCGAGGGTTGCAAAGGCAGCTATGTATTAGATTTATACAGTGTACTGTGGAAAGATGTTTATCAAACCGATGACGGGATGTGTCTGGAACACGCCCATTCCAGCCGTCCGATCCTCGGCTATTCGAGGAGTTCAAGTATACCAGCAGCCTGCGATCTACAACCACTCTCTCTCTTCTTCAATTGAAACCTCACTCTTGTCCAGTACCTGATGGAACCGGCTCATCTCCTTTCTAGATCTCTGTATCGTCTTCGTCCAACTATCACTTGCCGATATCTCTTCAAATATTTGCCCTTTTCTTCCCCCGCTTTCCCCGCATCGCGCGCCATGTCGACCTCCATTCAAGCAAAGCTGGACACCCTCCGAAACTACTCTGCCTGTGATGTATGATATAGTCTTCAATCAACCCCAGATCGCAGACTAACTTTGCCTCTCTCTCAATAGGTATCAGACGCCCTCCTCAAACTCCAGAAACCCACCCCGGGATCGGCCCCGCGGGCTGGCCATCTAGCTGACTTCAGTAAGCCTTTATTTCCATTACTCCATCTATACCACGATTAGTAGTCAGGCTAATAGAAACTGGCAGCTCCCTTCTCCCCCACAATCGGCCGCAACACCATAACACCCAAAATCATCGCCCCAGCCTCAACCATAAAATTCATACCCAAATCCTCTAGCCCGCCAGAATCCACACCGGAGCCCAACACTTTCCCCGCAGGAAAGCACTGGGTCGACTGCACCGAGCCCGGCACAATCGTGCTGATCGAACAGCCAGCCGGCCAGCACTGCGCCGTCGTCGGCGGGATCATGGCCGTGCGCATGAAGAGTCTCGGCATTCAGGGCGTCGTTGTGAATGGGCGCATTCGCGACCTCTCTGAGATCCATGCTGCTAATTTGCCGGTTTGGGCCAAGGGGACGTCCACGGTGGGCACTGGGGCGGAGGCGAAGGCCGGTCTGAGGAATGTGAAGATTGATGTTGGGGGCGTGGATGTTGAGCCGGTATATCTTCCTTTTCTTTTCTTTCTTTTCTCTCTCTTGTGGTTTGGCCGGGTTAGCTGATTGAACTTCTCTGCAGGGTGATATTATTTTCTGTGACCCCTTGGAGGGCGTCGTTGCTATTCCGCGCGACTTGCTCGACCAGGTCCTTGAGACTATGCCGAAGCTTATTGCGATGGATGATAAGGTGAAGGAGGCCGTTGAGCAGGGGTCCAGCGTTCAGGATGCTTTTAAGAAATTCCGAGGTTAATTCAGGCAGGCAGTGCGCAAGCTTGATTTGCGAGTACTATATTGACAGTTTATATCTTATCTACAGGCATAGATCTGACGAAACGAATATCTTCACATAACATACAATACATACATACAACCGCAATATACACTATATCATCGCTGCATGACAAAAAGAAGCATTAAATAACAGGAAATCTAATGAATGATGCCAGCTCATTTTTTACTCCCTGACCCAGACAGCAGCCATACCCATACCAGTACCAACGCACATACTGGTAACACCGATCTTCTTGTCCGTGCGCTTCAGCTCCGTCAGCAGCGTGCTGATCTGGCGCGCACCCGTGCAGCCGAGCGGGTGACCGAATGCGATGGCACCACCCTTGGGGTTGATCTTCTCCTGGGGCAGTCCGAGCTCGTTGGCACACCAGACACACTGAGAAGCGAAGGCCTCGTTGATCTCGTAGATGTCGACGTCGTCCTTGCTGATGCCAGCCTTCTGGAGAGCAACGGGGATAGCCTTCCAGGGACCAACACCCATGAGCAGGGGCTTGACACCGACAACGCTGGCGGTGACGAACTTGCCAATGATCTTCTGGCCGAGGCGCTCAGCGGTGGAGCGCTTCATGAGGAGCACGGCAGCGGCACCGTCAGAGATCTGAGAGGCGTTACCGGCGTGAATGGAACCGTCCTTGGCGAAGGCAGGGCGGATCTTGCCGAGAGATTCGGCGGTGATGCCCTCGCGGATGCCGTCGTCGGCCTTGACGGTGATGGTCTTCTCCTCCTCGGTCTTGGGGTCGGTCCACTTGACATCCAGAGGGAGGATCTCCTCGTTGAACAGACCGGCCTTTTGGGCCTTGACGGCCTTCTGGTATGAAGAGGCAGCGAAGGCGTCCTGGGAGGCGCGGGTAATGTTGCGGTCCTTGGCCATGTTCTCGGATAGAACACCCATGGGGACCTTGCAGTTGGCGGACTCTTCGTGGTTCTCAAGCAGGTCAGAGAACTCGGTGACGGCACCGGGGCTATAACATATCAAAGTTAGCCATCTGGTCGTTTCAATAATGGCGGACCTAAACGTGCTAAACTTACCCATACTGAGAAGACATGCTCTCAACACCAGCACCGATACCAACATCGATCATGCCACCCTTGATAGCATTGGCAATATCCACAATAGCCTGAAGACCGCTAGAGCACTGACGGTTCAGACCCTTGACGGCTGTGGATTCAGGGAAGCCAGCCACGAGGGCGGCAGCACGGAACTCCGTAGCACCACCACCGGGGGCAAGGACGGTACCGACTGAGATATCCTCGACAAGGTTGGGGTCAATACCGCTGCGGTCAATCACACCCTTGAAAACACCAGCGAGGATATCAGCGGCAGCGGTGTCCTTGAAACCACCCTTGCCGCCCTTGGTGAGAGCGCTGCGGAGAGCGCATGTTACGACGATATCATCGGGGTTCTTGTCTGTGATCGCGGAAGATCCCTTGGGGGCTCCGATGTGGGAAGCCACCTGAGTTAAACGCTGCTGAGCTGGAAACAGAAAGTCCAGGGTTAGCACCAGCCATCCAGACTGAGAGATAAGAATAAAGCTTACCACCAGACATGATGACGTCAAATTATATGGATGTAGGAAGGGGAATATGCAAGAGAAGATGCAATGCAAAGAGACCACCAGGAGATAGAATAAGATAAAAGGGGATGTCAAACACAGGCAGAGGTCCTTTTTTATAATCGAGAAGAAGCCAACCAAGTGGCTTGTGGTCCCTGGGTCTGCTGGAGTGATTATGTATCCATCCTGTGAAAATGCCGAGGTCTATGGATCATTGTTGTTCCGGCATTGAAAGTCACGAGATCTCAGATGAAGCGAGGAATTCATGTGAAGATGAAGCTGATCATCTGGAGTCTCCGAGATTCTGCGCCTCTCGGGGGAGAGTCCTCTTCGGGACTGGCTTGAATCTGGTCGCTGTCGGTCATGCTCGAGTCCCGATTTTGGCCTCCTGACATCACCTTGATGAGGTGCCGAGTCTGTATATGCCGTTGCTCTTGAACCCGCATTATGCCTTGTTATCGATAAATGCTACATCGGCTGGATCGGTTTCGCAACACTCATGTATCCTATTCTACAGCTGGGCATGCTTTCATCAAACACGACTTGTACATACGGTCTCGTAAAAGATATCCCAGATTTGGCTCCAGTGCTGTCTCTAAACTCGAAACCTGAGCAAGTGTTCGGAAGTGTCCTTCTTTGCATTATATAGCTGCGCGAAACAGCTGTAGGAGCTCGCGAGTTTGGATCATTTATTATGTCCTAGTCATGCCTGAAAAAAGCAATATTTTAAAACCAAAGCCATGCCATGAATCTAGAACAGGATCTATACAAGAAGCGTTGCTGCACTGCGGTGGCTGACGTAACAGGCTAGCTCGGTGTGGTCTTCCGAAAAATAAACTCCACCAACTCAGTCAATACTTCCAACCGTTTCTTATCATTCAACAGCCCCAACAATGCGCAGGCTACCAACAATCCCGGTATTTGCTGCCCCAGCAGTGCGACCAAGTCCATCATGCTCCCCTTTCGCCATCACCAGCAGACTCCAACCGCATCTGCGCTCCGCATTTGTACGTTCATCGGCCCTCTCGCGCCGACCCGACAAGCCAACCACCATTAAACTAACCACGGCCATACCAGAACCCCAACCCGCAAACACCACCCATCTACAGACCCTTCTCGCACACGCCTACGATCTCAAACTCCAAATCCCCCTTCCGCCTCTCTTCAACACCCCAGTCCACACCACCACCCACCGAACCGGACTCCGAGTTCCCCGACAACGACGGCGAATACTACAGCCCCTACAAGCCAAAGCGCCAATGGCCTCCAGATATGTCGAAACTATCCCCGAAACACCAGTTCCGACTTGAGCGCAAATACCGACGGCGCTCGGCGCTCAAATATGCGCGCCCGACGTGGACTAAGGCGACCAAGTTGGTGCAGTGGGGCACTATAGGGTGTATGTATTGTTATTCCTTGGACACTGCTAGTACCCTCGTCGCTTCGGTGCGAGCGAGTATATCCTCAAACGCTTGTATGTGGCTGGCTTTGCTAACATATGCACTACGCAACAGTCGTCATTGTCTACGCCCTATTGTTCATGGAGTGGGATGAGAGAGGTGGGAAGCCGATCGAGGAGGTATGTATACCGTTTCATTTTACTTCCCTTTGCGTGGGATGTGGTTGGTTGTCTAACGGGCTTAATCTACAGTTCCGCGAATATATCTTCGGTACCTTGAAGGGGGCATTCTCGGCTCCCCCGTCTCAAGCGTCCATGAGACGTTCTGAGGAGTCGACGCGGGAGTGAGGTTCTGAGATACTTATTGAACTTGGTGCATATATCCCTCGCGTTTAGCATTGGTAGCAGTATACTCTGCTCTGTATATTATACATACTTCTGTTCAGATTATGATGCCCTAAGTAAAGACTACAAGGTCAAATTCCTCATATTAACAAACTGTTAACTATTTACTGAATCCATACACTGTGCAACCTTACCAACTACGTACAACAAACCAATAAGCTAAGTAAGTCATGGGCGAACAATTCAGTCTAGCGAGACACATGCAACGCAACGCAGCTTAGCGCAATACCGAGAAACGTCATATCAAAAGTCATAATGTCTGTTCAAGAGTGTGAGCCTGAGGAGAGAAATAAATAGAAAGAGAGGGAGAGAGCAAAATAGGCGCCCCGTTACTTCATAAGAGTCATTTCGCCATGGCCGGAACGGAAAACGGAAGAGAGAAAAGAAAGAACATAGATGCACTCAAAAACGCCAAAATGCCAACGCCGCTTCCGAGATGAGTGAGATGTCGTACCCAAATAACATTCTGAGCGGCCAAAAAGGACATGGATAGACAGGGTGAAGGATAATAAAAGGAAGAGATAATGCTGAAACGCCCCCTGAATGGATGGATGATAGATGTAAATGATGATGGTGAGGAGAGCCGTAATGATAGCATCATTACCCGAGAGGATACAGAGTAGCTAGCTCAGAGCCAGTTCCCAATCTGGACACTTTGCTGCGGCGCCAGGTTGCTAGCAGGAGGGACATCAAGAGCTAGGTCGAGCTTTGGAGGCTTGTCGTCCAATCCGCCCTTCTTAGGGCTTTTGAGGGGAGACTTAGTCGGCGATCCGGCGTCCTGCCTAGGAGGTCCTTCGCGAACTACTAGGTGCGGCCATTTGTCTTCCACAGCGGCAGAGATCCATGTTCTGAGACAATCGTGCACGGAGGAATAGAATTTCTCTTTGCAAGTTCTCAGAGTGCCACCCATCACCTTCTCAAAGCCCGAGGCGCGGAGTTCATTTCGAAGTTGGTTTCGCTCATCCACTGTGGGCAAGGACGCTATGAGGCCATTGACTAGATCAATATGAGCAGCAAGGTAATTAGTTGCGTCCCACTCTACTCCGCCTACATAAGGCGCAGCAGGAACAGGGGGGCGAGGAGCAGGGAAGTGGCGCTCGCGGTAGCTTTCAAAGGAGGCCTTGTCCGATTCCACAACTGGAATCACATTGAGATGGTGCAAGAAGATCCAGAACACCTCCTTGGTCACGTTAGATATTTCCTTGCACCATACCCGGTAAGGACGCGATTGGTAAATGTTCGCGATGAAGGATAGGGTCTGGTTTTCCTCCGGCGGGTCTTTTAGGTACGAAAGGATGCGCGAAGTACGAGCTGCTGCATCCTCAGTGGACACTGCTGTTGAGAGCTGGGTGAAAATTAAGTTGATGATGATGCCACGAGTAGTGAACTCGCTGGGCCCCTTCTTTTCCTTGTCGAAAAGCATACTGAGCAGGGCTGGGAAGAGTTCTGCCTCAATGTCGGTCAGGCGCTGCAGAGCTACAGACGTTGTGCAGAGAGCCTTTAGGCACAGCAATGTTTCGTGGAGGAGGTTGTCTTCATGTTCTTCCCTGTTGATGTATTAGCAACTGCTTTTCTAGATATTCCAAAAGGTATACACATACCTCCACTCAACTTTCATGATTCGATAGACAAGCTGTACTATCTCATCCATACCCCCCTCAGCAATGAAATCATCAACCCAACTAATCGTCTCATTACGGAGCAGAATTCGAAGCTTGTGTATTTTCCCAACTTCGATGATCTCGGGCTTCTGAATCTCTTTGAGATAGTGAACAAAATCCGATGGGTCAGTGGCGGTGTCGCGGTGAGCTGTGGCTGCGAGCGACGTTGTGGATGCATTGGGTGTCAATATCTTAGACAACCCGTTAGGGGCGGTAAAATCAGCAGACTTCGGGCGTCGGTGAGAGCTGCCGCTCTCTGGACGTGGCTTCTTGGAAGGCGACGATGAGTTGCCCCTGAAGGTGAATCCTCGACTTCTGGACCGCGAGCGAGATCCCTTGCTGTCATAGCTGTCGTGGCCCTCCTTCTTTTCATTTCCACGGCCCCGACGGCTCGAACCTTCGTTTGTGCAGCTACTCGCACTAGCACTGTGCGGTGTAGTGCTCTCGAGCTTGTCCTTTTGGATGAAATCAGCTTTGATATTTGTATCCAGGGATCGCATCTTGTCCCTCATGTTGTGAGGAATGTTTCTCGCATCCTGCATCTCAGTTAGTCTGAAATCCGAGCCGTTAGGGACATCATGGGTATACTAACCAGGAGCTTCTCGAATTCGCTCTCAAGGTCCTTAGCGTTGAGGCGCTTGTGCAGCTCAACTTCACGCTCCTTTGCATTGAAGGCTGAGATCACCTCTTGCACACGTGAGGATTTCTTCGGGCTTCCCTCAGACTTCAACTCTGTCTCAGGGCGAGCATCAGGAGTTGAGAGGCCCCTGCGTCTTCTGTATTCCGACTTGACTGAAGGCGATTCCGGCTGCAGATCGACGAGGGACTGTTTACTCGAGGAAATACCTTGGAAAGGCCCCAAAAGATCCCTCATCTTGCTCCCCCCTGCAAAGTAATCCGATTTCGGGCGAGGCTTTGCGCTGGTTCGACTTGTCAGGGATGGTTGGTGATAGTCATAGAAGTTCCGCTGCTGAGCAGGACTGTAGCCCTTTGGCGTGTAGAGCGAGACCTCCTCTTGCAAGGTTCTCCGCCTGTTGCTGTGTGCTGGCGAGGGTTCATCGCGGACTGATGGCGTCGGCGTCGCATACTGGGTCCAGATGGGGGACGGTAAATTGTCCGCAGGATCAGTAGGGCTTCGATTTTCTTTGTCCCGGACGTCCTTGACTTCGTCGCTTTTGCGCCCGTGCTGGGATCGCTTCAAGATAGCCGTAAAACTGTTGGTGGACTTTGCCTTCTTCGGTTTGTTGCTCGGGTCTTCGGAGGGCTTCTCTGGCTTGCGCTCCATGTATGTTTTGAGAGACTTGAGAGACACAGCGCTCTTTGTCTTCTTGTGGAGTCCGCCATTCCCGATCTTGCTGGGAGATCCGGGGTAGAACGCTCCGCTATCAGGTACGTCATGGTTGGGGACAATCTCTCCCAGCGGTCGTTGATTCACGGGGGCATATTGGCGATCTGCTGGTGAGACAAATGACCCTGTTGTCCGACTTGTTGGTAGCTTCGTCGACGCCGTATCATCGGCAGATTGGTTTCTTCTATGGCCTAGGAGGGCTCGAAGGACGGAGGGTTTGGTCGGAGAACGAGGCGCGTCTTCGAAAATGGCCGGCGCCTGCGTGGTTGGAGCCATGACCTATGTCGCTCTTGACCTTGAGGAGTAAACATTAGCATCTGAATTCCAGTTGTAGTGGACCGGTAGATTCACTTACAATGAGCCAATTCAATAACAAGGGCTGGTGCGGACACAACGAAGAAAAAGATGCAAAAGAAGTTCAAGGTGAAGTAGAAGAAGAAGTAGAAGGAACAAAAAGACTCAAACAAATGCAGAACAAGACGCAAGTTTAGATGCAAAAGACATTGAACATTGAGCAAAAGCAAAAGCAGAGGAATGCAGCGTTGGGGGCCAAGCAGGAGAAAGAGCAGTTACCGCAGGGAGCCGTGAGCGGGCAACAAGGGAATTTGAAGCCTTCCAAAAAGTCGAAGGAGGACAACAAGAGTGATCTTCGTCCGTTGCCTGAGCCAATCTGCCGACGCCACTGCAAAGCTAGCTGCGACGTGGGTGGACTGAGCGAAGCGGAGGAGGTAAACACAATGCGGGCGTGGAGGTTGCTGGGGGCAACACCTCTAGCTGCCGGGGATGGCCATCAACGGTCCAGCCTAACTTTATCCCATCGAATAATCGATCAATATTCCAGTCACTCGGCCATCGCTCGACTCCAATAGCGGGTCAATCGTAACACGATGGCGGGGTTGGTTCATCGCTGTTCGTCCTGTCGCTTGAAGCGGGCAACATGATATAATGCAGCGCCATGCCAGCGAAAATGATCCCCGGTGACTCTGCAGTTGCTGAAGAGATTCATCAGTCCGGAAGGCAAAAAAAAAAAGCAATTTGTGAAATACCTGGCCATGGGGCATGAGCAGTACCAACAATAGCCAAGTTTCTACGGAAACTCCCAAAATGAAGTTGTATTGGAGGATCTGGTGGGAATCTACAGCTCTGGTCTTGGAGAACACAAGTTCTTCTGCATTGATGCCTTACTCTGCACTCTCAAGATCTAGACCGTGCTTTGATTGCGGGGAAGAGCTCGTTGGCCAATGTCTGACTATTGCCAGCACTGGATAAGAATATATTCTCGTATGTCATAGGCAATCTGAGTGATGATACATCCTGATAGACAAAACACTGTAAACATGTCACAAAAAAAAAAAACAAAAAAAAACAAATAATCTTCATAAATGTAACGCAAATGCAGGACACCGGATATGCACATTTCCTATTGTCATGATCGTCATGAATCTTAAATCTTGAGTATCGCTCCATGCAAATGCTTTCTGCGATGCAGCTCTAATAGCCATCGCCAACCCAAACCGAAATGCAAGGTCTAAAAAGGCGGTAAAAAGAAGGAAAGAAAGATAAAAGTGGGGGTGGTAGAAAGTTAATAATGCATAGTTTGAATGTTAGTAAGTCAGTGTGCAGTGATAGCTGCCTTGATCATGCCCTTGAGTCTCGTAGCTGCACTGGGTGGTGGCGGAGTTGGTTCACGTCTGCGACGGTGACGACGTCGACGCTCGGGCTCAGGGTCGCCTCTAGAAGATCTGGGAGCTTCTTCCTGATGCTCAATCTGTTCTGGCGCTTCGATAACTGCCTCGGACTGTCTTCGAGCCTTTCGTGCTTCCGCCCGAGCTGGGTCTTCCTCCCTGCGGCGCGTCCCACTCGACCGCTCCATGGAGCCTCTTCCTTCAGTCAAATGACGCTGACCGTGAGAATAGCTGCCGTGGGAATGACTGGTGGACGAGCGCCTACGCGGCTGGTCGACAACGTTGGCCATTGCCTTGGTGGCGTCGACTTTGGGAAGGGGGTTATTGCTCGACACCTCCTCATCGGAAGGGTTGTATTTCAAGAAGGTCCGGGGCTTAGGAACAGTCGACTGCGAGTGTCTTGACGAAGAGCCCGCAGTAGTGCGGTCACCATCACGGCTGCCGGAGCTTCTTTGGCTGGACTTCCTGGGTTCGGATTCCCGCTCTCGAGTGCTACTAGATCGCTCAATTCGCTTCGATCGTTCGCCTTTTTCTCGGTCCGCATCAATCCGATGGAGTCGCTTCAACTCCCTTCTCGATTTTTCCTCATACTGCCTCCTCGACTCGTCCAGAGCCATTAACCACCTCTGGCTCAGCTTGTTACTGGCCATCCTCTGTGGAGCTGGAGCTGGAGCTGGAGCTGGGGCAGTAGCCACCGTAGGTGCATGTCGGGAACGCCCTTCTGAAGAGCTCTTTGAAGGTCGTCGGTCGTCACGATCATCGCGAGTGTCAGCTACGTGTGATCGTCTTCTTCTTCGCCGTGAACGCTCGTGGACTTCTGCAGCAGCATGAGCGAACCGGTCTCCCGGCGTTGCACCCCCACCAACTTCGGCTGAAGTCTCGGGAACCAATAGTGTCCCGGGCGACGGCTCCCGATCAAAAGTATACGTTTCGTTGAAACCTCGTCCACGCTCGTTGACAGGCTCCGCAGTGGGCTCATCGGCTGGTGCTCTAGGCACCGCCTCAACGATGTCAGCTGGAACAGGGACCGGATCGTTGGCTGGAATCTCCGAAACGTCTATATCCCTAGGTGCATCTTCAACAAGGAAGTCCTCAACTGGTACTGGCGGAGCAGGCGGAGCAGTCTCTTCAACCGCTGGAGCTGGCTCAGCGACTGGCTCTTCAGCTGGAGATTCAACAACTGCAGGCGCTGCGGCAGGTTCCTCCACGACCGGTGGTTCTTCAACTGGAGGCTCCTCAGCAGGAGCTACAACTGGAGGCTCTTCTACAGGGCCTTCGTCGGGCACCTCTCTGGTAGCCTCAGGTTCCGGCTCTGCTTCTTCAACCACCACGGGCTCAGCTAGGGCTGGCTCCTCAACTGGCTTTTCCTTGGGAGCCTCTGTCACGGGTTCCGCTTCAACAGGTGCAGCTGGCTCGGGGGTCTCTTCTGCGGGCGCCGGTTCCTCCACTGCTGGTCCAGGAGTCTCCACAATAGTTTCACTATGCGCCGCGGGGGCTTCAGGCTCTACTGCTGGAGCTTCTTCCGGTGCTGGTTCTGCTGGAGCAGGCTCTTCTGGCGCAGGCTCTGCTACAGGCTCCTCCGCGACGATCGGCTCTGGGGCTACTTCGGGAGCAGCCTCAGGTTCCGCTGCTTCGGCCGGAGCTTCGGTTTCGACGGGCTCAACACTCCTCGCTGTTTCATCAACGGGTTCGGCTGCCACTTCCTCGACCTTAGCTTCCTCGGCCGGTGCAGTTTCAGCGGCCGGCTCCTCAGTCACCTCAGGCTCTACCGGCGCGGTCTCGACTGGCTTTGGCTCCGCTTCGGGGGCTGCTGCAGGTTCTTCGGCCTGTTTTTCAATAGGTGACTCTGGGGCTTCGTCAAAGTCAATCAGCGCATCTGCTTTCCGGGAAGCCTCTTCTGCTTCAAGTTCGGCGTCCTTTTCCGCTTGCTGCGCAGCTGCTTCCTTCTCTGCCTCGACCTTATCAAATCCTGCCTCAGGATCACACTCAGGGAAATCGTCTTCTATAGTATTGTCAGCATGTTGTCCATTTTGTCGTCAGATTGGTATGTACCGTCGGTGGTTCCTTCGGTGGGTCTGTCGGGGAGTTGCTCACTAGTTTTGTCGGCGGGTTCTGTCTCTGCATGCTCTGCTGGCGATTCTTCTACTACCTCAGGGGCCGGTTCAGCTGCTGGCGCTTCGTCCGTTGCTGCGGCAGGTTGATCTTCTTGGATCGGTTCCTGGACCGGCTCTTCAGTTGGCTGTTCTGCAGGTTCCGCCACTGCTTCCTCAGCCTTGGGGGCCTCTGGCGCGGGTTGCTCCACCGTCTCCTTAGGCTTTGATTCTTCAGCTGGCTCACTAGGTTCTGGGGCAGCAGCGGTTTCAGGCTCAGCCTTAGCCTCCTCGTCGACTGGGTCTGCGGGCGGTGCAGATTCTTCACTTGGTGCGTCGGCGGGAGCCTCATCTTCTACCGCGGCCGGCTCTTCTGCAACGGGTTCTGGAGCAGCTGGCTCCTCGACTGGCTCTGCAGCCGGCGTATCTTGTTCAGTGGGTTCCTCAGGAACCTCAGCCGGCGGTTCGACAGCCTTGTCCTCGCTCAGCTCCTCAGCCGGAGCTGGTGGCTCAGGGGTGGGATCCTCAGCGGGAGCGGCAGCAGCAGCCTGTTGGCCCTTCTTCTTCTTCTTCTTGTCCTTCTTCTTCTGCTTTGAATTTGCAGGCTTGGTCTCCTCTTCGCTGGGCACCACCGCAGGGGCTGGCTCCTCGGGAGACTCAGCCGGTTGTTCAACGGCCTTATCCTCGCTCGCTTCTTCAGCTGGCTTCGTTTCCTCGACTATAGCTGGCGCCTCAGGCGCAGGTTCCCCGACAGGAGCTGCTGGAGGCTCCGCTGTAGATTCCTCAGGCGTAGGCTCTTCAGGTGCAGGTTCTTCAGGTGCAGCTTGTTCAGGCGCAGGCTCTTCAGGAACAGGCTCTTCGGCAGGGGCTGCTGAAGGTTCCACTGGGGTATCTTCCTCCTTCGTAGGAGTAGGTTCCTCAGGCGCAGGTTCTTCAGCAGGAGCTGCCGGAGGCTCTGCTGGAGTATCCTCCTCTTTTGCCGGGACAGGCTCCTCATCAACAGCAGCAGCAGCCGCTTGTTGGCCCTTTTTCTTCTTCTTATCTTTCTTCTTTTTCTTTGAATTTCCAAGCTTAGCTTCTTCTGCTGGTGGCTCGGGAGCAGGTTCTTCTACCGCTGGCTCCTCGGTTGCCTCTGCTGCTGGCGCTGACGCTTCCTCCGTCACTTCTGGCGTAGTCTTTTCCCCCTCGCCGGATGTTGGAGGATCCTGATCAGCTGGTTCTGCTGCGGATGTGTCTGCTGGTGCTGTTTCGGCGGCGGGCTCTGTTGTTGCCTCTTCTGCCGGGGCTGGTGTCTCCGTTTCTGGAGTAGACTCTGTGGGAGGGGCTTCCGGTTCGCTCGTTTCGGCAGCAGGCTTTTCGGCCTCTTCAGCTGGAGCGTCGGCTGGCTTCTCTTCGCTAGGTTCTGGCGCCGGGCTCTCCTCAGCAGGTGCCTCTTCGGCGGTAGGTTCAGCGGGGGTAGCCTCTGCTTCAGCAGGTTCTCCGGCTGGCGTCTCAGCAGGCTCAGAAGCGGCTGGCTCTGCCTGTTCGCCCGTTTCAGCTGGAGCTGGCGCTGCTTCCTCTGTTGAATTCGTTTCTGGCTTTTCTTCGCCAGATTCTGGAGAGTCTGCCGGCTTGTCTGCCTCAGAGGGTTCTGTGCCCTCGGCTTTGGGCTCTTCTACCGTATCAGGAGGCGTTGTTGCACCCGATTCAGCTGTATAATATTAGTATACTAAACTAGGGCCGATAAAAGCGATCTAATACGTACCGGCTGCTTCTGTCGATGGAGCATCGTCCGTAGAACTACTTGGTTCATCTTTTTGAGTGCCTTCCGGGGCCTGTTCCTTCTCAGCTTCGGGAGACTCCGTCTTGTTGTCCTGATTATCAGTCGTCAGAATATCCGCAGATACAGGATGGTATGAAAACTGAGCCGTAGAACGGTCGAAAGTCTGATAACGAAATTCACCCCCAAAAGAGTGATAATTATACGTGGGGAGCTGTGCATACTGGATCGGGGACGCCATTTTCCTCGGTTTCCGCCGGGTCGGCCGCGGGAGTGGAAACCTCTGGATTGTCGTCACTTATCGGGGCCCTTCCTTTGGCGTTACTGCTCTTCTTCTTATTGTTCTTCTTTTTTGCCATCGCAAAGAGGTCAGGCGCGAACCTCTAAAAATATGATAGGTTCGGATGGGCTGGGGGTTAAAATGCGAAGATAATAAATCAATGAGACGTCAGATCACAGACGCTTGTGCAATCGTCGATTCAGGGGGGGTTGCTCGGGTACTGGGATGAGGAGTCAATTGCAAAAAGGAAAAATATGAGGCGACGAGACAGATGAGAATTGGGATGTGAGAGCAAAAAGATATTGGATAGCAGGGTTCGACAGATTGCCCATGTAGCTAGTGGACCGAGAGGAACTAAAAGGAGCGGGAGTCCCGTCTATCCGCCAACTGCAGTGAGGTCCCTTTGACAACCAACGCGAGGCGACGTATCGCAGTTCGTTTAGCACCCAGTTGTTTGGGAATCACCCCCCGAATCGCCGAGATTTGGGCTTGAGACTGAGGATGTCATCGACGAACTACCCAACGGCATTTGGTCTCATTGGGCCACGTCTCGCAGGCCCATGGCGCCGTGGGCCGATTGAGAAAGAGGATAATGGCCCCGCTATTTGGGAGCATTCCCACAAAGTGCAATTGGGGAAAAACCAGTGGGCATTAGCCTGCATGAAGGCCTGCAGTAGGAAAAATAGTGGCCGAGGGGTTGGCTTCACTGCGGTGATACGGCGATATTGGGCACGGTGTGCGTGGTCTTAGTGGGGGTGCACCGCTTTGTGTTGCTACGATTGTCTTGAGTTGACTTGGGCACCTGCCTCTTGCTTTTTCGAGTCCGCCATCAAGAGGGGCTGGGCCAACAGCTGGTTACGCGGTGTTGACAGTTTGAAAGTCACGAGTCAGACCCGACAAAGATTGCCCTGTCGCAAACCTTGAACCGCGGATCAATTGCAGATGGATTGATCCTGTCAAGCCGGTTCATACTCCTGTACCTGACACAGCCGGGACAATTCGCCGACGAGGGGTGGGAAGACCAGCAATGGGAGGACAGTCGGACCCCTCGACTCCTAACTCCTAAGCCTTGCAATCGATAATTTTTGCATCTGTCAACATTGATGCTGTGTTAATTAATCTCCACCGACAATGATATCTGCCCAACAACACCTGTTTCGGCGAGCGACAGGCGATTTCCCGGTGGCTGGCCAGCAGCAGGGGTGCGTGGAGCTAGCACCAGGCCTTCACCGGGAGAGTCTCAAATTGGGACGAATATTACCCGGAATCATGGCGTTGAAGTTAGCGCAGCACCAGCAGAGACAGCGGGATGCAAACTGATGATTATTTTCCGGCCTGGAGTTGTGCTTGGGGCGTGGAAAGAAGATGGAGAGCAATCTTGGAACAAATCACCGCCCCACGTCGATCACAGCACCACCGGCCATCTCCAGTGCCCACTCTCTCATCCACAACCACACCGACCACCGCCCACCGACTTTCTCAGAGCCGTGGACAGCCAAGCGACTGATGACTCACTCTGCGGTCTGCGCTGAGACTCTTACTCAGCTTTCAGGCACATTGTGAAGTGGAAATTGGACCCAATCCGATCAGCGTTACAACACTTCCACGCAGACGATGAGATGGCCTCGATATCGACCGAGGTTGTCAAGGAGGAAATCCGCAGTGGCACCCTCGCACAAAGTGAGGCGAGACTCGCTGTCATGGCAGCCGGTCAGTGGTCGTCTCTGGCATCTGCATGCAAACTATCTGGTGCATTGGAGACCCTCGTCATAATTAATTTTAGGACTCGGCCCAAGAACCCTGAGAGAAGCTCTTGGCTTTAGGGCCTTTGCTCCTTCCGTCCTGTTGCATTCCATACATACTCCATGCATAGATAGGGGATTTTGGCGGACACGCATTGCGGAGGCGAATACCATGCACTTTCCACGTTAGCCCTCTGGGTGCCCATCACTTCTGATCGACTTGTTAGCTGTCTGAGAGGAGACTCCAATGCCAACAGGCGGAAACAATGGAGATTTAGCAACGCATTCGTGTTCGTGGAAGGCCTGAACATCAGCATTCGGGTCACAATGACATCAGACAGGCCTCTTCGACCTCGTTTCGTCGACGCGTATCTTTGTTGATGTGGTGCGTCAAATCAACTGATCTCTTTTTCCTTTCTATGTACTCGGTGTCATAGCTTCTACCCTGTGATGGCCAACGCTGTGAATTAGATGGGACTAAAGGCGGAGGCTACCTGGGCACTTAGGAATGCGCAGTGAGCAGTGCCTTACTATTGCCATATTCCCGCCCTCTATATTGCCTCGGGATCAGCCTGACCCATGCACGAGATACTTGTGGGTTCGTAGTCTCTATTGCACGCATCATCGAAGAGAGTAGGTAGCACCTGTCTCTAGCTGGGCATCCGACGCGACAACCAAGCATTGCTTTCCATAATTGAGCAAAACCTAGAGCAAAGTAAGCTTTTAAATGAAAACCTTCGAGGCTTTGAACATTCCAATTGCAAGCCTGACTTCTAGTCTCAACTTGTTACTCACCGTACACATTGAAACCTAGTTTGGTGGCCCATATATACTTTTGTATGTGGTCGAATATTCTATGAATGGTTCAAGACAAAGTTGAAATCCCCATAGCATAGTTAAATAGCTCATCTGAATTCAATGTGGATAAACCCGCATTCCTCTGTTTATTTGGTGTCCCACCTCCTCACATTCCTATCAAAATCCCGCAGCTCATCCAGGAATGCTGGATCTCGACGATGTATAAATTCCAGAGAACAACCATCTTTTTCAATGCCGTCCATTATATACTGCCTCGTCATACATTCTCCTCTCCCTCTCTCTCTCTCTCTCAAAAACAAACCAAAGAAATCAACCAGTTTCATCTTTCAAACCATCCAAAATGAAGCCAACAACAGCCCTCTTCCTAACTCTCTCTCTCATCGCCGGCACCACATTCGCCGAGAAGACATGCACACCCAGCTTCGACTACTGCGCCGATGAACTAATTGACTCAAAGGGTATGCCTGCACCACCCTGACTAGCAGTCTAACTCCCGGGATGCTAGTATAAATATAACTTAACAACCCACCTACTAACCAAAACTCCTCCCTACAGGTTTCACAAAAGATGACCTCAAATCCTCCCTCAAGGGCTCCGAGTACGAGGACGCAGACCCGATGAGTATTCTGTACCACTGCACGAACCCGGGGGCAATTGGACACCCGAAGCTCTGTAAGGATGGGTGTAAGGGTTCGGGGTCTGAAGGAAGCAAGAGTTGCTAGATGGCCTTTACTTTTTTGGAGTGTAATCTTGGTTGAGGAGGTGTGGCCATTCCGGCTGGAGTGGGTTGTATCTACTATACGTTTACTTGTCACTGCTAGCATGGTTAGGAATTGGTCTTCATTTTCCAGCTTTTAGGGTTTCCAGGGCCCCGATGTTGTCCATGATATGGCCCTCTCTGACGAGGGTTTAGATGCATAAATAAGTATAACCTCGCTGCCAGGCTATAAGTATAGACCTGGGTTACGGATAGCAGACCAGGAATGTGGGCGATGGAATGAGTTAGGGCTGAGATGGATCCTAGATTCTCCTCCAATATGGATGATTAATGAACAGCTACCTTAGTAAGGATATCATGCACAATTATAACCCTACTAAGGTCTTTATACGAAGATCTAGGCGGCCTATAACACCTTTGATTCCATTAACCCAGTTGAAATTCACTACATAAACAATTTGCTGCCTAATAAGTGTAGAGGAACCGCGGGTTATGCTCTCCAAGCTCCTCGGCCTCTTCCTCCGTCATGCCCTGGACCCTGTAATCCTCCTTTCCGTCCATCTTTCTCCTGTTCTGGCGACGGAACCATGCCCAGAAGGCCAAGTAAATCAGTGCAGCCATAGCAACAAGACCCATCGAGACTGCATGGCCCTTGACGAAGCGGGGCCCTTCGTTTGTTTTGTATAGCTGTAAGAAAGCATTATTAGCAAGGGTAATCTTTTTAAAAAACAAGTAAAAGAGAGAAGACTCACGAATGGAGCTGGAATTCCGGCAGAATTTCCAATAGTAAGTTGCAGGCCAGTAGCCACGGTACGCTTTCCGTACCGAGGATTGTTGCTGGGAAGCCACGCAAGTGGAAGACCGACAATCACGTACAACCCCATGGCCGAAAGGAAGCAGCCAAAGTACTTGACGCCTCCTGGAGCCGGGCTCACAAGGATAGCATATCCAGCCGCGCAAGTCAAGCCGAATATCACCGTGAATATAGCGCGTCTCTGGAACCGGTCAGAGAACCACGCAACAACAAGATAACTGATTGCGCCTAGCGCGTAACAGGGAATAGTGAGTGCCTGGACCTCTGCGTTGCTCCAGTCACCGAGGCCCTGGATAATGGTAGGCAGGAAAGTCGAGTATCCGTAGAGGATGGTATCTCCGCCAAACTGGCCAATGGTGAACAGCCAGATTTTCCAGTCCAGGAGACCTTCATACACGTCTTTCTTGTGCATCTGGTCGGAGGACTTGGTGTGTCCGATTTGGCGGCGCATGCGGAGATCGATCAGCTCGCGCTCTTGCATGGTGAGGTAGTGAGCGGTGTCGGGCGAGTCGGCTAGCCAGAACCAGGTCGCGATTCCAAGAATGAATGTGGGGATTCCCTCGAGGATGATGATCCAGCGCCAGCCGCGAAGACCAGCGATACCGTCCATGTAGCCGATACCGTAACCAAGAAGACCGCCTACCGATCCAGCGATAGCAGCGGATACGAAGAGATAGCCGATTCGCAGGGCATATTCACGCTTCGTGTAGAACATGGTCAGATAGATGGTAAGACCGGGGAACAGGCCACCTTCCAGCGCTCCGAGGATAACACGGCAGGCGACCAAGCCCCCATAGCTCTGCACAACTCCAGTCAAGGTGGCAACAACTCCCCAGAATGTGGTGATAAACGCAATCCAGCGAGATGGTCTAAATCGCTTGATCACTAGGTTGGAGGGTAGCTCTGACAGAATATATGTGACGAAAAGAATCGAGACTGCGACTTGGTACTGGTCGCCCACTAAGCCGAGATCATCCTCCATCCCATACAACCGCGCATTGCCGATGTTGACGCGGTCTAGGAAACTGAGGAGGTACAGGAGCATGACGGGTGGAACAATCCATAAGTCGAGTTTGCGGAGAAGAGCCTTCTCGACAGTAGGGTCAATGTAGATGTCATGATGGTCGGCGGCCTGCTGGTCCTCGACCTCTTTTTCGGGGAATTTGTCGGATAGCGACGACATGGTGGCAAAGCCAAGGAGGAATTAGAAGAGGAGGGAAAATGTCAAAAACGTGGAGGGCGAAGGACGTTTTATGTTTTTTTTATGGGCCTCGAGCCTCCCGGTTCTCGCTACCCCGGATCTGGAGGCGATAGCCAGATAATGCAGGCGTTATTATCAGGTAACAGCTTCTCTGCAAGGTCGGGGTAAAAGCTTAGGGCTCCACGACCCCAAACCAAGCACGGTCAAGACGCGGAATCAACGTGGGTCAGCTGCCGGTCTGGGGAGGAGTTGCCGATGGCGATATCTCGACCAGCGGTTCAGGGGCGACCGGTAACTCGAAGGTTGCCGGCTGGCCTGGATATCCGCCAATGGTGGTGAGGACTGTTCCATCATCATCGTATCATGCCGTCCCCAAACTGCCTATCTTTACGGAGAAGAATATCCAGATCAACGCGATAAGCATTCTATCATGCCATGCTCGGACAACCCGGTAATGCATGCACGCTTGCCGGCCTTAGTACGTACTTGAATGACTCCGCGAAGTCGGTGCTTAAGCCTAATGGCATTCAGGCATTTTACCTCGGGTGGTTAGATATGCAACAATATCTATTTGCCGTGTTAAAATCCAAAGAGAAATTGCTCTTCAATCTCGGAAGCAAAATCTTTCAGCGTCCCGTCCTCGGAGAAGACAGTGTCCATCCACTGCACCTGGGTTCCGTCTAAGAAGCTACCGATCAAGGGGTTTGCAAGGACATCAATGTTGTCATAATTGAGCGCTCCTGCTCCCTCTACTCCATTCTCTATGCTCGTTGGGGTATGGAATATCTGTTCCTGAGCCGTGGTGACATCTGAATGTCCTCCCATTCCACCAGCTACCGGCTGTGCCCTCGCAGGAGGTATGTCAATTTCCACCGCGTCAAAGCGGCCCAGTGCTCGTAAGGTAGATACTCGCGCCTGGATGTGCGATAATCTCTCGCAGAAATCGACTGCAGGGATGTTTCCGTCGTTCTTCAACGACCGGAGCGCGCTGAGCAATGTCTCAAGGTGATCTGAGTTGACGGCAGTTGGCTTCATCATGGCTGACATGATGAGGATCATTGCCGCTGAAAAGATGTGGTGGGCATCCCAGTATCCAAATGTAGCGATTGAACCATCTAGGAATAGGCTCTCGACGATATGGCTTGACGCCTGCGCTGCATTGACACAGCTCTCTGCCAGTGCAAGAGTAATAGACGAGACACTCTGTCGCGGTGTCACATCCTCTCTAATTCTAGAACCTAGTTGGAATTGCATTTTGAAGAGGTGAAGGAGGACGGGGCGGGTAGTCTGAATGATGCACTGGTTATACGCGAGATGGAGACTTGCAACGGGCCGAGGCGTGCCTCGCTCTTTGACACGCATTTCAGACGGCAGCTCATCGTACCATGCACGGAGTTGTTTTAATATGCTATGCACTTGGTTGATATAAAGCCCCTTTGTGGCCTTCGGTATGCCATAAATTTGGGTCACTAGGGAAGACAAGGTATAAGTCAGAGAGCCCAGCGATAACATGTATTGGTGACGAAGACTTACGGATATTTCCAATGATTCGAGCTAGCTTGATGTTAATCACGAGATTCCGAGGGTCAAGGAATTCGGCCATCTCGTCCTTTGTCAACCCATCCATACTCGGCATCTCAACGTCGATGTCCTCATCCCTCACAGCAATGGGCTGGCCGAGTTTTGAGGCGGAAAACCGATCGAAGAAGTAGAGAACCCACCATGTCCGCCGCCGGCTCTCTCGTTCAACTGGTGTAAGCGTGGTATGCCTCGCGGCTGATCTATGCATTCCCAAGCTTAGGGCAAGTCTCGTGGCTATCCCACTGTAACAATATGCGGTTCTAATACGACCGAGGATGTTGGATGACCACGCCTGTAAAACTTGTTAGCTGATCCTCGGCCATGGAAGGAGGTTTCTTCTCACCAAAAGTGTCAGAACCTCTACTTGCATTAATGAAGGCTCTTCGTAGTAATCCAGGTTTTCGTGCAACAGGTGGACTGCCCTTATATAAAAGTCTGTGCCCGGAACACTGTTGCTATCACCGACTCCTCTCTTATGCGTATATATCTCTCCCAGGGCTACAAGGGCATAAAACTTGCAAAGCCATAGCATTGAAGGTATAAGTTCTCTTCGGTAAACTGCGTCAATCTCCCTCATGAGCGTAACCTCAAGGAAAAGTGGATGGTAATTCCCAATGAACCGGCGCGCCACATTCAGCAATAGCTTAACATGCATCCGCTCGGGGAGATCAACACCCTGGGGCATCGGTATCCTACCACGTGTGTTAAGACGATGATAGTTGGATAGACCCGTCGTTGACGGGGTGTAGGTGTCGTCGAGGCACTGTAGGAGCCGGTTGCTGAAAGCAGCGCATGATGCTTCCCCAATGAAACCTGGTTCTAAAGACCGTTCATGGACGGGGTGCTCTGACTGTCTGTCAAAGAGAGGATTGAACAGGTTACTCTCCTCTTTAGACAGTGGCGGAGAATCATCTTGATCTTCGCTGTCAATTAAATGAGGGTTAACGTTACGCTCGCTCCCTAACGCTGGGCTTCGGTTGACGAGGGCCCTTAACCGTCGATTTTCTTCTTCAAGTCTGTTGATATAGCTGCAGGCAAAATTCAATCAGTCTGAGTTAACTTGGAGACCTCAACCTACAAACCTTTCTGATACTCGGATTTGTCGTTCTTTCGCAGGGAACTGGCATGCTTCAGCCCTCCCGGTAGACACGCATCCCTGACATGGCTGCTCCCCGGAACATTTGATTTTCTGCGAGTGACATCTATGGCAGCTGCATTAAGTCGCATTAGAATGTTTCAACCAGCTGGAACACGCATGGAAAATCAGCAGTGCTCACGCTGCAAGGAGCCGCCTTGGACGTCCCGGTCTTGTTCCCCGGCCACTCATCCAGGCCGCGATGGTCTATCCTTTCCCAGTAACACTCGACTAGCCGCACAATCGCAATTTCGCGGCATGTAGAAGTAACTGTGGGGTCCGGGGTAACGGCTTGATGGTGATGGACAATTGAGAGTTGCCGGTCGGAGTGTTGGGGAAGAGTGGCGGCAGCCGTCACGGTACCGACCAGATCTTCGGCATCTTGAACTTTGCCGAGTCGACCAATTGGGTTATCGAGACCTCCGGCTCTCCAACTTCCCCACACATCGGAGCTTCAACGCCGCGGCGTCTTGGATATAAACTGGAGGAGTCGTGGAGGTGCCGAGTCATGTTGTCGCTTCAATCCTACCTTCTTTACCCTCTCCCTCACACTCCTCTCCCATAATCACCACCTCGCCACCTTATCTTCCTTCTCTTTCCCCGCCTCCATCTCTTCCATCTACAAACTTTCATAATGGCAACCCAAGGTATCCGAATCGCCATCGACCGTGGTGGTACTTTCACGGACGCCTGGGCTGAGGTACCTGGACGCAAAGAGCACATCGTCTTCAAAATCCTCTCAGTATGCCCCGATGAATACGACGATGCCCCAACAGAATGTATTAGACAGATTCTCGAGACTGCGTCGGGAACATCAATACCCAAGGGATCATTATTAGATCTTGAATCTATTGAGTCTATCCGCATGGGCACAACAGTCGCGACCAACGCCTTACTAGAGCGAAAAGGAGACCGTGTGGCCTTCCTAGTCACAAAGGGCTTCCGAGACATCCTTCTTATCGGAAACCAAACCAGACCCAACCTGTTCGATCTCTCTGTTCAGCGGTTAGAGCAGCTTTATGAGTCTGTGGTAGAGGTCGACGAGCGTATCACTATCGAGGGCGCCAGCGAAGCTCCGCAGGCGCAAGATAAGCCTATCGATGTCTCATCAGATCCAGCACTGGCCATGGGCCAAACCGGGGAGGTCGTGCGAATCATGAAGAAGCCGGATTTGACTGCTGTCCGTGCTGACCTTGAGAAGCTCAAGGAACAAGGCTTCAAGAACATTGCTATTGGCCTTATGCACTCCTATACATATCCAGAGCACGAGCTCCAAATCCAGAAGATCGCCGAAGAGATGGGCTTCAAGGTCTCCGCTTCCTCCGTTCTGCAGTCCATGGCCAAATTTGTTCCTCGAAGCCAATCGGCTGTTGCGGACGCGTACCTTACTCCTATGACTTTTGCTTACCTTGACGGTTTCCGCAAGAATTTCAAGGGTCAGTTAGAAGATAAGAGTGCAAACAAGCTTCTTATCTGTCAGTCAGATGGTGGGCTTACAAGCTGGTCCAAGTTCACTGGCTTGAGGGGTGTTTTGAGTGGGCCTGCTGGTGGTGTCGTTGGACTGTCGAGGACATGCTACGACGATGCTGACGGCACGCCTGTTCTAGGCTTTGATATGGTATGTAGAATATATGTTTTTTTTTCCTTCTACATCCGTGATTCTAACGATTTTTTACAGGGTGGTACTAGCACAGATGTTGCCAGGTACTCTGGCGCTTTGGAGCACATCTTTGAGAGCACCCTAGCAGAGGTTACTATTCAGACTCCTCAGCTGGACATTAACACTGTTGCTGCTGGTGGTGGTTCTATCCTGGCTTGGGAGAATGGGCTTCTCAAGGTTGGCCCAAGCAGTGCTGGCGCCAATCCAGGGCCTGCTTGCTATGGCAAAGGAGGCCCTCTAACTGTCACTGACGCCAACTTCCTCCTGGGTAGAATTATTCCAGACTTCTTCCCTCGCAAGTTGGATCTAGACACTGTCAAGGAAAAGTTTAGCGCTCTAGCAGACGTCGTCAACAAGGAAAAGGACGGCGGTGAACCTTTTACTCCAGAAACTCTGGCTCTTGGCTTCCTGTCTATCGCCAACGCCACCATGACTCGGCCTATTCGAACCCTCAGCGAGGGTCGCGGCTATGGAGCGGCCAGCCACAACCTAGGGTGTTTCGGTGGTGCTGGGGGTCAGCACGCAGTTTTCATTGCCCGTGATCTGGGTATCAAGCGGGCCATTATTCCCTGCTATTCCAGTATCCTGTCTGCCTATGGAATGGCATTGGCTGACGTCGTGGTTGAGAACCAAGAACCTGCGGCCATAACCTTCTCAGAAGGGGCTGTGTCTGAGATCAAGGCCCGCCTCGAATCGCTGTCATCTCGAGGTGCCAAGGGTCTTGAAGCTCAGGGATTTGATGCTACTCTCACCGAGCATGAGCGCTTCTTGAACATGCGGTACCAAGGAAGCGACACGTCTCTTATGATTCAACTTTCAGGGAATGTGGACGATGCTGGTCAGGCTTTCACAGCCAGACACACCCAGGAATTTGGTTTCTCGCAGTCTCGCAACATCCTAGTTGATGATGTCCGTGTCCGCAGTGTTGGCAAGTCCCGCGTACTGAACATTTCCAGCCCATTTGAGGAGCTCAAGAAGCACGACTCAGAAGGCCTAACCCCTCGCCCGACCCCTATCTTTGGGCGCAGGATCTTCTTTGAGAAGCATGGGTGGACTCAAACGCCTGTGTATGAGCTCAAGTCCATCAGCTCTGGTGTGCGCATTGCCGGTCCTGCCATGATCATCGACAAGACTCAGACAATCGTTGTCGACCACCTGAGCACGGCCGTCGTTCTGCCTGAACACGTCGTCCTTGAAGTTGAACGGGATGGTCAACAGAGCGTTACAACAGAGGTTGTCGACCCTGTACAGCTTAGTGTCTTCGGACATCGATTTATGACAGTTGCGGAGCAGATGGGGCACACTATGGAAAAGACATCCATTTCAGTCAACATCAAGGAGCGCCTAGACTACTCGTGCGCTATCTTCTCGGCAGACGGAGGGCTCGTCGCAAATGCTCCGCATATCCCTAGTCACTTGGGGTCGATGAGCTCTGCGATTGCCTACCAAGCTCAGAAGCACAAGGCGGACCTAAAGCCCGGCGATGTCATTATCAGCAACCACCCTCGAGCCGGTGGCACACACTTGCCTGATATCACCACGATTACTCCGGTCTTTGACGATGAAGACAAAGAGATTATCTTCTTCGTCGCGAACAGAGGCCACCATGCGGATATCGGTGGTATTGTGCCAGGTTCAATGCCTCCAAACTCTACCGAGCTGTGGCAAGAAGGTGCTGCAATTGAGTCCTTCAAGATGATCAAGGAAGGTGTCTTTGATGAGGCTGGGCTTATCAAGCGCCTTTATGATGAACCAGCGGCATTCCCCGGCTGCAGTGGCACACGTACCCTGACTGAAAACATTGCAGACTTGAAAGCTGCTGTTGCTTCCAACCAGAAAGGTATCGAACTTATCCGGGCTCTAGTTAAGGAGTTTACGTGGCCTGTAGTGCAACTTTATATGTATGCCATCCAAGATAACGCCGCCCAGTCTGTGCGAGATCTCCTGAAGCAGTTTGCCGCGAAATACGAAGGTGGTATTCTCGAAGCTACAGAGTACAATGACGACGGCATTCCATTCAAGCTGAAGGTAACTATTGACAAAGAGACCGGTGATGCTGTCTTTGACTTCACCGGTACCGGGGCGGAGCATTCTGGTAATCTGAACGCTCCTCCTACCTGCTCATACTCTGTCATCATGGTACGTGAAAATCTCATACCCCACTCACAAACAGCCGAACATTCAACTAACGTCCATCAAAGTACTGCCTCCGCTGCATGATTTCGACAGACATCCCGCTTAACCAGGGCTGTCTAAAACCCATCAAGGTCGTCTGCCCAGACAACACCATCCTCTCCCCCTCCGCCACGGCAGCAACAGTTGGTTGTACAACCGAAACCTCCCAAAAGGTCGCTGACCTAGTCCTCCGCGCCTTCAACGCAGCTGCCGCCTCCCAGGGAACAATGAACAACCTCAGCTTTGGCTGCGGCGGCACCGACCCCGTCACCGGCGAAGTCACCAAGGGCTTCGGCTACTACGAGACCATCTGCGGTGGCGCCGGCGCGGGGCTAGGCTGGCATGGGGCAAGTGCCGTGCACACGCACATGACAAACACACGCATCACAGACCCCGAGATCTTCGAGAAGCGATACCCCGTCATCCTGCACGAGTTCTCCATCCGCAAGGGGAGTGGTGGTGCGGGCCGCTGGCGCGGTGGAGACGGGAGCTATCGTGAGATCGAATTCACCATGCCTCTCCAAGTTTCTGTCCTTACGGATCGGAGAGTGACGGCGCCATACGGGCTTGAGGGTGGAGAGGACGGAGAGCGCGGCCAGAATATCTGGGTTCGCAGGGATCCTGTGACGGGTGCGACGAGGCGGGTTTCTCTAGGCCCGCGAAAGACGTCCATGTTTGGTGCTGGTGACCGAGTTATCATCTTCACACCTGGAGGAGGTGGCTATGGGGCTGATCCAGCCAAGGGTGAGAAGGGGTCGAAGCCATTGACAAATGGTTTAGAGCTGAAGCAGCAGGACTCAAGATCGTTTCTGACGAATGGGTCATTGGGTGTGAGACACAGCATTGCGACTGGAAATTAGACCATGGTATTGTAGTATATGACATTAGTTTACATTGCATTTAACGATTCCCTTTTGTTCAATCAAAGTCCTTCCCTTCCTTGTCTTCAAAGATTCCCTCCGGTCAGTAACCACCAAAAAGAATCGCAAAAAGAATGGTCCCAGAGGGGGTCGAACCCTCGACTTTCGCGTTATTAGCACGACACTCTAACCGACTGAGTTATGGAACCAGTTGTTGTTTTCGCCGGCCGATTTCTGCCATGATAACCAGGCGTCTAAATTTCGTACTTTCGCAGTGGATTCGACTGCCTATCATTACTCGCTGTGTCGCAAATATATAGTTCGGGTTAAGGAATACCGAAGGAAAAAAAAGACCATGGCGGACAAATAAAACCAACACAGTAAATTAAAGTGAGTTTGGCTCGAAAATAGCTGCTGACAGGGGCCTTTTGTCTCACCATTCACGAGTCATGGCTGCAATCAGGAATGCAGGTGAGGCTGAGGCGACGCAAGCCCATGCAGCCTAGTCTTTCACAGCTGCTATAAAGCTCACGTTCCCTCAAGCAGTCAACACTGTCCATTGCTTAATATCCATCCACATCTAACAGTCACTATGGGCTTCGCAACATTCGTCTACAACCAATTCTTCGTCCACCCCTCCCTCCCCAATGCCTCCTTCACAAACCAAACCGTCATAATCACCGGCTCCAACTCCGGTCTAGGCCGCGAAACAGCCCGACACATCGCACGCCTCGGCGCCCAAAAAGTCATCCTCGCTGTGCGCGATACCTCCGCCGGCGACTCCGCCCGGCTGGACATCGAACAATCCACCGGCTGCGCCCCAGGAACCTGCGAAGTCTGGCCCCTCGACCTCGCAGACTCCACCTCAGTCCTCGCATTCGCAGACAAAGCGCTGGCCCTCCCGCGCCTCGACGCCCTAGTCCTAAATGCAGCCGTCGCGACCAAAATCTTCCGCCTCGCCCCGGGCGGCTACGAGCAATCCATCACCGTGAATTCCATCTCGCATTTCCTGCTTGCCATCCTTCTTCTCCCGAAACTACGCCAGACGGCGCGGGATTTCCCTGAAGACAGGACTGTCGCGCCGCATATCACCGTTCTCACTAGCCAGGTCCATGCGTGGCCGCAGTTCCCGCAGTGGAAGGACCCGCGCGGGGTCTTTGCGGCGCTGAGCGATGAGGCCACGGCGAAGATGGACGAGCGGTATCCCGTCACGAAGCTGCTCAATGTGCTGTTGACGAGGGAGCTTGTTGCGCAGATGGGTGGTGCTGGTGCGAGTGATGGGGTGATTGTTAATATGCTCGATACGGGGTTCTGCCACTCGCGGCTGTCGCGCGAGAACGAGGGCATCGAGGCGCTGGTGTTTGATCTTGCGAAGAGGATTTTCGCGCGGTCGGAGGAGGTTGGGGCGCGTACGACGGTTACTGCTATGGCGGGTGGAAGAGAGACGCATGGGCAGTATATGGTGAATGGAGTCGTTGCGTCTGATGCGCTGTCGGAGTTTGTGTGTGGCGACGATGGAAAGACGGCGCAGAGGAGGCTATGGGATGAGTTGAGTGGGATTGCTGAGGGATTGAGGCCGGGAGTTATGGCCGGGGTTACTTCTTCATAAAATTGATATAAGGAGTTATGAGTTGTAAAAGGAGTTGGGAGGTTCTTCAATATAGTATCAAGGAATATAGACGGGGAAATGAATACCAAACTTTTATACCCCAATATCAACTCGCCCAACAGATGCAGTCAGTAATCACTCAACCTCATAATCTCTTACCGTGCGCGTCCCCGTAACCGGGTTCTGATACTCGCGATGAACATGCTTGGACCCATCTCCACGCCTCTTCACATCTCTCGCCTGGTAGACTCCATCCTCCGTCATTCTCTCCCGATGATGCCGAAACCCGCCAGACCCAGTAGCATAGTCCACCACCTGGTCATACGCGCCGCTCTCGGGGTCATAGATAGTACTCCCCTCACCATTATCTGTTGAGGATAGCTGGCTAGCCACCAGCCTTGCAGGGTTTTTGGTGTAGCGGTCTAGCACTTCTTGTCATTATCGAAGGAGGTAGTCTTCACGCGCATTTCAGAATCCTTATTCTTTACGCTAGCGCTAGTCCCCGTTCCAGTCACAGGCTTATCGGTGAGGACCTCGTCGTAGTCAACGTCAGCGTCATAGTCGTAGACATCTGCGTCATTATCGCCAGCTTGCGGGCCGTAGTTTTGGCCCTGGCTGTAGCCTTGGTCGTAGGTCTCCCCGCCGCCGTATCCGGGCCGCACGTCATGGTATGTTGTTGCTGAGGGGTTGACGAAGCCGGTGGAGGTGCTGAGGTTGAGATTTATGATGTCGTCGTCATCGTCGTAGTTGTCTATGTTGTGGAAGCGGGAGTAGCGGGTGTTTGAGTAGCGGTCAGTCATTTTGATCTCTTTCTCTTCTTTTGTTAGTGAAGCACTCGATAACAGGGTTTTGTTGTTTAATCGGTTTGCTGGTGGGTTGTATAGAGGAGAAGGGTGGCGAGGTGATGGAGTGGTTATGTATGGGAGTGACCCGGCTTGATGTCACGGGGGCGACGGCCGGGTCTAGAATGTTTTAGCAGGCTAAATGATATCTAGCTATTACTATATATATAAAAGAATTAAAATTAGTTTGGAAATTAATGCTTATTGGATGAAGACCATCAATGAGTTCTAGTCACCATGTGGTAGATAGATTAACTTAAGATAATTCTGCCTGAGCCAGTTATACCAACAGTACAGAACAGAGAAGCTTGTTTTAGCTAAGAATCATGCCAAGATAATTTACTTCAACAGACTGTTTTATTCAGGTCGGACATACCGGATTGGCCATACATCCGCACGGTATCCAGGATTGATATCTACAGTTTCATCCAGTTGGATACATCTTATTGAAGTTTTATAAAACCTTTTCCAAGAATAGTGTATACTGTTAAATATCTGCTATCTTTCAAATACCACAATCCTGCTAGCCCATGCTGACAATTAGCCTGAACACGAGCAGCCGTGACTCACACAGTCAACACCCCAGATATAAACTCCCTCAAATCCCCTCAACCAACAATCCCACCAAGACACTGCTTATTTACTCCTCCTCCTACTAGGTCACCTAAAACTCATCCAACCATGTCATCAACAACAATAACCCCCGCAGCGCCAACCGACTCCCCAGTCATAAAGGCCCTCGTCATAGCCGCATTCACAAAATACATCGAGCGAATGGGCAAACCCCCTGCGCCAATGCTCGCAGACTACACCAATCTCAGCGGTGTCTTCATCCTTACTGCGACTGCACAACCGACCCAAACCCAGCTAAACGCTGGCAGTAACACAATCCTCGGCTCTGTAACCCTCACCGAAGAGCCAGAGACAGACTCAATCAGAGTCAACAATCTGGTCGTGGACCCCGCAATGCAAGGACGGGGGTATGGACGCGTTCTCCTTGAGTTTGCGGAGACGAGGGCGAGGGAGGCTGGGAGGGGGGCGCTTACGTTGGCGACGAATGTGAAGATGACCGAGAATATAGCGCTGTATACGAAAATAGGGTTTGTGGAGATTGGGAGGGCGGTCCAGGATGGGTATGAGAGGGTCTTTATGAGGAAGGTTTTGGTTTAACCTAAGCTAGGTATAGGGATGAGGATACAGTTATGCGATAGACAACAAGCCCTGTCATAAATATATACCCAATACTCCAAATTACGCCCGCATATCAGGTTAGAGCAATTAAAGCATAATGATTCAAGTTTCACTCTTAGCAACGGCTACCCTAGCTCATTGTCTTGCATATCTGTCTATCCCAACAACTGCTCCCCATGTTCTGAGTCACCACTGCATTTGATATAAGTCCAAAGCCTAGACACTGTACCTAGTAGTTGCATCTAAACTTTCGGATCTACTAGACAACTTGCGGAACCCAAACAAACCCTAAATTCTCCGCCGAGCGTGGTTGATATAGCCGTAACCCATTCAATAACTATTCTCCAAGCCCTATAAACCAGGAAAGGGAAGCAAAAACACCAAAAATGGTCCCAGAGGGGGTCGAACCCTCGACTTTCGCGTTATTAGCACGACACTCTAACCGACTGAGTTATGGAACCGTGATGGAGTTGCCGAGCCGGATTTTTGACACCATGAGCTGGGCCGGTTTCATGGCATGTCAAGAGGCTGTGAGGGGTTGATAACAATCATTGAACAAGGAAAGAATGCAGGGAATTGAATTGGAGAGATATTAAGGATTTAGGCCTGGAGGACCGAAATTTCATTGACGATGGAGTTCATGGACTGGTTTGTGGGTAGGGTGGAGGAAGCCAGCTGGGAGCGTGGGACACTCTAGTTCGAAAGAAAGAACGAATATCAACCCTAATGGTAAGTATTGAGCTGAGAATTGGACATTTAGAGATACAATATGTAAGAAAAGGGATCGAACGTTTGATGTCTAATCTGGTTGGTTAGAAGTGCTTGTAGTTTTTGTAAGGAGTATTTTGCGTGGGAAAAGTGGCCCCCACTATAGAGCATAATTTTGCGAACCGAACAACAACTGGTTCCATAACTCAGTCGGTTAGAGTGTCGTGCTAATAACGCGAAAGTCGAGGGTTCGACCCCCTCTGGGACCATTACTTTTTTGTCGTTGTAATTTTCCTTTTTTTTTTTTTGACTTCTAATCCTCGTATCCATAGTTCCATATGGAGTTCATGCATTGCACAAAATAGCCAATTCTCACTGGACATGGATTGACTTGGCTGCGTTACTTTGACTCATTCATTGGAGCCAAGCATTGGGGTGACTCAATGGCCCTTTGTCTCAGCAGCTGGAAGCCCAATTAATGGCCATTAAGATTCTTCATTCACTATAAAGATTGGTGCCTTCAGCCAGGCACCAGGCAGAATCTCCCGGCGCATCTCACATTGAATTTTCGATATACTCCGGTACCCCACATGGCGATCTGCGCTCACAAAAGATCTGCTGTCCCCAGTTTTTATATCATTCAACCCCTCGAACAGGGGGCGTACGACAGGCAGAATGCAGCCGGACGAAGTTCAGTTCGTTCACTTCAATGATGTTGTGAGCTTTGTCTTGGCGAGAAGCACGTTACTCTAGGTCCTAACAGATTGCTACCTAGTATCACATCCCAACAGCCGCGCAACTCACACGGTTCTTGACCCTGCAGAGAGAGTTTGCAGCCTCTAACCTGAAGGCTCAAACCCTGACTGTTTTTAGCGGCGATGCTTTTTCGCCGTCACTCGAGGCAAGCGTCTTGAAAGGCGAGCATATTTTGCCGATACTGGACCTCGTAGGGATTGACATTGGATGCTACGGAAACCATGGTCAGGGCGCAAATCTCATGTCCCTTTTCCTTGGGGACTGTCACTGACAACAAAAAAACAACAGACTTTGACTTTGGCGATGCAAAGCTGGTCGAACTCTCGAGTCGGTTGAAGTTCCCGTGGCTGCTTTCAAACGGTTTTCACCACCCTGCTGGAGATCGAAAGAGATTTCTCGGTTCCGGTCAAGAGTATCTTGTCCAGCACCTGGACAATGGTCTTCAAGTTGGCTTTATAGGGCTGGCCGGGACGTATGTACCGTACATACCTGTCTCATGACTATCCCGGCTAATACTAAAGACAGAGACTGGCCGTCAAATTGTTCGGCTCTGCCACCCTGCGAGATTGAATCACCGGTTCAGGCTGCTTGTCGTTTAGCACGCCATCTCCGGGTAAACGAGCGCTGCGATCTAGTTATAGCACTAACGCACATGCGTGTCCCGGAAGACATAGAGGTAGCGAATGCGACTGCCACCGGAGACAGCAGGATCGACTTGCTACTCGGCGGACATGACCATGAAGTAGTCAGAAGGTTTGCAGGCGACACGGATTTATCTGCAGAGAACGTCGAGCAAGGGCGTAAAGTCTCTGACCTTGAAGTAGAAGGGAGGCTTCCTGAGGCAGAAGGCAACATCAGACTTGTCAAGAGCGGGACAGACTGGAGAGCCTTGTCGCTGGTACGACTGATTGTCCAGAGAGACAAAAATGGGACAGTGGTAGGGTCTACCGTGAAATGTGGGTAGTCGCCGCTGGTTCATGTAAGTATTTTCTTATGACTGACTTGCGAGGAAGTGCAACAATACACCGATACCCAAGCCGCCATAGCGACGCCGCAGCCACCATCCAACGTGATCGAAATGCTAGAGGAAATTCACGCTCGAGTTGGGAAGCGAGTCCAAAAGCCGCTTCTGCACTCTGCTGTCCCACTCGATGGCCGCAACTTTGCAATTCGTAGCCAGGAGACAAATCTGGGCAATATGCTGGCTGACGCTGTTCGGGCGTTCTATGACACCGAAGTGGGCTTCTTCAACGGTGGCGGGGTCAGGAGTGACCTGATCCTGAAGGCTACTGTGCCCAACGGCGAGCCCTTACTCGTCAGAGATATCATCAGTAAGCCAGATCAGCTTCGCGTCTGAGAAGTGCTGACAAGATAACAACAAAGATATTTGCCCATTTGGGAATAGCCTTGTCGTCAAGCGGCTCACGGGCGAAGCCATCCGGCTCGCACTAGAGAACTCCGTGTCTGACAAACATACTGATGGCCGATTCCTGCAGATCTCGGGTTTGCGGATGGTAGCGAGCTGGCAACGGCCGGAAGGGTCTCGGGTCGGAGACGTCTTTCTCGAGAGACGTGATGGTAGCCTTGAGCCGCTGGAACCGGCCCGAACCTATACTGTCACCATGCCAGGATTCATCGCGCAGGGGTTTGACGGATTCTCCTGGTTTTCACAGATGGAAACCCTCGTAGGGGAAGAAGCAGCAATGACGGATTCCGGGTTGCTCCTTGCCATGCTTGGACACAGCGAAGAACTGGCCGATGGCGATTCGGATCATAATGCCCATGCCGCGGGCATTGAGCGAGCGCGCACGCTGATTATTGTCGGCCAAAACCCTTCTGACTCTTTACCCATGGTGAGTCCTGTTATAGAAGATAGAATCAAGTTTGTCGGGTTATAGACGTTTACATCGGATTAGTAGAGATAGCTAGACTGAATGCCACAGGGATGCGTTGATGAGACTCCCACATGAAGATACCTGGATCTTGGCTGTCGGGCCCTTCAGTCACTTCCTCTGAGTATAGATAGGCCCCTGTGAGTCTGGACCTCAAGGAGAAAGCGTGGGTGCCCGAAGCCGCGAAGACCCATATAAAACTCTTGTTTATCCATAGTGGAGACAGGCCTCGGTGCGTCTTTGGCCGTTTCAGAACAATGTCATCCCTCGAAGTCAGATAGTGTTTGTCTCGCCGATCGAATTACTACCGCAATATCCTTCAGCCGAACTCGAGAATGTTAGTGACGCAAAGCCAGACGAAAATGATGCACAGCTTACAAGCGAGGCGGATAAATATCCAGAGAACGGGTGGCCGATGCTCGACCTCGGTTACGAGCCAGTCCCAAACCAAGATAATCGACTGTTCCCACTTGTTCTGCCCAAAAATGCAACGGTTCCGACTGGGGGACCGGGTGGAACGGCAAGCTTGACGCTGGAGGACTCGAGCGGTTGGCAAATTGGAAACAAGGGGTGGAATTGCCGATGAGATCGAGTGGAGATGCCTGATTCACGCGTTCACCTCAACGGCCTCGCAGTTTCGGCTTTGCTTTCTTTTTTTCTCTCTCTTCTCAAGTTCTTCTCACAAACTGGATCGAACTGTGAATATGGATCTGTCGAGAACATACTTATGAATCGCTCTAGCGCCCGTCTTTCTGCAACACTAATGGACATTTACCGAACACCTTCACCTTTCCCTGTAACGAATCCCAAATGACTGGCAGCTTAATCTGATACCGCATCTTTATCGGAACGTCATACAGTCCTGGAAATGGAGAAGGGCGCCGTGGAACCGAAGACCCCGGAACGACCGCATGGGACGGCAAGAGAAGCATCACTTTCCGACGACGATGACCTTCACTCGATCTCTCAGCGATCGGGAAACACCCAGACGGCCCCAGGCAAGGATGCCGAAGACCAGGTAATGCCCGAGTCACAAGCCGAAGAGTTCGCCAGAGTGGTGCCCAGGCTCAAGCGACGGGGCCTCTTCGGCCAAATCACCTTGGTAGACGAGGTCGAGAACCCAAAGGCCTATCCAAGGAACAAGAAATGGCTCATCACGTTTGTTGTCGCTGTCGCCGGCTCTGTGGCTCCCATGGGCAGTTCAATCTTCTTTCCGGCCCTCACGCAGGTCGCCGACGAGCTCAATTCAACAACAACAATCACGAACTTGACCATCTCGCTGTATATGCTGAGCATGTCCATCTTCCCGTTGTGGTGGTCGTCCTTCAGTGAAAGGCTTGGACGACGGACAATCTATATAACGTCCTTTGCACTCTTCGTGGTCTTCAATGTCCTCTGCGCTGTGTCCAACTCCATCGCCATGCTCATCGTGATGCGTCTACTCAGCGGAGGCGCCTCAGCCTCTGTCCAGGCCGTCGGCGCAGGGACAATCGCCGATATTTGGGAAGCCCGTGAGCGAGGTCGTGCCATGGGCATCTTCTATCTTGGTCCACTGTGCGGCCCATTGATAGCACCCATCGTCGGAGGAGCCCTGGCCCAGCGCTGGCACTGGCGGAGCACAATGTGGTTCTTCTCAGCCTATGGCGGCATCGTCGTGATTCTCATCCTTTTTGGCCTGCCCGAAACCCTATCCATATCAAAACCCATCCTCCCAGAACCCAGGACCGGCACCGCCGACCAAGACGAACCCCTCGGCCGCCGCTTAAGCCGGGTCTCCTCGCGTCAAGTCATCGGCGCAACAGCCCGCTGGCTCAAACTCCTCAAGATAATCTTCATCGACCCCCTCAAGATAATCCTCTACCTCCGCTATCTCCCCGTTCTCCTAACAGTTTACTACGCCGCCATAACATTCGGCTCCTTGTACGTCCTCAACGTCAGCATCGAGCACACCTTCGGCGAACCACCCTACAACTTTGACACCCTCATTGTCGGCCTCCTCTACATCCCCAACTCCCTCGGCTACATGGTCTCAAGTATCTTCGGCGGCCGCTGGATCGACAGTATCATGGTCCGCGAAGCTAAAAAGGCCAACCGCTATGACGAAAACGGGAAACTCGTCTTCCGCCCCGAGGACCGTATGCGCGAGAATGCCTGGCTCGGCGCTATGCTCTACCCCTCTGCTCTCATCTGGTATGGCTGGACCGCGGACCGTGGGGTGTTTTGGCTTGCTCCCGTGCGTAATCCTATCAACTTTATTTACTTGTTTTATATGTGCCCATCAACCGCTAACTCGGCCACAGATGATAGCAAACTTCTTCTTCGGCATCGGCAGCATGCTAATCTTCAGCATGGTAACAACAATGTTGACCGAGTTCATGCCGCGGAAATCCTCCGAGGGCGTGGCGCTGAACAACTTCATGCGTAACATCTTCTCGTGTGTAGGCTCGTTCGTTACGGCGCCAATCATCAACGCCATTGGCAACGGCTGGCTGTTTACAATTATTGGTCTTGTGGCGTTTGCTAGTAGTGGGGTTATTGTTGTCATGAAGGTTTTTGGACCAAGGTGGAAGGCAGGCATGGATGCGCTTATGCAGTGAACGACTTACCGAGACTCTAAACGCTAATATGGATTTTGATGGTTCTGTTTTAGGATGGGCTATATATAGGTTGAAAATAGATACCCAAATGCGAGCGTGTTTCTTTTTTGATATCCGTATATGAAGGATGTTTGACAGGGAGTTTTGCTATCCAGTCACAAAACGCACTTATAGTTACTGAATGCAATACATTACCAACCAACGGATGCTTCAAATATCCATGTTATGGCAGTAATGAACTTTCCATTCTAATTATGCGAAGCTAACTATGGTCAGTCGCGACTACATGTTCTGAACTGCAGAAGCCTCATGTTTCGCGGGAATAACTCTCCAACACCAACCACACCAACTTCGATGCGTTCCCTCCTCCTCGCGGGTAAGGTAGTCACCAGTTTCCCGCTCGTCCTCGTGCTCGACAACACAAGCACCTACCATGACTCTCTTCTTTGCCCTCTGCTTCACTCTTCCCCCTATTCCGATGATCTCCTGTCTTAGATATCCAGGTTCTCTTTCCTCGGGGTCTTCCCACCTCTCGTGCGGATGATCATGAGGGCCATGGTGCGCCTGTTCAAATCGATGTCCGAAATGATAACCATATTCAGGCGGGCTGTGCGACATTGACTCATCCGCCTCGCACTCTACTTCCAGCTCGATTTCCTGGCCGGCAAGGCAGCTGTCCCCACGCCCGCATTTGACGCCCTGGCAGCCTTCGCCAATTCCTGTTCCCAGTCCATCCAGGTATGTGCTGTATCGTGAGCGCCATGTCCAAACCCGACGGTACGTAGTATCATTCCTGCGCAGCTTTTGACCACACTGGTTGCAGAGCCATAATACATCTTGGCAAGTACAAGTATCCCGCAATAGCACAGTAGATGTCTTGTCCGTGGTATCCGCCGTCGTCGAAGGTAGAGGGGCATGAAGGGACGAGGTAACGAGCTTATTCAGCGATGCTTTACGACAAGTCGTGCATAGTCGGCGAATTCGGTTCTTCAAAGTCGCACTATTCGGGGGTTTGGCCGTGCAGTTCTAAAAACAAATTAGTATCTTTCAAGCGATCCAAAGTTTACCTAGAACAGGGGTCTTACCCGACAGACAACTTTCGAACAACCACGGCATTCGGCAACCATGTCTCGAGCACATTTCGCGATTTTGCCGCTCGTCAGTTGTCCGGAACCGACCGCACCCCTGCTCAGCAGCCGGATTACGGATTTGACGCTGTCCGGAATGGCGGCGCCGCTTTGCAGCATGTCTGAGAGAGTCTCAATATACTCATTCTCACAACGTAAGGTCTGCTTGGCGAGCTGGTGCCGGTAAGGGCTCAGGTTCGCATAAAACTGGCGACATGTCCCCGATAGGGCATACAACGTGCTGAGGTCGACCGACCGAGCGATCTCCTTGGCAATCCTGGGTCTTTGTGTTAGCTCACTATGAACCAGGCACGCCAGTCGCTTGGTTCAGAAGCAATTCATACGGATAGCAGCCCAGAGCTACTGAGAACGCATTCCGAATAGTGGAGTTTTGCAGCTCATTCTCAGAGGAGCTTAGGGCCCCTCGGGGAGCTTCAGCAGACGGGTTCTCGCTGGACGGCAGTTCAAAGCCGACGCTCAACCTCGAGATACCAAGCTTCCCAGAGTCGACGTAGGGTTGTTGGAAGGCATCCGGGCTTTTAAGCACCGTCTGTTTACCCACGGTGTCATTGTCGTAGTCAACAAATACCACCATCTTGCCGGGAGGTACAAAAGAGAAAAAAGAAAATACAAACAAGCGTATAGCTCCGATCAGGACCCAGGCTCTTCCATAGCTTTATGCAAATATGAGAAGTGTATAGATCGACAATCCTCCGTGGGATGATGCGGTTGTGAAGCTTCCAGACCTCCAGCTCCGTCTTCGGCGTGTGGTGGAGCTTCTGGTTCGTCTCGGCGATCGTGAAACCGATGAGGATCCCTTCCTTCTGGTCTTGACGTGCTTCCTGCCCCGATACCGCCGATTCAGAGAGCCACAATTGATCGTGCACAATCAGATAAGATCTAGTCCTGAAAATCAAGAGGAAATGGAAGGGAGTTGAGGTCACTCTCAAGGCACGTGAATCTGCAACACGGGCCTTTTGACACTTACCTTATCAGGAAGGTCCTTCGAAACCCCTCATCCACGTGACACCTATCGCCATAGGGCCAGGGTCACATGATATCCACCGCGGGGTGAATGGAGGGGCAATTTGTATGACAACAGCTGGCTTGAAAGGTGGGCGGTCTACGATGTTTAGATATACAAGTACGCTGTGTCAGAAAGTATAGAAAATACCTACAATGTAAGTGTTGTCGGTTCGCCTATATATCCTAGACGGAGAGCTCCGTTTCCCCGTCGAACTGTGACCCATAACTCCCCCCACAAGGTGAAGAAAGACCCGAGAAGTTGGGGTAATAACCGGGAATTGAGTCACAGATAAAAGGCTGCCTGTTCTCGTATCCGACAGCTTTCTCTCCCTGCTGTTATTCCTTATACTGCTGAAGGCGCGTCTTAGCATCTGAGATATTCGTCCAACCCCCGCCAGGATGCCGTTAAATTCGAGAGCCGTCTATTCCCGACAGAACGCCGACTTTGCTCCATTCTCGAGTCGGAGAAGCACCGTGCATGGTACAAATGGCATTGTCACATGCACGCAGCCTCTTGCGGCCGCAGCGGGACAAAAGATCTTGAGTCAAGGTGGAAATGCTGCAGTATGTCTCCAAACTTCTATACGCAATTCAAAGCTAATGTTCACAGGATGCAGCAGTGGCAGTTGGTATGGAAACCCCTGGTGTAATAAATATGCCCTATCTAACAATAAATTAGCTGCCGCTCTGAATGTCACAGAGCCATCTTCTACCGGGATCGGAGGAGACATGTTCTGCCTCTACTATGATGCGAAGACAAAGAAGATCAGTTCGCTCAATGGCTCTGGCCGGTATCCTTCCAATGTGACTCTGGACAAGATCAGAGCAGATCTAAAGGCTGGTCCCAATGACGTCGGAGGAATTCCCATGAACAGTGTTCTCGCGGTCACAACGCCTGGAGCAGCTGCCGGGTGGGTTGACACCGTCGAGAAGTTCGGCAGTGGGAATGTTTCTTTACAGCAGGTGCTCCAACCAGCCATTGACCTTGCAGAAGAGGGGTTCCCTGTATCCGAATTAGCGTCATCTTTCGTGAGTACTAAACACCGCAAGCCAATTGCCCGTAAACTGACAGCTCTCAGTGGCAAGAAAGCGAGCATCTCCTCTGGAAAGCATCTCCAAATGCGCACGAGATGCTCAGAGCCGATCCCAAGGCCAAAGATGGCTTTAGAAGCCCTCTCCCCGGCGAAATATTCAAGAACCCAACAATGGCAAAAACCTTCCGCGCCCTCGCCGCAGAAGGTAAAAAGGGCTTCTACGAAGGCCGCGTCGCTCAGGAAATCGTCAAAGTCGTCCAAGACCTTGGTGGTTACCTGACCCTCGACGATCTCAAATCACACTCTACCACCGGCACCCAAGAAACAGAGGCCATTTCACTCAAGTTCAGCGGCCAAGACATCACAAACAAGCAAACAGCGGGCACGGACGACCCAGACGGCAAGCCCAACCAGGGCGTCGAGATCTGGGAACATCCTCCTAACGGGCAGGGCATCGTCGCCCTCATGGCCCTAGGCATTCTCCAGGAACTTGAGAAGACAGGCAAAATCCCGGCCTTCACTGAATCCCAGCACAACAGCGCCGAATACCTGCACGCCGTGATCGAGTCCCTCCGCATCGCCTTCGCAGACGCCTCATGGTGGGTTACAGACCCAGACGTCGAAACCGTGCCCACAAAGGACCTCCTCGACCCTTCATACCTGGCCGAACGCGCCAAACTCTTCAGCCCAACCAAAGCAACCGACATCCTCGACCACGGCAGCCCCGCCCACAACCACTGCGACACCGTGTACTTCGCCGTAACCGACAAAGCCGGCAACGGCATCTCGTTCATCAACTCCAACTACGCCGGGTTCGGATCCGCCATTATCCCCAAAGGGTGTGGGTTCACGCTCCAGAACCGCGGCGCCAATTTCTCGCTTTCCACGGGCCACCCCAACGTCCTTGCGCCGGGGAAGAGACCCTACCATACCATTATCCCGGCTATGATCACAAATGCCTCGGACGGAAGCTTGCACTCGGTTTACGGGGTTATGGGTGGCTTCATGCAGCCGCAGGGCCATGTGCAGGTTCTGTTGAATATGCTTGCGTTTAAATACCATCCGCAGGCGGCGCTGGACTCACCGCGGGTGTGCATTGCGGCGGGCAACCCGGAGCTGGGGAAGGCGCTGGATCGTACGGTTTATATTGAGGAGGGGATTAGTGACGAGGCGGTTGAGGGGCTGAAGAAGCTAGGGCATAAGGTTAAGGTGTTGAAGGGATGGGAGAGGGGGATGTTTGGCCGCGGACAGATTATTCGGTGCCATCATGATGATGGGCGGTTGGTATATAGTGCTGGCAGTGATATGAGGGGCGATGGAATGGCGATTCCGGTTGTTTGAGTCTACTGCTACGAACAAGATATGTCTAGAATGTGTGATGGAGTATGGTGAATACAAAGGCAAGTAGACAACACTGTAATAAGCAATTGCAACAATTCATCTATCCTTTTCAAAATCTTCTGTATAGAATGGAGGTCTCAAACTCAAGCCTTGTTTATCTAGTTCTCATCTAAGCAAAACAAACTAACCAAAGGTATCTAAGACGTATCACTCAATAGCATGGAACGAGGCAAGAACCAAATAAGCCAAAGAAATCTTGATGCATTGCACATGCAGCGTAAGCCAGTAAATCACAATATCGGGGCGAAGCTGAGAAGAGACGGTATGAGATGGTATGAGATGAGATGAGATGAGATGAGAAAAAAAGGTGGGGTATAAATTCGTAAGTAAAGCCGGGCGCGTAGCAAACAAGTAGCACACAGTAAAGGCAAGTAGCACAGGACTCGAGATAAACTATGAGAAATTTGTATCCATGCATATCAATGACAAAAACAGAGAAACTGAACGCCAGAACCCATCCATGATTTCGTTTCCGAACCGAACCAACGCTCTATGATCCGGGTAAACAAGACAAAGGAATTAATAATAGGGGAAATCAAACAAAAGAAAAAAAAGATAAGAAAAAACAGCAAGGAAGTATTCATAATTACAAATCGTTTCGAGGATAAGGGATGCTGATCGCTGAGGTGTCCGTGCCGGGCACTCGCTCGCATATGTTTTCTTTTTCTTTGGAAGCCGTGCGATGATAGTGTTGATGAAGGTTCGATCGAGTGTTCCTTGAATGATTGCTGTTTCGATTTCAGCTGGTCTGTGGGGTAAGACAAGGCTGCACTTTGCGTAACAGGTGCTCTTTTGTGACTCCAAGATTCGCGAGTCGAGATTGGTGGAAGTTGGCATCGGAGTTCTTTTTATAGAGAGTTTCATTATTGGTCGGCTTGGTTTCGATGCACGTTTGCGCAGGTCGACTCGGAGACACAGGCTGAAATCGAACAGGTCACCGCGAAGTGTGATTGACGTGCATGCGATTGAATTATTAATTGCGAGGTTGGGGGATAAGTGTGGAAATCACAGGGACCAGCTGGAGTTCTTATTCTCGCCCGCCGCTTCGTAATGCACTGGTGCATAGTTCATTTGTTGTGGCATGGGCCATGATTGTGACTGGTAGTGTAGAGCCTGGTTGAGCGAGTTAGTTTTGCAAAATGGAGAACCAAGGCCTGGGAATGTCTTACTGGATGGATCAGGCTGTCGGGAATCGACATGGGAACCATGTTAGCCGGGGCCACGTTGTTGTTGCTGTTGTTGTCATGACGATCCCAGCCATCGAGTGTTGCGTGCATAGAGACCGGAGATGATGTCAATTCAGAGTCGATGACCGGGTCTGGATATGAGTCGACAACGCCAGGCGGGGTAGATGAAACGGAGGAACCGGAGTATGAGGGAACAGAGTACGTTGTGCCGTCCGAAGATGGAGACGAGCAGGCTTCGGGTGTTGAGTAAAATCGGGTTTCTTCCGTGGGCTCTTGAATACGAGGAGCAGACATAATATGTGTCTGGTGTTCTGAAGGCATCTCCATTGAGTTCCATAGTATCCCGTCAATCGCGAGTTCGGGGTGGATTGCTGTTGCCTTGGGAATTGGGTTCTGAGGTTGTGGCATAGCCATATATGGCGCTTGGTCTGGGGAAACCATGGTGTATCTGGGGACGTATTGCTCGACAGAGGATCTAGCAGGTGGGTGACGTTCCCATTGCGCTGAAGAATCCATCTGAGCTTCAAGTTCACTGCAGTCATTCGTTAGTATTGTTGGCACGACCTCCACCAAAGAGCTGCAGGAGACATACTGTCGTTCCATGTGTCGTGCAAGTAAATCGGGACGGTGGAATGATTTCTTGCAGCCAGTTTGAGTGCACCGGTAGAGGGCCTCGGGGTTGTGGTTGAGCTCATGGCGCCTACAATGGCAAGGTCAGTTATAAGAGCAATGGATAGAGTAAGATAGGATCACTTACCTCTTGTGTTCGGCGCGCGTGAAAACTTTCTGGCATCCTGGATATTCACAGGCGTGGACGCGCTTCCCTTTCTTTGCTTTGCTGATGCGATGGGTGGTGGGAGTGTAGGTGATTGGGAGAGGAATCTCCGAGGGGGCAGTGGTTCGAGGCATGGCGTCGAGAAGAGGTCTGAGGACCAACAGAGTGAGACGGAAGGAAGCTTGGAAAGGTTGGTTTGTTTGTTGGGAGAAGGTTGGTATGGCAAAGGGAATAAAAGGAAGAGAGAAGAGTGCAGTGAGTGCTGAGCGTTGGATGGAGGTGGAGTGATCGGGAAGGATCAAAGGATTGGCGATTGGGTCCAAGATATAGTTTTAGGACTCCTTCGAAGATGATCGCATGGAATGACAACTGGATGCTTGCCAGGTACAGAAAGGTAAGGAAATTATAGCAAGCTGCAGCAGCTGGTCTAATATGTGGAGACGGGATGAGATGAGGGAGGGCGAGCCAGGGTCACCCAGGTGGGCTGTGTGAAGCACGACTAGCGAAGATCAGATACAGCTTTGGCAAAGGTGAGGTCAGACACTGCTGGGCCTGGATAAGAATGGGTCGAAAAAAGAAACGAGAAATCCTGAAACGGCGGAATGGTGGCGGTACTGCACGGAGTACTGTCTTTCTGAAGAGTCGAGTTGTTGTTGTGTACACAGCACAGACAGACTAGCAGTAGTACACAGCAGGGAAACAGAGTCAGAGCAGGCAGGCACAGGCAAACATGCGAAAGGAAGATGGAGGATGGGAGGCTAGCAGTCCAGTTCGCTCTGGGATATAATAATAAAATAAGATTGTCATGAAGAAAGCGTTTAGGAGCACCAAGGAGTTGGTGGTCTATCAGTCTGCAGAGTGATCGTCAGAGGGAGCCTGGGCTTCGCCGCTACAGCCACCAAGCACTACGGGACGGCGTCGGGAAAATCAAGGTAAATTTACAAAAATAAAATGGAGAAAATCAAAAACGAAAATGACTTTCCCACTTCCAGTTCCCAGAGATTAAGGAAGCTTCAAGAGTCAGAGCATGAACCAGCCAATCCGCCGTCTCGGCCGGTGCGGCTGAGGCGCAATCAAAGACGGGGAAAGTAAAAAAGCGCAGGCGCTGTATGGAGAATTATTTTTAATTACTTTCCACGCTACTGGCGTTCTTGACAGGGGTCTGACTTCAACGGCTGTCTGTTGGCTTTTCCGCCGTGCTAATTTGTCACTAGGCCGGCGAGCAGACGTGCAGGAGGGCTGGCTGTTGGTCCCAGTGTTGGGTCCTGCGCGTAAGAACTAGCCGTTTTCGGCCGGCGCTGCTGGCCGTCTGAGGCTATTCCCATGCGCTGGGTTGGCTCCCCCGCCTGCCTCATGGCGAAACCATGGGTTGCACAACCACGAGGTCCTTTTGCATGCTGAATTGAGGCCGCAAATTCCAAATCAAACTCGCCGCCAACCGGAACCCGGACCCAGATGCAAGGGGGGAGCAGCGTGCGGGCTGGCCTGGGGGAGCGACAATTCCAATTACTCGCGAACCCTGGTTGCCCACGAGCTGGGACTGACAAACTGTTGGTTTCCTAGCCCTGCTGATTGGCTTGTCCCGGCGCTGGAGCACTGAGTCGTAAATTTTTAGCCTAACCTGCTAGCCACGATTAGTCCGGTGGGTCCAATTGGGACTGTGGAGAGTGGGCACAGGACTCGAGAAATTGACGCCTGACTTGGTGAAGCCGTCACGCCGGGGAGAAAGGCCAGGACGACGTGAGGCTTGCCCACTACGTCCTGCCCGCATGATGAGCCTGCCCGCATGCCAGACAGACACTGCCATCAGCAGTGGGCGATGAGGCCTAAGAATAACACTTACAATCAGATCGTTGCTGCATGAAGAGCCCGTGGGTGTTATTTTTATCGATATCAGATCGAGGCGACTTTTCCCGACATCTGAACCAGAACTAAACTAACATGTCATTGTTGATCGTCCGAAGTCCGAATCCGATGCCCGGATGGTGGTGGTTGCAGGTTGACGCTGGACTCTGGAACTGGGCTCTGGAGACTCGCGGGCGGGTCAGCCTCGTCTTGGCAGGCAGACTCGAGATCGGCCACTGTTCCGATCATCCAACACTCTGACCCAGACTTGACCGTGACATCCCAAGTCTCACTCTTCCAACTCCAAGTCCGCTCCAAGCTCCGATGAAGGAACACGAGCACCGGTGTCCAACGCGCGATAAGCACTCTACATCCTTCCCCCCGTTCCTGCAGTCGTAACTTTTGAGTTGAAGCATCAACACAAATCTTGAAACTGCTCGTACCCTATTGATGCCAAAACCTTGTTTAAATGAGCCAAACTCTCTACCCTCTGTTAAATTGCTAAATTCTCGGTTGGTCGCTCCGGCGTTCTCCCTCAGGGCTTCGGCTTCGAGGCGTGATCGAGTTCCACGGTGGTGGTGACAGCCCTGTGGGTCGATTGGCGCCTCAGGCTGCAACCGCAAGGCTCACTCGCCAACTCGCCAATCTCAACTCACTCATCCTCAACGAAGGAACAACGACCCTGTCCTGATCTCATCAGTGTTTCATCTCCCTCACTCTCTTCCTTCCCCCTGCATGTCCATCATTCCATCGTGCTTCCATTTGCGTTCCAAGCCTGATCTCCTTTCCTCTTCCCCTCGCTTGCATCAAGCTGTCAGTGGTCATTGGTCTCTCGCGAAGCGAGGAAGAAGAAACTAACTCACTGCGTTCTAACCTCTGGGCCTTAGCGAACATAGCACCAAACTTGCCCTAGCTGGTTGGACTAAGGATCCTCCCTTCCACTGCTCGACCCCTTTCTGGGGAAACTTTTCCGGAAGCTAGTCGATACCCACCGTTAAGGCCGATCCATACCATGCCGGCTCCTCCGCTAACCACGTCTCCAACGTCCAAGTGCCCTGTGCCCCGTCCGTCCCGCCGGCGTCCTCTGTAGTCTGTCCAGACTTGAGAAATCGAGACTTGACCAGGATGCCCGGCGGATCCCGAACCTCCCATCAGGACCATCCCCTCTTCGACCTCAACTGATATTGAGAACTTAATCTTCCATCTGCAGATCATTCCTGTTTCATGCGCCGCCACTACAGTCACCGGTATCCAGTTACTCAGTTCTCCTCCCCTCTTCCACGACCATGAGCTAACGTTACAGGCCTATTACAAAACGGGTGTAGCTCAATGCGTCATTAAACGTTGGTTTGCAAATCGCTTGGTCTTCGACCCTGGTCCTTCGAAGTTCCCAGTACTGGGGAGTCAAGTTCTCACAGTCTCACTTTTCACTTTCCAGTTTTCACACGCCGATCAATTCCAACTCAGTCAGACATTGTTCTTTTTCTTTTTCTTAAGGCCATATGTCAAGGCACCTGCGATGGCGAGTTGGCAGCCTGCAGACATCCACGAGACATTAGCTTCGTAACCATCACGTGGAATGAATACTCGCAGGAGAGTAGCCGATAAGACCACAGTATACACCTGCTGCCTCTGTGGAACTGCTCTAACGTGACAACAAAAAGTCGACGGTCGCGCCGGTGGGGACTACAGAGGCAGGAGCAGAAAGGCATTCCCCTGAATGTTCCTCCCATGAATATTCCGTACAAATGGTATCGATAATGTCAAAATCAGCCGTACTCCAACAATAATAATTCAGTCATGTCATGCCACAAAAATTCCCTTCTGCAATAATGGAAGCCGTTCCTGCCATGGATGAGCTGAGAATTACCTTGTTTCGTTTCGTGCCGAGTGACCGAGTCGTCATCATCATCCTTCATCAACACGGCAGACGTGAGGGAGCGTATCGTGCGGAGTAATAATAAGAACCTTTCTTATGATCACCCCTTCACAACGTGGCCTTGTGACACTTCAAATCTCTCCTTACTCTCCCGTCTGCATGAGAAATGAACAATGGGGAATCGCCTGTCAGCCTTTCACTGGTTGTCAGAAGTAATCTTTTCACCGCACATGGAACCCAACCTCAAGGACCTCACCATGCACGCACTAGCTGTTCCTAGCCTAATGCATATCCAACAATTGGATTCAATTACAATTGGTCCATTCATCAACAAACCAGAGATCATCCTTTCCTCGACGAGCGCGGTGCTTTGCCGGAAATTGGGGTTTGGCTGACATTGTTCGTTCTGCAGTCTAAAACTCAAGCTGCAGACAACATGACTACAGACTGCAGAGCTATTCTTATCCTCTCACTCGGGCGTACTGCACTAAACACATTGAAACCCAGGTTGTCACTGTCTTCTGGCGTTCCTGATTGATCACCCTCGATCTTGTGAAGCAGCCTGGTCTTACCTTTTGGCGTACCAAACCTCTGGCTGAGGATCCACGATTTAACAGAACTCTGGAAATTCCGGAGGAGCTCTCCGGGTTTCAAACACTACTGACGGCTGGATACTAGTCTCTTGGACAAACGAACGGCAATATCAGAATAATAATTCTCCTTCCTCAGGCATAAAAATACTCATTATGGATTGGATCGTAGTCCGATACGTCCTGGGTAGATCCAGAACAATGCGATGGAGCATGAAGCACTTCTTAACGCTAACGCGAACAATCCGATTTGATGGGTGCCATATTACGTTGGTCGATCAGTGGGAGGAGGATTAGTATGATCCACGCTCGAAATTCTTGCTGACAGCAACCAGTAAGAAGCATTTCGGGAACAACATCAACCCAACACTGTTGGTGAACAGTTTTTACAATTCTTTTTCCCACTAACTAGCAGGAGCTCTCACGGCCACGTTGTGATAATAATAGATGAGTCCGCGTTCTCATGGCCGGGTCGCAGGCTCGCAGCATGCAAGGGTCGCAAAACCTGAAACACCCCTGTGTTCCCGAGTACTAGTCTTGCTGCGCCCTGCAGTCAGTCAAACTTCTCCAACAAAACTCGAATCTGCCTTGCCTTAGGCTCCCCCAAGCTTCAGGGCTGTGTGCTTATGTAACGCCAATCATCGCGTGCTTGACTCGCTCACTCGACGAGTCGACGGATCGTTTTGATTATGCCAATCCTTCAGCTGCAGGACGTTCACGCTTCATCGGCAATTTCACCCCCTAATTGGTGGGCATGGAAAACAATCTGTTCAATCATATTATCTTCAGTCATCACTTCCTTCAGGCATTATCACATACG